GATCAACCTACTTTAATCATGGAAATGAATGTCTAGAGCAGGAGCATTGTCCACCTACAATAGAATGCACAAAAGTTGAGAATGCACAAAAGTGGCTATTAGCTGCCAATGTGTGACATAAAAGTGAGGGTTGCGTACCTATCATGCATTGTCCCTGAAGTCCTGACTTTTTAGCTGAGTTACCCAAAGAGGTCCTTCTGCATCTTTGGCTCTCTAGGGTCTAGCTACTTGGCAATGAACAAAGGCCACTTCTCATATAGCATCACGCTTACAAACATAAAGGTGCCTGTATCTCCGAACTTTACAATGAAGTGTGGGGTCTTTAAGAGAACAAGCTGCTCGGCTGAGTCAAAGCGATCTTGTGTCAAAGTATGAAGTTCATCGTGGCCAATCCCAGATTTCGCAATGTCGCCACCAGCCAAACTGGATCTGGGGGTCGACCTCTTCGACGACGACGACCAAAAAGATCTTTTTTGGGCTAGTTGCGACATTGAATGTGAAACTTTCACACAAGGTGCTGTTGGCCAAGCTGAGCACATCGCTCTAATAAAAACCACACGTTTCATTGTAAAGTTTGGAGATACAGGCGTCTTTATGTTTTACCTATGCTGTAAGCGTGATGGAGTTGCTTTTTCCTAGTGGATGGTGTCGGCTGCATTAACGGAAAGATGAAGAGCTGAGTGAAACGGCACGTGGTGGTTACACAGACACGTCCTTGATAGGTTGCTACACAAATGGATAGATGATGATGATTGCCTTTTGTGAAGGTACGTAAGTAAACAGCATCCAATAATGAAGGTGTGTCAAGGTATGCATCACATTTGTATGTAGAAGAAAGTCGAGCTGCATAAACCAATTTGTATATGTAAAAAGATACATATACATATTGAATGAGTCACTCATCCTCAAAATCAATGGAGGGATCTCTACACTTTTTCTCTTCTCAAGCTCATCCCACTTCCCACTCCTCCTTATCGCATCACAAAAGCCATATCTTCTTGCATGACCGATACAGTAACCGGACCACCTTTATTATTCCATCTTCGAAGCAATAGTATGTAATCCACAAGCTAGCAAAGTCCAACAAGCGTGTAATAAATAAACAATGCTTTATTTCATCTAGCTATCTTGCTACTGTACATTGCCACCACCATCGTCGTAGTCGTCCTCCGTCACCAGTCGTCAATCTCATCCGTCACACAGACATCCAAAAATACACAAGTTGAAAAGAATGGGATCTTGCATGCTTCCTTTTGAATCTCGTTGTCGTCATCATTGTCATTGTTGTAGATGGGGTGATCATCGTAATCGTCATTGTGGTGAATGTAGTAATCATCGTAATCGTCGTCTCTACAAATAAGAAAGCAGGCAAGTTGGACCATCTGGTACCGGAATGATGACGATTTGGTATACCGTAAAGCAAATCAGAAGGAATTCACAAAACAAATCACCACCATACGAACAACGTCGGGCGACCTTGTTCTTGAGAAAGCACTGCACGAATCACGCAAGGCCAGACCGATCCATGGCAAGGAAGGACTCACTTACGTAGAGTCCAGGCTCATAGTTGTCCTCATTCATCCTCTCCAAAGAAAGAATGATCCCCAATCCTTCCAATCATTTTCCCACCTCATGAAAAGAAATCCTCAAGGGAAAGAACGAGCCTATCACGAGAAGAGCGTGTTGGTTCAACACATTCACGAGCTGTTGCAAATCCCCTTTTACCTCAACACGATGACCATGCTCTTCCAAAAATCCCCATCGTCATCGACCCACCAACTCAAAGGCAGGCCTATAGAGCCCTGGACGCGTTCCAACAAGCTTTTCCAGCACACTTGGTTAGTGCAGAGCGACGCAGAGCCACTTGATACAGGCTGGGACTTGAACCCAAAGAGATGATGATGATGCCCCAAGTTGCATTGCCTGACCAAAGAAACCTATTCAATTCATTATTAGCACTACACAATAAACACCCTTTTCATTGTTTGTTTCATTGTACTTGCCTTTTCCATATACACAAAGACCCGTTGTTGTTGGTTACTGGAAACCGAAAACGACGGTGTAGTATAGTTGAGCCGAAACAAAACCAACGTCTTGAAACCAAACTTGCCCTCTATACAAGCTAACACGTCAATGGAACAAGTTATGCTGCAACATTGGGCTCTGAATGTACCAGTTGACACCAAGCGTAGAGCGGGAATAGCAACAGAGAAGAGGAAGCAACGATATCGCCATGGCTACCACACTCATTCCTCGGCACTTTGGACACACTCACTCCCTGGCAATGCATGTTCAGAACTATGTTAATGCGTCACAAACAACAAGAGCACTCTTTGATAACACATTTACCTTGATTTGGAATGTCGTGAATGGAATAAAAGCAGAGGAGCGAGAAAAAGAAGAGAAGCGTTACCTCAAGTCGTGGAGCTGCTGTCCCCCAAGTTTAAATCCCCCTACTGCTATTACACTGAGGCCACTCAATGACCGTATACACATCATCCACCCAAACACACAACTCACCCATCATCATCACCACCCTCACGATAGGCAATAGGTACACGTAAATAAAAGAAATGATCCTCACGTATAGCAAAAGGGTGTGTGCCATTTTACACTTTACATGATAACGATGATCCAACAACAGCCATCATTGCCTTACTACAGTCACGCATTCTGCATCTCATATCAGCTATGTCTTGAAAAGACTCTTATGTAACTTGTAATAAACAGCATGCTTGCTAATGAATGATTGATTTTTCCATCAGCGACCAATAACTCTCTGAGTCAACGTGATTTTGCTTTTGGGAAGTATGACATACGTGGCACGCCAAATAATTCTATGGGAGGAGTGGCAAGTTTCTTGCAACTGGCTATCTTTCGATATTGCATAAGGCGGAAAGCTTATCTCGTCATAATAGAGTTTATATTAACCATATTGCCGATCATTGCTATTGTTATCTAAACAATGAAAACGAGCACACAAGGCTATGACTTTATTATCAACCAAGTAAAATAAAGAGGACTATGTATCTAAAAAGATGTCATGTGATGTATAAGGCGCAGGTTTACATACTTTCGATCTGTAAGACATGCCTTTTTGATGCAAGAACGCAGGGTGGGAAGGTAGCTCCTTTTAGAGTTCACAACTGAGCTTGAATAGCAGTTACCCATTGCCTCCAGCCGAGCCATAAAAGTGAACGCTTGTGTGTGTGTTGGTGTTCTGTGTTTCATTTACGTCCTTTTTGAACTGAAAGTTGCTCCGGCCAACCATGGACTCGACTTACAAAGAAAGGTATGAATGATAGTGTCCGGAGCAGCATGCGATGCCTCTCGATGCCTCTGGTGACCATGAACGTCTCGTTTGGATGGCGCTGATTCGTCCTTTTTCTTTTGCACGAGCAGAGTTCGATACTTTGAAACGACATTACGACCGGAGCCGACCGACGACGATGAGTTGGACAGCGAATGGCAACCTATCATTGATATGGAGCCTTTTCAAAAGGCATGTTTTCATGGTATGTATGTTATTCAATGGATCTAGAATAGCAAGTGGGGGATTGATATGTCTGGGGTTATTGTAGGGATACCCGATGAATCTGGTTTACGAGCAACAGCATGGAAAGTGCTACTTGGATACCTTCCACCCGACAAACGCACGTGGAGTTCATCTCTTTGCTCACAACGACTAAGCTACTATGTATGTGTGATGATGTTACATGATGAGGAAGGAGCATGGTGGAGGAGGGGGTGGCAATGGGGAAGGCACCGGTCCATATTAAAATTAAACATCGGTTTATTTTTCGTTAGAACTGGGTAAAGGATTTATTGGAAGACCCAGGTGGTGAGCCACCGTCAAGTGATCATGTAAGTAGTATACTATGAATAGGATGGGATGGGTGATGACAATGACTGATCCATTCATCCATGGTTGTAGCCATTGAATGAAGAACGAGGATCAAAATGGGCATCTTATTTCCATGACAACAACATTCTTGATCAAATTGACAAGGATGTACGACGCACATTACCCGACATTGCCTTCTTTCAAACGCACGTTCCACACAATCCATTAAATCCACTATCTCCGCCCACATTGGATGGCAACAACAACAACAATGATGAAGAGGATAAACCACCACGTCGTTTTTCATTTGGTTTCATCGGCCGACCACGCTCTTCATCCACAGCATCAAAAAAGTCATTGGGTCGTATCGACAATCGCTCTCGTTCCAACTCGAGAAGTTCAGTGCATTCATCCCATTCCAATATCGCCAATGCTGCTGACCCACTTTCTGCCACCAACAATGCAACAACCACGCCTCGCAAAATTGTCCGCAAATTCTCCTCAGCATTCAAGAGCAATGGATCATCGACTTCAGTACTTGCATTACCCAAAAAGAAATACGACACTCGCCATTTCAAACCATTGTGCCCTTATGTGCCAAGTCGACGGGCTTTGTTTAAGCGTATCGCCCATCTCAACAATGATGGTCGTCAAAATGGCACCCGAGAAACAGAAGAGGAGTACAAGCATGCAACAAATCCACTCGCTCAAGATTATCATTGGGAGGCCATTGAACGTATCCTCTTCATTTACGCCAAATTGAATCCTGGTGTGGGATATGTCCAGGGCATGAACGAGCTCTTGGCACCGATTTATTATGTGTTTGCAAAGGATGATCATCCAGAGTCTCAAGCGTATGCCGAAGCCGATGCCTTTTTTGTGTTTACAATCCTCATGTCGGATGTGCGAGATCATTTTGTACGTTCATTGGATCAAGATGCTAGTACGGGTATCAATGCAACCATGCAACGCATGAGCCAACGATTGGCATGGGTGGATAAACCATTGTGGCGTGATTTGCGGAGAAAGGATATCAAGGAGCAGTATTATGCATTTCGTTGGATCACCGTATTGTGCTCTCAAGAATGGGATTTGCCAAACGTCATCCGCCTTTGGGATTCCATTCTAGCGGATCGGGACAATGAGAGCACAAGCAGTATGCGATTCGAGTTTTTGTTGGATTTTGCTGTTGCCATGGTCCTGTAAGTAAAGGTGTACACACAACAACAATGATGCAAAAAGCTGATTAAAAGATATGACATAGATGTATTCGACAAGATCTCTTAAAGACGGACTTTGCCGAAAACGTGCGACTTTTACAAAACTATCCCATTGACGACATCCAAATCGTGCTTACAACAGCGTACTCGGTGCGTGACATGCGATTGAATGCATTAGCAGCGGGTCAAGTGGTGCCTGGTTTCAATGATAAGCGTAGCAGCGGGTTGTTTTCAAGTGATTGGAGCGATACATCCTCCATCAATTCGACAGGGTCTGGTACCCGATTACAACGATTGCGAGAGACGACTGATATTGCACGTGCCAGCTTTGATTCATTCCGCAAAGAATCCAAGGAATCTCTAGATGAGTTGTTCCGACGCACTACTTCCCCCAACAACAATGAGCCTTGGAAACGAGCAAGTACAGGCGAAGTGGCAAGAAGTTTATCCCAACGATTGGCACTCAAAGTACGACGACAAAATTCATTGAATCAACAAAGTCAAGATACCGGCTTGTATCGAAGTAACTCGGTGCGATCCGAACAAACCCATCACACACGTAGCAACTCGTTGTTGAATCGTTTCTCACAAATGGTAACCAACAATAGCAATGCTGCTGTGTCACCCTTCAAATCATCATCATCGGCACTCGCTGCAACTGCTGCACCAGCGCAGGATCCTCCCACATTTAGAAATTATCGTGGATTTGTTTAAGTTGCTTTTGTTTTGTTCTCTATCTCTTGTTTATCTCACTCTCTCTCCCTCTCTTAGCCCCACACACCCACACACACACAGTATATGTATATTAAGTCATCATTCTTTTTTTCTCTCTCATCCATCCCTTTCCTTAGAGATCTCAAAGGGTCAAATCTTTTCCATGTCTTCATCCCTTTAACCCCCCCACCAACCAACCTTCGACTCGTAAGGAACCTTTGCATTACGTGCCTCGTCTTTCGATCTATTGTACACGTTTCTCGTTCTTTTTAACACTCACACAATCTATATTCTACTCTATTCTTTTGCTTGGAATGAATAACTTATATAAAGCCAGCTATTTCATATCATCTACATACGTTTATTTACATGAATAGTATCATAAGCTAGGATCAGGCTACGATGGGAATAGATGTTCACTTTTATTGAATGGTATGAGACAATCAAATTATCAACTTTTAGGGGGGCTGTTGTTGTTGTTGTCACGGTGTTGTGGGCTGCGACTTGGAACGATCCACACGTCGTCTTGGGGAACGGCGATCATGATCAGGAGGAGAATGACGTCTTTTCCTGCGACTATAGCGATCCTCACCATCATCCCCATCATCTCTTCTTCTTCGATGCCGACGTTCACTGGATCGATCATGATGGCGTCGATGATGTCGATGGCTTCTTCCTCTTCTTCTATCGTCCTCATCCTCTTCATCATGACGTCGATGATGTCGTCTATGCCGATCCATCTCTTCATATTCATCTCGTTTCCTTCGTCGATGGCTTTTACGATGGTCTTCGTGATCCGATGCGTCAAAACTTTGTCTACGACGACGACGATGACGATCCTTTTCTTGATCCATGGCCTCTTTTTCACGTGGTCGTTGAGATCTACGATCATCCTCCTCGACCTCTTTTTCTTCTTTATCCTCACGTCGTCGAGATCGATGTCGATGATCATGATATCGCCGTCTTGAACGATGGCTGCTGCTACCCCTGCTCCCACGATCATCCTCATATCCATTTCGCGGTCGATAATCATCCCGGCGCTTTTCACGTTGATCATCATCATCATCATCATCATCATGCCGGCTTGCGGATCGTGGTAAACGTCGACTTGCATTGCCTTCAGAATGTGATCGCTCATCCCGTTTCCGTATCACCAATGTGTCCCTTAATGCCTTTGCACCTTCATGTTGTGGATCCAATCGCAATGCATACTCCAAACGTTCCAATGCTTGTCGCCGCTTGTTTTCATGAAGCATGCTACCCATCATCATGTATGTCAATGTCACTGAAGATAGAGCCTATAGTAACCAACCAACCAACCAACTTACACCTCGGCTACACGGTAATAAGCCTCTGCGTATTTCCCATCCATATCCATTGCACGCTTGTAACATTCCATGGCACTTGATAGATTCTTCTTTTCAAACTCCTTGATGCCTTCTTGTACACTAGCTTATGCAATAAGTAACATTGACAACATAGAATCCCACGTGATATTTCTCACTTACGCTTCAACCGCATAATTACGATTTTGGACATCTCTAATCTTGAGGTAATTATCCATGACCGAAGGTTGACTATCCAAATCCTGCAATGCTGCCCGTTCACATGCTGGTGTCAAAAAGCTGGGTTGACGCAATGTCCTGCTTTGTACACTGAATAAACTCGCCAGCCGAAGCCATCGATGAGGATAATTGATGCCCGTATCTTTACGTATATTCGTATGCCACGCTTTTTGATCCACACTTGTCAACGTACTCACATCCAAGAACTGATAGGGATGTTGTTGTTGCTGTTGCTTTTGTTCTTGTTGTTGCTCTTCTTCTATAACAGCTGTCGTGTTGGTGGTGGTCTCTTCGGTTGGCGTTTTGGGACGTGTTTGTGCTGGCACGGTGATATTGCCGTTGCTCTTGCGTGCTTGGCGTTCCAAATGACGACGATTCAATTCAGTGACAGAACGAGAGTGCAGTTCAGTGACCATGGTGCGCGTGGTGGTGTCATTGATGAATGCTTTCAAGCGATCTTCAAAGGGGTCGGTCAAGGTTGCTGCTGGTGGAGGTGGCTCATAGCGTTTGATTTCAGTATTGTCCTTTGTCTTGATTGTCCAGCTGTGTGATGAAGTAGTTGCATTGCCATCCATTGGGTGGGGTAAAGGGAATGGGTAGAATACAAGTGCGAGTGAAAGAGTGGTGTTGGAGAGGAGGAAGAAAAGGAAGATTGATTGCTTTGATCACATTTGTCTATAGTCCCGCAGAAGACCCCCGCCGCCCCCATCACTGCCACCATGATGATGTACATGAATGATTGGATCGCTCTTTTTTTATGTAGTTTCATGATTGATGTATACATGCTAATCAAACCAGCACCATCCTTTTTGACACAATTCATCCATGATCTATATATATGTCTTGAAGCGTTAACGGGATGTTCTCTTTATCATGCCTTAAATAACAACATACCTTGAGTCTTAACCGGGTATCATCATGGATCGTATAGCGTTGTGGCATTAACCAATCTGGTGGAGAAGATAATGCTTCATCATCGTCATCATCGTCGTCGTCATCATCATTGTTATGGTCGTCATTGTCATCATCTTGAATGCCTACTGGTGGATGTACCAAACGAGCTTGTTGTTCTGATGTGGGATCAGCCGTCACCAAATCACCCATTGAGTTGAGGTATGCCCATAATTGCTCTGCTGCCGTGGATACCATCATGCACATGCTCTCCACATCCTCTTGTCTACCAGAAGCACTCCGCATCACAATTAAACTTTCCACATCACCCGATACAAGCGCTTCACGAACACATTCCTGGAAAGTACCATCGAGATTGGATTCGAGATATAGACTAGTGACCTTGAAGAGCTTTCCAAAGAAGCGAGCAAATTCTAACCGGGTCGCATGAGCACGACAAAGGGGTCCATTATTAACCGATAAGACATTGGATCGAGCCAACATTTGTGCACCTTGGCTACATTGTCGACGCCATATGGAAGTGAATTCTCGAGGTAGAAATGGTGCCAGTGGATACTTTGTACTCCTTCTTCGATATTTCTATATCAACAACAACGTCAATCAGTATCCATGGCAACCTACGTCATGGGGACTATTACTACTACTTACTGCATCATGTAACACACGAACAGCTGGACGATGAAGGTACATGTATCGGATGTCGAGACATAAATCAGCGTAATCCAACTCCATGCCAGTCGGCAACTCTCCCGATAGTACACGTCGTACAACCCACTTTTCAAGGCTGCTCAACAATTCGGTGAACTTGGCCCGTTGATCCTGTCGAGCACATTTCTCCACAGAGTGACATATCAGCTCCAGTAATTGATTCGCTATCGTATGCCGGGTTTCTTGGTTACTGCGGGTATCTTTGGGCATCGCTTCATAATGCCGTAATAAAGAACTTGCTTGGTATTGGAACCTGAATCGCCGTACAAGACAATGTCTCACCACATGAGCTATTCCTGGGATAGTCAAAAGTGTCTCCAAATCTCGAAATCGTAAATGACCGAGTACAATATGCAGTAATTCTGTCGGTAGTTTGGTGAGCATATAGAGTCGAGAGAAACCGAAAGAGAGTGAAAGAGTGAGAGAGTGAAAACGAGTGAGAGAAAAAGAAAGGGGTGGAAAGTGTAAAGTTATAACAGTAATGGTAGTAGCAATAGTAGTAGTATGAAAGCGACAAGGGGTTGAAAAAGAAAGGGGCCCACAACCAAAGAAAGAAATGAACAAGTGGCACCAAAATAAAATAATCCACACGCAATCCATAAGCAAACATTACAAGATGTTGTCATAGCATCATCTTTTACTTGATGGCATCACTTCATCCTTTTTTACTTGACTTCTCAATGACGATAATTATACTCTACATGGTAGCAATTAGAATAGTGCCTCGCTTGACCATGCTTGAGTTTCTTGTAAATTGGATATCATTTTGGTACTATCTATAAATGAAATGCCTAGAAATGGTATTATCTGGGAGTGAGTTTTTGGACCAGCAACCATTTGTTGACGCCAAAAGAGGCGCTCATCATAGCCACGCACGTATACATATTATGCTTGAATCTTGATCAATTTGTGTAACCATCGTTCATTATGTTCTTTATCATCGGCATAGTGGTGTGTGGGATCAGCATCTGAAACAAGCATAATCACCCAGGCAACCACAACAATTCTCAATCTATCATTGTACCCACCCTATGTAGCTCATAAATGTTGACATACAATGGACATGCTTCATTCTTCGTAATGATACAGCCGTGTTGTATATGCAACGCTGATGATCGTAGATCCATTCACCATCCTGTGCATGGATTAGACAGCTGCATGATGAAATGTTGTTGGGTCTCACTATACGGGAGCAATTTTCCCACAAGAAATGATCACGTTTTGCATGATGCATTGTCACAAGTACCAACGTGGTGTGCAACTGACTTGCCATGGTACCAGTATCCTTAACTTGTGTAGCGGGGTATCATCTCCCTGTGTCTGTGTGTTCCTTGTGCACATTCAAAAGAGTTCAAGAAGCACAAATGTCATTGTTACGCAATCTGTGCGAGGCACGTTTTGCTATTACTCCTCTCAAACAATGATCAGTGATAGCGATAGAAGGCTATCGACAATAACCTTTTTGGATATGACTATCTCAATCCTGTTGTTGTTGTGGTGCAAATGTTTAAAGGTACGTTATCTTGAATAAAGCCTACACCTATAACCTCCCCCTTTTCTTTTGAGTAAAACTACTCCTTGTCTTTTATAACACAGCCCACTTTTTTGATGCATGAAACTGACATCAGCCATGAAATGATCGATCCAACACAATAATGACGAGCACATACACTGATTATTCAAGAGCAATAGGCTATACCCAAAGGAAACGGAAGCAAACAATACGGTGCTCCCACACTTTCTCAAGCTCATATGCATATTGGGCAATGCATTCTTATTGGGTCACCGCTCGATTTAACGACTCAGACATTGGACTTTTTTGCATTTTGCTTTTCTTCCCTTTCGCTTTTCCTTTTCTTTTGCTTCAACGTGTATCATGGCTCCTACGAAAAAGTCTGCCCAATCCAAAGCTGCCTCCAGTAACAAAAAGTCGGCTCATCCTACTGTAAGTTGCTTATCCATGATCTATTCTTTCTTTGGGAGGAATGTGTTGTATCGGTGGAGGAGTGCGGTATCTAACAATTTTTTCTTCTTGCTTTTCCTTTTGCGCAGTACGAAGAGATGATTAAAGGTACCTAAATACACCCATCATTCACACCAGTTCTCGACATACTCTTTACGATCATTTGCTGATAACGACTGATATAGCTGCAATCATTGAACTCAAGGAGCGCAAAGGAAGCTCGCGTCAAGCTTTGAAAAAGTATCTCCTCGCCAACTATGATCTCACCGCCAATTCCCACTTTGACTCGCAATTCAATGCTGCTATCAAACGCGGTGTCGCCAAGGGTGTCTTTTCTCAACCCAAAGGTATGTTCAACAAAATACATGAATGGCGATGATGGAGAGAGAGGGATGAAAGAAGGGAAAGAGGGAGGAGAGTTTCTTTTTCAAAAACACGCGTCGTTTCATATACGCGTTATCAAAACCTAGGATGGGTTTTTGTGTGGCCTGCTTATTAACTTGAGGGTGGTTTTAGGCACTTCTGGTACTGTGAAGCTTGTCAAGCCTGAAAAGACTTCATCGTCAACTACCACCAAGAAGGAAACCAAGACGACACCCACTACCAAAAAGGCCGCCGCAGCATCCAAGGCGAAGAAGGCCGCCAAACCTGCAAAGAAGGCTGCTGCTACTACCAAGAAGCCTACAACTGCTGCTGCCAAAAAGAAGGTTGCCACCGCTAAGAAGGCTGCCACTGCTGCTGCTGCCAAAAAGAAAGCAACACCTACCAAGAAGGCAGCACCTACCAAGAAGGCATCAACCACGGCCAAGTCCAACGTCAAGGCACCTGCAAAGAAGAAGGCTGGTACTCGATCTACACCATCCCGTGCTGCCAAAAAGGCATGATTGTACCCACACACCCACACGCACACACCATGTAGAGCTTGAGTTGACGTTGTTCTTTTATTCTTCCCCAAACGATACGATTTTTATGATCATGATTTGCTTTACTCTCTTCTCTTCTTTGCTCCCATCCTCGTCCTTCCCTCTGATTCCCTTTATTCCCTTTTCATCATGATTATCAAAGAAACAAATTATACAGCTTAGGTTTGCGATACTTGTGTGATTATGGGTTTGCATGAAAAAAGGGGAGGGGCGATCCAACTGGTAATAATAATGCAAATTTGTCTCATCCGTACGACCTATCCGGCGGCGTCGCCTAGGTATACGCGCGCACACACATGCGTATCATATGATACGCTGATTTTGACTTGGGTTTTTTTTTCTCCGCAATGATCCACATATGTGATGATGCAGGGGCAGACGACGCACACACACACACACACACACAACCCAATATCTCCTACCTAATTGACTCGATGGTGCTTTCATTATGATCCACAACAAAGAAACGCTTTATTTTTAGCATGGTCATACTGCTATGGAACGTGACATGATGATCCTCCAACACCCTTAATAGCAATGCAGCGTCCTTGTATTCAAGTGGGTCATTATCTTTACGTACATACTTGGTAACCTCATAAAGCGTTCTGAATTCGGCTGTCGGATATAATGTACCATTGAGCTTCGTTTCATTCTCAAGGATCCGTCGTATTGGGTCGCAAGCGGGGTCAGTAGGATCCATCAGAAGACCTTAACATAGGTACGTGAATGAGCACGTGTCCTTGGTGATGAACATGCGAACCATAACATGGATGTCGTCAATGATACGGCTTCGCGGCTTTCAACGGTCCCTTTGGCTGTTGGTGTTTTCCTGCAAGATGGATGCCCCAGAAGCGGAAAAGACGCAACCTGCCGATGATGTATATTGCAAATCCTTTTCTTTGGTTGGTATCCTGTCAAAGACCGCCATACCCATTCCTTCCTTACCTTAAGGGATACGATCATCATTTCGCCATCCAGCTTTCTCCATATCCAACGGCGTGATTCAATGTCCTTTAGTAAACCACCATCCAGATTGCCTTGAAGTGTTCCTGCTCGTGGTCAGCAGCTCTTGACCACATAGAATGGAATCAACGTATTCTCTCAAAGCCGAATAGGTGAAGAAGGAGTGTAACCTTGAAGAAATGAATAAGCTTAAGGTGCAAAGACAAATAAAAAACACTTACTAGTTCTTACGCAAGGATCGTTAGGCAAATTCTTCATCGCCGAACATGGCTAGCCAAGAATTGAAACAGATGGGATGCACCATATCAGGTATTTCCATGGCAGCAAATGGATCATGGTAGCTACATAGAAAGAAATGAATACGTGTCATAGCAATCATTTTGATTAGGATTTACCTCGTGTCAATCATCAGCTACTATATCACAATGACATCCGCAACAATGAAAATAGGATAACAACGAACCCCCTATAAAGAATAGCCACAAAGATCAGTGTTTGTATATACCTACAAAGATACGTACAAGAATGATACACATACCAAACCTTGACTCATGATGTTGTAAGTAATCAAAGGGCTATGATGTGTAGGCGATCTCTATGCTCGCCAAGACGACGATGTGATGAATGCTTGTTGCGGATGGCGCATGAGCTGATAAAGTGGTGGGATTGTTGTCCAAAGAAAGGTTTGTCCATGCATAAATCGGGCAATTGACATGGCAACATCCCTCATGAAATAATGAAAAGGCGACGGGACATGAATGAAGTAGTACGTGTTGCTGATGACAAACAGGGCATCCACAATAATCCGTATCCATCAGCTGCGTTGTGCCTCCATATACATGCTCAATGATTTGGCTGAGCGGGAACCGGACCTCGGATGATTCATTGAAAACGATCGCGTATGCTTAATCAACTCAAGAACATGATACAATCGAACATTGTCATTCAACCAAAAAGCAACGCTGTGTGCTGTTGGTGCTGATCTTCCGAATGGCTGATGATGGCTGAAGATGTTACACGGTGTAACCAGGACCGGGTCATGGGATTTATGCGATACAGCTGTAATCAATCATTGAACCTTTGCGGTTTCCTTGTCAACGCGTATCCTCGCTCTTCAAAGATGGATTTGGTTGCTGCTCTCTGTCAGTTTCCAGCCGAAATCAACAATGTCATTTTCTCGTATATGGATCTGAAACAACTGGGAGAGTGCCTGCTTGTATGTAGGCAATGGCGTGACAACATTCCAAACTGGATCCAGGCGCACGACCGATCGTTATGTCTCAGCATGAAGCAGTTCAACAAGGCACAATCAACGTTACAGCATCTTGGAAGGGTCGTTCAAGGGATTCATCTTCACTGTGGGAGAGACGAGGTCAACTTGCAACAAGTCATTGACAACCTGATTGCACTGGATCTACCCCATGTGGATACATTGGGTAAGTAGCTGTATAGTTGACACCCATTGTATTCCATGAACTTACATCATTGCTTGTAGAGTTGTTTTCTATACCAATCGGAGGGTCAAGTGTTGTCGAAGTATGCGAGGCGTGGTGTCAGCTGGGAACCAAACTACGTCGCTTACGACTGACACACAGGGATGCCGCAAAAGCTCCAATTGACGTTTCCCCGCTGCTTGATTGTTGTCCATATCTCACCCACCTCACAGTCGACTACCCTCGTTCTCGTGTCCCCTACTACCTCAAGTTCTTTGGACAAGGTCGACATCTACAACTTCAGTACTTGAAACTCGAAGCTTACATTGAAATGCAAGATTTGTTGTCACTTGTACGACGTTGCCCGGAGCTGCGCTATCTACGTATCGATTGGGATCATTCAATGGACATGAAACAAATCTTGGATGCTTGCCCTTCACTCAAAGGTGTTAGTGTGGATACCCGAATCCATCATGTTAAGGATCCATGGTGGAAGGACCGACATCATGTGCCAATGACAACAACATCATCACTACAAGAGCTTGATTTGCATGTGAAGTATGAGGATTTATACCTACAGACAGCAACCATGCTTACTCAACATTGTGAACATCTCAAGCGGCTACGTTTGGATATCGGCGTTATTATTTGGGAAGGAAGGATAAAGCAACAAGACTTGACTACGCTTGAATATGACCCACTACCAGCTCTGGAGGAATTTGAGTATCATAGTGGCTATCCACTTGTACCAGCCAAAGCAGCCTTTGTGACCCCATTGCTCAAAAAGTGTCCAAATCTTAAATACATCCGCTTTGATACCAGTCGCGCTGGTCCTATCTATCGTGCGCTTGTTGGATTTCATTTACCCTATCTACGATGCCTAAGAGTCAGCGACACGGATCATGAGATGGATGGACTTGAAGATCTGCTGTTCTCTATTGCCCATACCAATACCCCGTTGGAGCGATTTGAATTTGGAGGAGATGTTTTCAGATCACATTTGATATACCAGGCACTTGCACAAATATCCTCATTACGGCATATCGAATTGAATGACTATGGGACGAGAAGACCACGGGATAAAAAAGTCATGACCCAATGCCTTAGTCGTCTTCGTGGTGATGGTGTTACCAGCACGCCAGCTACCAGAAATCTCGAATCGATCGATTTTTTTCATGTGGAAGGTTTCATGACGGTCGAAGCATTTGGTTCCTTGCGAAAGATATTCCCTCTCAAACGAGTGGCATTTCATCGATGCGGCTCCATCAGTGAACGAGGTTTGCGATTACTAGTGGATCGGGAGCCACCATTGGAGTACTTGGAAGTCCACTTGAGCAGCAGAACAATGGATGGTGAATCATTGGAACCACTTCTCGCTTATGCTAGAACCAAGATACCTATAGTCAAATCCCCGGGTCCTTAGCCCTTTATTACTTAATACATGTTTCATACATCATATACAGTAACATCATGTTGAAAGGGTCACTCTAAAAACGATTTGACCCAACTATACAACATCCCAACCGACATACGTGAATAAAAGCAATCATAGAACGAATACAAATCTTGGCTATTATGTGACTTTATTTCTTTAGAAAGTAGGCATGGTATGTGTACATTAAGAGTTGTGGCATGGCATAGGGACGTCATTGTTTGATAATGGGCTCAGGTTGTTGTAATTTGATTTTCGGTGTTGCCATGGTAGCCTTGGGATGTTGAGGGACATGCTGGGATATCAGGAACTTTTACTGGTCTTGTGCTTGCACTATCGATGCCGATTGCTTGTGCGACAAATTGGGCGTTCAAGGCGAGGTCTACCACGTCTCCACCAGCAGCGTTGGGCCTCCACATACATGCTCAAATGATTTGGCTGGGCGGGAACCGGACCTCGGATGATTCATTGAAGACGATCGCATATGCTGAATCACGTCAAGAACACCAAAAAGCAATATATCATATCCTTTCGTGCTGTGAGCTGTTGGCGTTGATATTCAAATGGCTGATGATGGCTGAAGTCATTACACAGTGTAACCAGCACCGAATCATGGGGATTTATGCGACACAGTTGCTATCCATTTGAACCATTGTGGTTTCCTTGTCAACGGATATCCTCGCTCTTCAAAGATGACTTTGGTTGCTGCTCTTTGTCAGTTTCCAGCCGAAATCAACAATGTCATTTTCTCGTACCTGGATATGAAACAGCTGCTCGAGTGCTTGGCTGTATGCAGGCAATGGCGTGACAACATTCCATTCTGGATTGAGACACAGGAGCGAACGCTACAGCTCAGCATGTCGCAGCTCGACAATGCACACCCACCGTTGCAATACATTGGAAGGGTCGTTCAAGGGATTCAGCTTGCTCCTTGGAGACAAGAGGTCAACTACCAACAAGTCATTGTCAACCTCGTTGCGTTGGATCTACCGCATGTGGATACATTGCGTAAGTAGGTGAATACTTGACACCCATTCTATTCCATGAACTTACATCAATGCGTGTAGAGCTGTATTTTATGCCAGCCAAAGGGTCAAGTGTTATTGAAGCATCGAAGGCGTGGTATCAGCTGGGAACCAAACTACGTCGCTTATTGCTGAGTCTCAAGCATCCCACAAGAGGTCAATTTGACGTTTCTCCACTGCTTCGTTGTTGTCCATTTCTCACCCACCTTGCAATCGACTACCCTCATTTTTCTGAACCTTACCTCAAGTACATTGGTCAAGGTCGACAACTACAACTTCACTACTTGAAATTCCGAGCCCACATTGAAATGCAGGATTTGTTGTCACTTGTACGACGTTGTCCGGAGCTGCGCTATCTACGTATTGGTTGGAATCATTCAATGGACTTGAAACAAATCTTCGATGCTTGTCCTTCACTCAAAGGTGTTGGTGTCAATACCAGAGTGTTTGAATCAGACGATCCATGGTGGAAGGACCGACGTCATATGCCAATGGCAACAAGAAGATCACCTACTACGGCATCAATACAAGAGCTTGACATGTATGTGAAGTTTGAGGATTTATACCTACAAATAGCAGCCATGCTCAATCATCATTGTGAACATCTCAAGCGGCTGTATTTGGATATCAACATTGATAATTGGGATGGACGGATAAAACAACATGACTTGGATACGCTTGAATATGACCCACTACCAGCTTTGGAGGAATTTGAGTATCACGCCTATCAACCAGCACCGGCCAAAGCATCCTTTGTGATCCCTTTGCTCAAAAAGTGCCCAAATCTTAAAAGCATCTACATTAATACCAGAGAAGCTGGTCCTATCTATCGTGCGCTTGTTGGATTTCATTTACCCCATCTACGATGCTTAACTGTCAGCGACACGGATCGTGATATGGATGGACTTGAAGATTTGCTGTTCTCTATTGCCAATACCAATACCCCGTTGGAGCGTTTCATATTTAAAGGAGATGTTTTCAGATCACATTGGATATACCAGGCACTGTCGCAAATATCCTCATTACGGCATATTGAATTGGATGACTTTGAGCCGAATGTCTTTAAAGCGAGAAAACGGGATAAGAAAATCATGACCCAATGTCTAAATCGTCTTCATGGTGATGGTGTTACCAGCACGCCAGCTACCAGAAATCTCGAATCGATCGATTTTTTTCATGTGGAAGGTTTCATGACGGTCGACGCATTTGGTTCCTTGCGAAAGATATTCCCCCTCAAACGAGTGGCATTTCATCGATGCGGCCCCATGAGTGAGCGAGGTTTGCGATTACTAGTGGATCGGGAGCCACCATTGGAGTATTTGGAAATGCACTTGAGCAGCAGAACAATGGATGATAAATCGTTGGAGCCAATCCTTGCTTATGCTAGAACCAAGATACCTATAATCAGAACCCCGCGTCCTTAGCCCTTATTACTTAATACATGTTTCATCCATCATATACCATCATGTTAAAAGGTCACCATAAAAACGATTTGACGCAACTCTACAGCATCCCAGCAGGCATACCTGCATAAAAGCACTCATAGAACGAATACATACCTTGGCTATTATGAAAACTTTACTTTTAGAAAATAGGCGTGGTATGTGTACATTAAGGGTTGTGGAATGGCAGATGGACGCCATTGTTTGATAATGGCCTCAGGTTATGTGGTTTGGTTTTTGGTGTTGCCATGGCAACCTTGGGATGTTGACGTGCATGTTGGAATGCACGAACCTGAGGTTCCTTGAAGTATTGCAGACGACATGAACACCATAATAGGGCGGCAGGATGTGATTGATGATGGCTGTTAGATTTGAGTTAGGTCTTTTAAGGGGTGAAATTTAGTGTATGGACACAGCGCGGAAATCACTTGGATACATGGATTGATTGCAAGCTCGACTTCAAGAATAAATTATCGATCATGGGTACCTACAAATACTGTGTCTTAGCCTATGTAGCATGTCGTTTTGAAACATAATGATGATACTGTAATTGCAAAGTTGTATTTGTTAGGGCATGATCGATGACTGTGGCATGTTTGTGATGAGCTTTGATGCGTATAGGACGTAGCCATTAGCGGATTCGTGAGCAAGTATGAGTTCTCAAAGTTGGCAAACCACTCAATGTTGCCTGAAGCGTTTTTATTTCCGGGGCTTCTATACATAAGGCCAATGATGAATACGTATCATATCGTTTTTTCTCTCACATGCTCCATGTTTATCCCATGCAATGCAATGCAAGTAGGAACTAGTTTTAGGTTATCAGAATCAGTGTCTACTATTAACGATGATGCTATGCTGCATCACCGACTAGCAGAGGCAATCAGCACTCTCTTTCACAACTCTTGCATCATACTAAAGAATCAGTGAGGTACAATGCTATTCAATGGATGAATACAACAAAAGATGAATCTGTTATAGAAGGTATACGGCTGGGGGATTTTCTTTTTCGTCTCCGGTCAACGGCGTTTATTATGCAGCGATCAGCAACGTATTCAATCGCCTTTGGTTTGGCCCATGCTTCATGCACGTTCACCGAACAACATCATGTGTCTATGTACATGGTGTGCATTTGTGGTGTAGCATTAAAAGTTGGCTATTCAATTTACAGATATTTAGATGTTAAACCACCAATCTTATGTACCACCCTTTCGATTTCCTGTTGTTGGCATGACAAATTCCAAACCAATGAAAAAGAGATGATTAATAAAGCCATATGTTATCATTCTGTGTACACGGCTGCTGTGAAAACTGCATTTGATCTTGCACCTCCTATGATGGAATGTAAAGCAGTAATCGTTTTGTTGATTGCATAGAATCTTGGGGGAGTTGTTGAAATATACGGCAACGAACATTGTTGATCCTCAAAGTATATGCACACCCACACACGATCGTTTATAATGGACTCCTTTTTATATTCCCAAGATACATCTTCTTTTGTTACATACTCAAATAGCTATGACTAATCCGCAAAACGAATCCAATAATCCGGCCATAGAACACCAATTGACAAGAACGGAAGAAATAGCGAGCTCGACGCCTGCTGACGGATTTTCTTCAGCCGCAACATTCGTAGATGCTTCTGATAATCATCACCGCAACGCTGAGGAGCCGGATGCCAAGGCTACAGTGACTCTTCATACTGAAAGCAACATCGATAACCCAACGAGTCAACCACTGGTAACCACGGGAGATGATCCATATTATACTGAAGGATGGCGTAATCCAGGATGGCTTGCAGGCGGGAGTCTATTCTTGGTCACAACCGGTACCTTTGGCATGATGATGAGTTGGGGCACCTTCCAACCCGTGTATCTTGAAAAAGTGTATCCAGGTCAAACGGATGCTTTCCATATAGCCTTCGTCGGTACCATTGGCCATGCCCTTTCATCCTCTCTTGGAATCCCCTTGTCGTTGGTCATCAATAAGATTGGCCATCGCAATACATTGGCTATTGGTGCTGTGTTGTGTCGTCTTGGTCTGTTCCTCGCCAGCATAGCTACCCAATTGTGGCAAACATTCATAACGCACGGATTCATCTTTGGCCTAGGCGCTTCATTCTGCTTCAGTGCATCATTCATGCTTCCATCCCAATGGTTCGTTCGACAAAGAGCGCTTGTAAATGGGTTGGCGAATACTGGAGCAGCCGTAGGTGGATTGTGCTTTTCACCCCTATCCGAGTACTTGATGCAGACATTGGGATATCGTAACGCCTTACGTGTATTGGGTGCCATCCTCTTTGGCTTGTTCGCCTTGGCCACAGTTCTTGTAAGAGTGCGCTATCCACCATCCTCTTCTTCATCCGATAAGCAACAACGCGATAACAACAACTATGGATCCATATCAACACGTGCATCATCATCACCTCTACTCAGTATCCCATTTGCTCTGTCGATGGCATTCTCACTCCTCGCTCCCTTTGGGTATATTGTTCCTTTCCATTTCATGCCTACCTATGCAATGGTGGAACTTGGTTGCTCGCCTTCGGTTGCATCCACGATGGTGTCTGTGGGAATGGCTGCCAACATTGTGTGCCGAATTGCTCTGGGCTTCATTGGCGATCGTTTGGGACAAATCAATACGCTCTTCATCGCCACATTCGTTTCAGGTGAGTGAAGGAGAGTAAGAGTATGGGAAAAGATCAAAGCTGACACTTTCATCATGCACGCACAGCAATTTTTACCACGACCATGTGGCAAAATGCACATACATTGGCGACGTATGCTGCATACGTTTTTCTGATTGGACTGACATCGGGTGCCTATTTTGGATTGATCCCATCCGTGTTGGCAAGGATAGTGGGAATGAAGCAATATCTATATATCAGTGGCTCTATGGCATGGATGTTCATGGCAATTGGGACATTGCTGGGTACCCCTTTCTTTGGAAGATTGGCAGAGATCTCATGGACATGTGCCATCCAATTTGCAGGTGCAACGTCCCTTGCAGCTGCTGCATGTATGTTCGCTATTCGTTTCTTGCTGGATAAGAGACTTCTCAGCAAGCTTTAAGGTGTCCGAAATTCCCACTCCTCTCGTATTATGTAATTCATGCATTCATCCATACCCTCCCAATCACCTTCCTTTTGTATGTTGGTACATAGACCACCCTTTAATATCATCACCCTACAATGCAAATACAAGAATGATGAAATGCACATGCGTACGCACGGGTTATGCAGCAAGGCAATGAGGGAAAGAACAGGTGTAATCCGACTAACACGCTTTTTTTATTATCTATTCTTTACGTTTATTTATGTAATGAAAATCATACAGCAAGGAAGGTAATGAAAGCATAGAAGAACATTATTATACAGCAAGGGAACCAATGAATACAACGATGATGGTTATGTATGTATACAGCAAGTGGATATAAGAAAGCGACAAGGATGGTTATACAGCATGGGAATACAATCAACAGCCTTCGTATTCATTATCTCCAAGTTCCACTTTTTTCGCTAGGTCGAGTGTAGGAAGCAACGTGTCGCATTATCCAGTGCAAGTTGCGGACTTGGTGTTTCTCTCTCTAAGATTTTGGCTGCTTGTAATTGCTCCTTGTCCCGGACGATAACAATGGGTGATGATAAATCGACCACTGGGTCTTCCAAATTGTGGTCGTGTAATAAGCTGCTTTTGGGCACTTTGGAGAGTGTCGTAGCACCAGTGACCGACTTCGTGATGCTCGACATCTGTGACATATCCTTTCGTTCTTTGGATCCAAGGAATGCTAAACATACACCACCCAACAACTTGTTCTAATCGAGATTGATGTTAATCATTATGATCACCATACGATCGTACCAGTGACTACCTCTGCATCCTGTCTCCCCTTTATAGGTGCTCTTGTAACACCTGATAGGATATCGCCAATGACCTCGTAGCGGTCTTCTCTTTGTTTCTCATGTATTTATGCCACCTACAAAGGAGTCTCAATTTTCCTATCAGTCTAGGCATCCTTTTAATATAGAAGTGGTAGTTATACTTACCCCAAAGGGTTCATCAAGGAACACAGCGTAGAGCAATAAAGAGAGCTACATAGGTGGATGCATAAGAACCCTCATTTTGGGGATCCCATAAAGACTATCCTTGAGACTTACCAAAGGCCATTGATGATGGTATGCATACAAGTGTGTAGAAAGAAAAGACGTATGATAGTGTCGGCGACAACAGCCTTGTTTATATGTGAGTGGGCGTGGGAGTTGTTGTCATGATGGATCAAACTGATAAAGTGGTCAAGCATCTTGGAGTACTGAGCCAAAGTGATGGAAAATCCATATGCTACTTCTTAAAAGATGATTTTGTAGGTGAGGTAAGTATGTCCGTTGCCCTGATTGGATTAACATCCGGTGCCTGCTTTATTGATCCCATCCGTGTTGGCAACGATAATGGGGATGAAGCAATATTCATATATCAGTGGCTCTACGGCATGGATGTTCATGGCAATTGGGACATTGCTGGGTACCCCTTTCTTTCGAAGATCGGCAGAGATCTCATGGATACTATATGTGCCATCCAATTTGCAGGTGCAACGTCCCTTGCAGCTGCTGCATGTATGTTCGCCATTCGTTTCTTGCTGGATAAAAGGCTTCTCAGCAAGCTTTAAGGTGTCACTTTTTGATCCGATATTCCACTCTCGCATTATGTAATTCAAGCATTCGTGCCCTCCCAATCACCTTCCTTTTGTATGTTAGTAGTAGACCACCCTTTAATATCATCCTACAATGCAAAATACAAAAATGTAATGCACATGCATGTACTACGTGATCGGAAAACACATGACGGCTCCTTGATTTGTCATCACACCATGTTGGAATGATGGATGGGATGGCTCATTGTTAGCGTAACCAGGTCCTATACAAAAGTGTGTCGTTGCCTAGCAACAGCGATCAAGTAACAAAGTTTTTGGATCCTCCATTGTCTTCGAGAATCGCGGAGTGTTGGATGGGTGTACAAGATTAAGCTTGCAAAAAAAATTACCCCGTCATCAGGGACATCTTTTCTCCACAGGCTTATGTTGATTATCCCCGCACGTAACACCTCGCCATGATCCTTGTTCTTTTTCTCTCCACTTGGATCATTTTATCCCGATTTTAGTTAATTGATCATTTGGCAATAAAAACAAGTCATGGCAAAAGATCAGACCAGCAGCAAAGACAAGTCATTAGAACAAGAGCCTTCATCAACCTTATCAGGCGACCACGACCTTGGGAACCTTGAAAAAGCAAAAAGTGGTGATCATCCACAACAGCCACCAGCGACCAGCAATAATAATGAACAAGATTCAGCGTCGATGAAAACGAGAACCGATCCTGATCATATTTCATCACCTGATATGAAACGATTTGATGGCGAAGATCCCTATTGGACTGAAGGTTTAAAGAACCCTGGATGGCTTTCAACCGCTACCGTTTTTCTCGTCACCTTTTCCACTGTGGGTTTCCTATTTTGCTGGGGAACATTTCAGCAGTATTATCTGGAACATGTATACCAGGGACAAACAGATTCCTTCCGAATTGCCTTTGTCGGCACCATTGGCTATGCAGCTGTCACAGGCACTGGGCCAATCATGTCATTAGTGATCCGCCGCATAGGTTATCGCCGCACCATGTTGATAGGCAACGTCCTATGCCCATTGGGACTTTTCTTGGCAAGTGCCACCACACAATTATGGCAAGTGTGAGTATCTCGATATCATACAATGATAAAAGGCTGCTTTTTAATTCCATTTTCGTTGCAGCTACTTATCGCAAGGACTTCTTTTTGGCTTGGGAGGCGGCTTTTGCTTCAATGCATCCTTCATTTTACCATCACAATGGTTCGTACGAAAAAGGGGTCTCGTCAATGGTGTTGGTAACACAGGTGTTGCATTTGGAGGCATGGTCTTTTCACCACTTGCCAATTACCTCATTCAAACCCTCGGGTATCGAAATGCACTCAGGGTCATGGGTTGCATTGTTTTTGTACTTCTTGCTCTTGGAACAGCACTTGCTCGTGCAAGATACCCACCACCCTCACGAAAACGAAGCAACGAAAGCATTGTCAGCAGTGAAGAAGAAAACAACAACGATGATGAAAAAAGCCAAAGCAACAAGAAACGTCGTCCATCATCATGGTTTTCTTCCCCACTCATCAGCATCCCATTTGGTTTATTCATGATCTTTGCTTTGCTTGCGCCTCTTGGTTATCTGATCCCTTTTTATCTGATGCCTACCTATGCCACGCAAGTATTGGGTACGAGTGAATCTATGGGCTCATCGTTAGTGACCATAGGAAATGCGGCCAATATCATTTGCAGAATTGTTTTAGGAGCCACTGCTGATCGCATTGGTCAATGCAACACCCTTTTTACAACAACATTGCTATCCGGTAAGCTACAACTTTCTTTGTTTGTCCATGCACATGCTAACGTATGCTGTGCCACATTCCATAACTAGGCATCATCACTATGGTCATGTGGCAGTTTGCAACAAGTTTGGGAGTTTATGGAGTGTACACTGCGTTAGTCGGCCTCACAGCTGGTGCATACATTAGCTTGATGCCATCCGTTGTTGCGCTTCTGGTGGGAATGGATAACTTGTATAGTGGTGTTGCGACGTCATGGGTGCTCATGTCAGTAGGATCATTATTGGGTACACCCATGTTTGGCTTGATGCAATCAAACCTTGGTTGGACAGCGAGCATTCAATTTGCAGGAGCTGCTACGGTGGTAGCTGCCTTATCCATGCTTGCCATTCGATTCAAACTTGATCGACGCCCCTTTGTAAAGATATAAATCTACCACAAGATATCCCCTATATTTCATTCCCCAACATAGTATTCATAGCGGCACATGTACCCACCAACATACATCCCTTTGCTAATAATACAACACGTAATCTGCATTCTTAGAAGATGAGATCTTTATGTCGCCATAATGTTTGTTTAAGAGAGAACTACCAAATGTGTGCCATCATCATGCTATGATGAAGACGAATGACGTGGCAACTAACACGCTTATGTATACATGTAGTCATTCCCATTAGCCATGCTGCAGTATGCTAGCAGCTACTAAAGGACCATGTCCAAAGCCATTAGGTGGAACGTGTTCATGATTTGGAATGATGAATAGGCTGCATTAACAAACAAGGGGCGTTTTTCTACGTATGTACTCGGTTATTATTTTAGGTAACAAAAGTGATCGGCAATTGTGGCATCAACCTTATCCCTGAAAATCACTTTCGGTGATCCCCTTGCAGCATGGCGGTGGATCCCGTCAAAGTGGAAATCCTCCCTATACTGCTCCAATGATTATCGTGGGCAACAAAGCTGTGAGATTACATGTAATTTATGTTACTTTGTATTACAAACATCGTACATGAATATAAGATTAGATTAGATAAGACTTCGAATTCATGCACAAGTAATGCATCAAGGTATACATTGCATCGCCGTTATCTTTAACAACATCTGTGTATCCAAAATTATGAGGAATGGGGAGTGAAAGGAATGATCAGGGATGACGACGTGATACATAAGTACGTGAATGAGCTCATATGGGAACGACGGCTGAGTCCTACACGAGAAGGTTATAGCAACAGTGAGATGGGGGCTCATGCTAGATGATGAAGAAGAACTTAAGTATTTGATGATCTGATTTAGCATATACGTGAAGAAGCCTCCTGAATGAAGTCCCTAGCAGAGAGAATAAAGAGATCTCCGTATATTGAATATCCTTCCTAGTTTTCTTTTTCAAAAAAGAAGACAGGCGCCGATCATTATCCGCTTTTCGTTGATGTATGGTTGCCGTGATTGCCGAGCACCTTCAGAAGAAGACGTTGATCGAAAGGCCATTATTCAGACGTGCATCATACGCGTCGCGGTTAGCTTGTACGCGTATACAGCCCAATGATCTATCACCAGCACCAACACGCCCCTGCTCCCTGATCTGGGTTCTTGTTGAATGTGTTAAACCTATAAGATTTCAAAATACGTTGAGACCACTGTAATTGTATACACGAGGGTGATCAATATACACCTTGCATGGAGACCCCATGAATTCGGGAGAATAATGCATAAGGCACGTATAAGGTTAGCAGAAGTTGTTGAGTGTTTGCCTTTATCTTCACCTTGAAATTTTCTACCATCCAAACTTCTTGTTTTTGTAATACTATCTTTTATTATATATAACAAAACGCCATGACACCATTACAAAATCATGATCACGAAGGCCCTGAAAGAAAACAATATAACAACAACAAGGCTAACAATGAGCCACAGCACCACGTTGAAGAAGACGAATCAAATGAAAGCACTATGGGCGTGTCCATGGCAACCAAATCACCTGCTGCTGATGGTAGTGATCCCTATTATACTGAAGGATGGCACAACCCAGGATGGTTAAGCACACTATCACTCTTTTTGGTCTCCTTTGGTGTCGTTGGATTCATGTTTTCGTGGGGTGCTTTTCAACATTATTATCTTGAACATGTCTATGGCGGCCAAACCGATTCATTTCATATCGCATTCGTGGGCACGATTGCCTACATGTTGAGTACGTCCTTGGGATTGCCTATGGGCTATATCATTTACTACATTGGCTATCGACGTACCATGATGATTGGTACCGTGCTTTGTCCTCTTGCCCTCTTTCTTGCCAGCGTTGCCAACGAGTTGTGGCAAACAGCTTTATCACACGGTGTCATGTACGGCTTAGGTGCCAGCTTTTGCGTCAGTGCAACGTTTGTTCTCCCATCCCAATGGTTCATAAAAAGGCGTTCCTTAGCAAATGGCATAGGGAACATGGGCGTACCAGCTGGCGGCATATGCTTCTCACCCCTAACCCAATACCTTCTCGATACACTTGGGCATCGAAATGCATTACGAACGATGGCGTGCATTTTGTTTGTGGTTTTCTCTCTGGCCACCATTCTCATCAGAGCCAGGTATCCTCCAAAGCCCCCACAGTATCGAGCTGGTGTTGATGATGAACAAGATAAAAAGGCAAACACAACAAGATCCCCTTTACTCAGTACGCCCTTTATTCTTTTCTTGGTGTTCCTAGCACTAGCCCCATTCGGCTACCTGATACCCTTCTATTTGATGCCAACCTATGCAACTCAAGCGCTTGGGGCAAGTGGCTCTCTTGGTGCTGCCATGGTGTCAGTGGCATCAGCAAGCAATTGCATCTCACGCCTTGTATGGGGATTTGCAGCTGATCGATATGGTAACATGAACACGCTCATTTTTACAACTGGCGTCTCGGGTATGTACATTATAATGATTGGCATATCCATCTCTCTCATACATCCAATGATACATAGGGGCTTTGACGATGGTGTTATGGCAATTATCCAGCACTTTGCCCATGTATACTGTATACTGCCTATTGGTCGGATTCTCAGCGGCCATGTATATGAGTTTGATGCCATCCATTGTTGCTTCCTTGGTGGGTATGGATTATCTATACACGGGTGCCATGTTATCATGGATGATTGCAGCTATCGGTGGATTACTGGGAACACCTGTTTTCATGAAACTACAAGCATCCATCGGTTGGACAGGCGCAATCCAGCTCGCAGGCGGCTCAAGCATATTCGCAACCCTGTGTCTGGTTGCTGCACGATTATGGGTAGATCGAAGAATCATAAGCAAACTGTAATATTTGATATAGAAAAAAAAGTGTACATGTTGTTGTTTTGAGAATGAAATCAACCTTGTTGGATAAAAATGTTTGTACATGAAGAAGAAATGGTATCACTAATAATTAGCGTCTTGGTCGTTCTAGACGAGTAAAAGGGTGCTGTCGTAAGGAAGGAAGACGAGTTGAATGAATACTAGGGATACGATGATGCGTAGCTACTGGATTTAATGGACTGCCAGATGAAGAAGGATGTTGGGTCGAATGGCGTAGTGCATCCATCATTGCATTGGAAGGTGATTGATAAGGAAACCCTGCCATGGCATTCGCTTCAGCTGATACCATTCGACTTGATCCAATTTCTCGAAAATAAGCTTCACGTGGATGCGACCATGTATTGTTCAATAATCCACGTTCTCGCGAGCGTCGATCTTGTTGTCGATCTAATGATGCAGCCAATAAACAATCTTCAGGTTGCTGTGGTTTGACTTTGGGTGTTGCCACGGTGATCTTGGGATGATGATGAGAGGTAGTGGTGATGATGTTGGATGATGGTTGTTGTTGCTGCTGGTGATGGTGTGATGATATAGATGCTGAGGATGATGCTGGTGATGATACTGATGTTGTTGTTGTTGTTGCCATGGTGACATGATGCCGCTGTTGTATATCCACATCATGATGGGTATTGTTATTCATCACATCAGAAGGACTTGCAGGTGAATAGGATATATCGATGGATGATGGCGACATGTTCAAAAGCGGTGACGTTGAGACATAATCATTTGCTTCAGGTGGACTATGTAAGATCAAGTCATCCCCACCACCAGTGGCTCCTTGATGGCTACTCGGTGTACTACTCTCAGTTTCATTCGACGTGGTATTAAACTATTCACCAGCAAGAGTTGATTAGTCGAATGGATACAATACTTCTTCCATGACTCAGATCTTACCATTGAAAAAGGAACATGAGGTGGGTCAAGTATGGATGAGAAATTGGGCGTCGTAGATGTAGCTGGCATTGAAGGGGATGTTGTAAATAATGATGACGATACTGGTGGCAATGTATGGTGCTGTTCATAGTGTTGTTGTTGTTGCTGTACATGATGCTCTTGCGGTGTTGTAATGGCATCTTGCATAGGCAATGCCGGGGATTGTGATGTTGGTGTTGGCTGCAAGGCCACATCAGGTGTAGCAAGGCATACAATGTACAGTTTGCCAAGTGTGTCAGGAACAAAGAGATCAGAGCCCAATCCTCCTCCAAGATAAAACCGTGCTTGTGCTTTCACTTCTTGTCCACTCGAAGTCTTGAATGCAAAGTCTTCTTTGAGAGTTTGAGACCCATTGGCAATGCACATGAGAACAGAAGGTGCGGTATTTGCAAAGCAATCGGCTGTAGTACGTTGTGTTGGTGGCAATGCGTGCATTGATGTTGAAGTTACTGTGGTAGTAGTAGAAGTAGTAGTAGACGCTGATTTGCTGACATTGTGTGCGTTATCAAGAAGGCGACGGTGGACGCGTGCGAGTGTGGATGCATGAGAAGAAGGAATGAAGTCGTATAAAGATCTGTGTGCGAACTCGTGAGGATAAATACCCAATAGACTAAGAGATTCATCCGATACCCGCGCACAACATATCTCCATTGACAAGATAAACTATACTCGGGATACAAATGAATAAAAATGCTATCATCATGATAATAATGATAAATCATTTACCGTGATCATTGACTTGTTGATGTCTTTATCAGCTGGATCATTGCCTGGGGGTCGTGTCATTAAAAATGATGATCGTGGTAGCTCAGCTGGCAGCACATATAAATTGCGATTTGATAAAGGTGGGAATGTTGCCGTTGGTGTTGTACACGACGTTGTTGTTGTTGTTGATCCTCCTGCTGTAGATGGTCTATCACGTCGTTTAGGTCGTCCCCTTTTCTTATGCTGGACATCATAACATGTGCCTTCCTTTCCAGAAGATACGCATCGTCGACATGGTCTTGATACTATAGCAGGTTGTTGTTGTATTCAGTACATTGATCAATAATCACGCATGAATGTGTATATACCTACAATCACAAGCAAGATGTGCTTTTTGACAATTCACCTATGCAACATTGAATGTTTGTTAGTTGCATCTGCTATGGTGGCAATTGTTGTTGTTGTTGTTGCTTACGCATGCTGCAGGAACGTGGGATTTTGCAGGTCTCTTTTTTGGAAGAGAATTGGCAGTGCTATTGGTCGTAGTAGTGGTGGTGGATGATGAAGGCGGCAATGCGACGACGGATGGTGAAGTAGGAGAAGGTAACGAAAAAGTGGGTCGTATGAGAGGAAATTCCATGAAAAGTGCCAGCAAACGGGAAGAGAAAAGAGGAAATGGGACAACAGAGTGATTGTGAACGAGTAAGGTTTAACGATGACACCGACAGAAACTACAAGTGCGGGGTGCATCCATAGCTGGCTCGGGGCATTCTCTCGGAAATTAGGCGATTTTATGGTTGGCCAGCGCTGGCTGCTCTATATTTTCGCACACACAACTCATACCCGTAGCGATGGTGTTGGCTCCAAAACAACCATATGTCACCATCATGTAGCTGCCGTTATGATTCTCATCCTTATTATGTATGTCAGTGAAGGCACGTCCTTCTTGTCTTGAGACCATGCCAAAAATGTAGATCATTCTTCTTAAGAGGGAAATGAAGCCGGAGAAATATCCATTAGCATTTACGTTAAACTCTCTTTTTTATTGTTGATCAGCTCACAACCTATTCTGTACCACAGCTTTCATGCCGATAATAACAATGATGCGGGGTCTTTGTTTCTCTTGACGTTGTTTACATTCGTCGACCACAAAAGGAACACAATCACTTTAGATTTCTCGTAGACCAACAACGACAGTAACAGTAAATGCCCAAAAGGAGGGCCATTGTTGCATTTTGTCTAGGATCCAAAGGTGTAAATGCCTTTAGATGATATCGATCATGGCCATTTCACAAGCTAGCAATTCGTGTGTTACAGCAGCGGATCAATAAGCTCATCGGGTGTGCCACGAATTTTCTCATAAAGTACCCATTACCTATTCCTTACCTTACTCTCCTGATGTACAGACCTTGATGACTTTGAAACCGCTACATAGATGTAACAAGAGTATGGGAAGATCCGCTCTTGATTAAATGGCCATCGGGTTACATGATTTTCGAAAAGGAAATCCCTAAGTAGTATTGTGCTCAAAGGTTTTGCAATCCCCAAAGTAGATGGAATAGGATAGATGCCAGGATAAAGAAATCATAAGCATACAATGGAAATTGGCTTCTTTGTTATGCCTATTTATATACTTCATGGTGTTGGTGGATTGAACGTTGACATGTTTCTCATACAATGTTGCATAGGGTGATGCCATAGTTAAGCATGGTATGCTCATGTACTCGCGCCGCATTGTATCACAGCTCGTTCTTTCTTGAGCATAATGAATTAAACTCACAATGAAATAAGAGCCTGCAACAAGCACTACTATGTTGTTTGGCATCGTCACTCTCGAACTTATTGAAGCTATAGCAAGTGTGATAGCTTTGTAACAAAAGAACAAAAGCATTTTGATACGCTGATGTAAATGACCCAATCTCGCCCTCCATCTTTTAATTTGTAGTCCCCTTTCAATCCAAAAACCAACCAAGTGATCCACACCTTGCACATCTGAGCCGATAGTACGACACCCTTCTAATAGTATGTTGCATCCAATTTTCATTCAATGACAAAGTCGAACGATGGCATATGGTAGTGTAGATGTTTATCCAGTAAATATGATAAAAGAACAGCATTGCAAATTGTATAAGATACGGGTGAATCACACAGGGTCATCAGGGATAATTGTGTCATTCTATCCTTGGTTGCTGCCAACACCATGTACATCCTTCTTCATCCTTGCGTGGAAAATAGCTGCTGTATGATTTGACTTGAGCATCATAATATCATCCATAGCTGTAAAACAGCTTCTTTCGTCGATTCCATCCAATCCATCATCATCTTCAGGGGTATCCAAGTGATTACGATCCATCATTCCTGCTGACGACTTGTCAAAGAACCAAAGCAACATGCCAAGATTTCCCATCACTGCAGCTGATTGCATCCATCCATCATGACCATTGCAAATTCAATATGCTGGTAGAAAGAAGCACCAGAGATCGCTGCTGATACGCTTCCTTTTCCATCCGGCTGTTGGTTTATCCCTCTCTTGGTGGTGAAGATTGCTTGCATTGTGGTGTACTAGATAGCTGATATGGCATCATCCATTGGTATCCAAATGTATCAAAGAAAGTTGCCACACGTAAGTAAAGCTACTTCTGTACAATGCACATCTGCTGTTCACGTATAAAAAGGCTGCATGGCAGGATGCTACAAGTAGCTGAGATAATGGAGTGAAGGCCTTGCTAATAGCAGCTGCTGTTACGTTTGGTTGTGGCAAAGGAGCGTGCAAGAGCGTGTGTTGTAGTAGAGTGACAAGGTTGTGAACGCTCCTTGAGACAATGGAGTAAAGACCTCGCTAATAGCAAATGCTGCAATGAATGCTGTTACGTTTGATCGTGGCAGAGGAGTGTGCAAGAGCGTGTGTCGCGTCAAGAGATGAGTGTGTTGTAGTCGGCTGCACACGCCATGGACTTCTCATTCAGTCAAGACAATCGGATCAAGACAATCGTAGGATGGACATGATGGGTTGAAGCAGGACAATCGTTCGCAGAGGGTAGTTGTATACTTGAATGCATCAACAGTTGAGAATGGGAGCAAGAGGGAAAAGGTTGAGAATGGGAAGAGCTGTGAATTTAAGGGAGTTGAACTGAAGTTGAATGCTACTTCTTTGTTTGAGCGTTGTTCAGTCAAATCCTTTCGGATCAAGAAAGTTAAATGATGGGCATGCTGGACTGGAGCAGGACAATCATTCGTATGCATTGGATTGGACAACAAATATGATTGGGAGCAATGGGCTATTAGCCGGCTGTTTACGTATAACTAACCAGATAATTTTTTCTGATTTTGGATGATACTTCTGTGTTTGAGCGTTGTTCAGTCAAATCCACACGGATCAAGAAAGTTGAATGATGGGCATGCTGGGCTGGAGCAGGACAATCGTTCGTATGCAGAGGATTAGGCAACATTCCTGATCAGAAAGAAGTAGCTGTTAGGTCGCAATATGAACCGTTACTGAAAAGTGTAAAAGTATCATGCAAAACAGCTGTGTTACACAAAGACGCCCCTGTGCATCTTTCGCTCTATCAGGGCCAAGCTAATTCACAATGAACAAAGACCACCCTTCATATAGCATCACGCTGACAGCATATGTAAAACATGAAGGTGCCTGTATCTCTAAACTTTACAATCAAACGTGGGGTCTTTAATAGAACAGAGTTGCTCGCCGGGGTCAAAGCGATCTTGTGTCAAAGTATGAAGTTCATCGCGGCCATTCCCAGATTCACCCAATGTCGCCACCAGCCAAAAATAATTTTGCTCGTCGTGGAAAAAAAATTCAAGAGGTCGACCCCTGGATCCTGTATGGCTGGTGGCGACATTTGCGAAATCGCGGATTGGCAAGCTTGATCATGAAACTTGCACCCAAGGTGCAGTTGGCCAAGCCGAGCACATTGCTCTAATAAAAACCCCACGTTTCATTGTAAAGTTTAGAGATACAGCCACCTTTATGTTTGTAAGCGTGATGCTATATGAAGAGTGGTCTTTGTTTAATGTAAAGTAGTATGGCTATAATAGAGCAAAAGATGCAGAAGGACCTCTTTGGGTGACTCAGCTAAAAAGTCAGGACTTCAGGGACAATGCATGAAAGATACGCAACCCTCACTTTATGTCATACATTGGCAGCTAATAGCCACTTTTGTGCATTCCCAACTTTTGTGCATTCTTTTGTAGGTGGACGATGCTCCTGCTCTAGACATTCATTTCCATGATTAAAGTAGGTTGATCCGAGCTGATTTGGTTGAGTTACGCTCACACAAGATTACATCGGTTGAGCTACATCGAGCGTGCTTTATGTCCAGAGTGATGTAATCTCTCTTTGACCGTAGCTCAGTCAAATCAGCTCGGATCAACCTACTTTAACCATGGAAATGAATGTCTAGAGCAGGGGCATCGTTCCCATGCAGTGGATCTCGCAACAATGATGATTGGATAAAAGTGGCCGTCAGCTAGCAATACATGCCTGTTCCTAGATGATCCATAAAGTAATTATACATTGACCCTTTCATTCATGCAAACATAGCTGTGTTACACAACACGACCCTCTGCATCTTTTGCTCTGCCAGGGTCCACCTACTTGACAATGAACAAAGACCACTCTTCATATAGCATCACGCTTACAAACATAAAGGTGCCTGTATCTCCAAACTTTACAATGAAACGTGGGGTTTTTATTAGAGCAATGGGCTCGGCTTGGCCAACTGCACCTTGGTTGCCAGTTTCACGATCAAGCTTGCCAATCCCAGATTTCGCAATGTCGCCACCAGCCAAACAGGATCCAGGAGTCGACCTCTTCGACGACGACGACCAAAAAATATTTTTTGGGCTGTTTGCGACATTGAACGCGAAACGTTCACACAAGGTGCTATTGGCCAAGTCGAGCACATTGCTCTAATAAAAACCCCACGTTTGATTGTAAAGTTTGGAGATACAGGCACCTTTATGTTTGTAAGCGTGATGCTATATGAAGAGTGGTCTTTGTTCATTGTCAAGTAGGTGGATCCTGGCAGAGCAAAAGATGCAGAGGGACCTCTTTGTGTAACTCAGCTACTTTGCATGACTGCAAGGATGGAAGGATGATACTGTATACTATTGACAATAGCCCATACATTGGCTGCTAATAGCCACTTTTGTGCATTCCGAACTTTTGTGCATTCCATCATAATGAAACGATGCTCCTCCTCCAGAAATTCATTTCCTTGATTCAATTATCTTGATCCGAGCTGATTTGGCTGAGCTACGGTCAAAGAGAGATTATATCAATCTATACATCAGCATACATTCGAATGTCTCAGCTGATTAATCCTTGTTCGACCGTAACTCAACCAAATCAGCTCGGATCAAGCTACTTGAATCATGGAAATGAATGTCTGGAGCAGGCGAATCGTCCACCTACAATGGAATGCACAAAAGCTGTGAATGCACAAAAGTGTCTATTTGCTGCCAATGTACACCTGAAAATGAGGGTTGCGTACCTGCCATGCATTGTCCCTGAAGTCCAAACTTTTTAACCCAGTTACACAAACACGTCCCTCTGCATCTTTTGCTCTGCCAGGGTCCAGCTACTTCACAATGAACGAAGACCACTTGTCATATAGCATCACGCTTACAAACATAAAGGTGCCTGTATCTCCAAACTTTACAATGAAACGTAGGGTTTTTATTAGAGCATTGGGCTCGGCTTGGCCAACAGCACCTTGTGTGAAAGTTTCGCGTTCAATGTCGCAAACAGCCCAAAAAATATTTTTTGGTCGTCGTCGTCGTCGACCCCTGGATCCTGTTTGGCTGGTGGCGACATTGCGAAATCTGGGATTGGCAAGCTTGATCGTGAAACTGGCACCCAAGATGCAGTTGGCCAAGCCGAGCCCATTGCTCTAATAAAAACCCCACGTTTCATTGTAAAGTTTGGAGATACAGGCACGTTTATGTTTGTAAGCGTGATGCTATATGAGAAGTGGTCTTTGTTTAATGTAAAGTAGTATGACTATAATAGAGCAAAAGATGCAGAGGGCGCGTTTGTGTAACTTGAGTCATTCAGCACAGGCGATGCATGATTCTTGTACACAATTTAGGAATAGTTAAAAATGCCAGCTAATAACCTGGTCCTCCCATTCTCCATTGTTGCCCAAAACAACGCATGTGGACGATTCTCCTGCTCCAGCCCAGCATGCCCATCATTCAACTTTCTTGATCCGATTAGATTTGACTGGAAAATGCTCAAACACAGAAACGTCATCCAATATCAGAAGAATCAAATTGGTAAGTTATTTGTAAACCGCCGGCTAATAGCCCATTCCTTCCATTCACCTTTGTTGTCCAACCCAATGCATACGAACGATTGTCTTGCTCCAGCCCAGCATGCCCATGATTTAACTTTCATGATTCGAGCTAACCTGGTAGTAAGGTAATGGCTGTTGTTGGATCATCATTATTATGTAAAGTGTAAAATGGCACACACCCTTTTGCTATACGTGAGGATCATATCTTTTATTTACGTGTACCTATTGTCTATTACGAGGATCATGATGGGTGGATGGTGAGTATAGGGTAATTGAGTGGCCTCAGTGTAATAGCAGTAGGGGGGATTTAAACTTGGGGGACAGTAGCTCCACGACTTGAGACAACGCTTCTCTTCTTTTTCTCCCACCTTTCCTTATTCCATTCACGACGTCTCGATCAAGGTAATGTATTGTAAAAGAGTGCTCTTGTTGGTTGTGAGGTAATGAACACGCATGGGGAGGGAGTATGTGTATCCAAGTTCTGCTAAATGAGCGAGGGTAATGGTTGGTGGTAGCCATGGTGACATGGTCGTCTCCTCTTGGTCGTTGTTATCCCCGCAAATTTAGAGTATCCTGTGGCCGCTCCCAAAACGATTAAAAGATTTGGAGATGTGCTCATCGTATTATGGAATGGTTCAAATGACGTGTATTAACTATACGATGCATGTATCAACTTTATAATATTAAGAAAATAGAGTAATTTACAAATATGGAATAGAGGTGGGTAATAGTAATAAAGAGAACCAGAGTGGAAATGAAAAGAACAAGAGCATGGAATACAATAAAAAGCCGAAGATGGCACCCAACAAAGACAAAGCATATGAAAGTATTCGTTAGCATTTGGAGAGTAGCATCAACGCATCATCATAGACTTACCAAGTGATTTTCCAGCCAGGAATCAAAGAAAAAAAAAGGGAAAGAGAGAGGGGGGAGCAAGGAAAGAGAGAAAGAGGGAAGCAACGAAGAAGAACAAAGAAAAAAAGAAAGAAAAAAGAAGGAAACCGGCTGGAGGGCCATCCCCTCACCTGCAGCAATGAAACGGATGTTAGGCCAAGGAGATGAATGCAAAAACAAGTACACTTACCCTGCACAGGTGGGGTCAGGCATGGGGAAACAAGGCGAAGCTTGTGGGAAGGCGGGGCCCAAACAGAGGACAGCGAAGGTCTTGCAGGTAACACCCTTGTTGATAATCCTAAAGAGAAGACGATGTAAGGAAATGTTGCTTTGAAAGTGATAAATCATATAACTTACACTTGCTGATGATGATAATGATGGTGAGGAGGAGGAGAAGCAGAGAAGGAACGGCAGCAAATCTTGATGATGATATTGGAGCTACAAGAAGTACATACGAATGAGATGGCATTAGATGAATGCTATTAGCTGTCCACTTACCAAATGAGCGTGTATGGGTGTGTGTGCGTTTGCGCGAAATTAACGAGAAGAAGATGGGGAAAAAAGGTGCTGCGGAACGGGGGGTAGCCTTTTATCATTTCTGCGCGTAACACGCGACATGAGCACGCCATCACATTGATGATACCTCTGCCCTTGGCTTTTTTCTTTTCAATGCAATCCTTTCCCCTGATCATTGTAACTCATGTTCTTTTCATGAGACGATTCCAAAACCGTTTCAAACGCATTGATCCGAGCCAATCTAACAAGTTCGTATTTGGAAGACCATAAAACATGCAAGAAGGAAAAATTCACAATCACTTGTATATATCAAAATGTGCTCTGAAACGTGCTCTACATTTTGGTCTTTTACTTTTTCAAAATGGATGGGATTTGATTGAGATACGACCGTTTTCCATGAGACGTGACATCGATGTAACTCATGCCTTTGTTTGGTTGACAAGCTATATCATACCTTAATCATATAATGTTCTCCGATACCTGCTCTTCATTTCCATATTTCACATTTTCAGAATGGGTGCGATTTGCATGAGATACGGTGGATTTTATTCAAAGATGGCAATACTTAATCCCATACCTTTCACCCTTTGACACTTCATGCTGTGTATTAACAATAAAACAATCTTTAGCACTTGCTCTACGTTTTGGTCTTTTGCTTTTTCAAAATGGATGCGATTTGACTGAGATACGACCATTTTCCTCTGCAACGTGACCGTGTTGTAGCTCATGCCTTGGTTTCCTTGACAAGCTATATCATGCCCCAAGAGTAAAATGTTCTCCGACACCTGTTCTTCATTTCCATATTTTACATTTTCAGAATGGACGCGATTTGCCTGGGATACGATGGATTTTATTCAAAGATGACAATACTATGAATCAAAATGGATAATTGCGTTCGTTGCTGCCTCGTAGATATACCCATCCGGTTGTAAAACACCTTTTGTCAAAGACTTAAGCCCTCTCGTCAATGCCATCTCAATCCAATCCATTATCATCCTCGACCGCATTCATATTATATGATCCTTCCTCCCCGCTGTTAACGTGCGAAGTAATCAACGCAGCATTCCAAGGTTTCTCGTCACTTTAATTGATTGATCCCATCCATCATAACCCAATACGACTCCTGATAAGCTTCCTTAGGCATCCTGATGTTGGTCAACCTCTTTCTTTTGTCCATTGTATTTCAACCTGTCGACATATATGATAGCTGATATGGCATCATCCATAGGGACCCGTATTTATTGAATCAACTTGTTACATGTAAATAAAGGCTGCAATGTAGGTCGCTACAAGTAACTTGGAGATAATGCAATAATAGCACCAGCTGTTACGGTTGGCTGTGGCAAAGATGCGTGTAAGACCATGTGTTGTAGTGAAGTGACCAAGGCTGTGAATGCTGTTACGTTTGATTGTGGTTGAGTGGTGTACGAGAAGAAGTAGCGTCAAGAAACGTGGGTGTTGTAGAGGGGTGTACACGCCATGGACCTGCCATTCAGTCAAAGACAATCGGATCAAGGCAGTTGTAGGATTGACATGATGGGGTGAAGCAGGGCAATCGTTCGCATGCGATGGAATGGCAAACAGTTGAGATTGGGAGGGTGCAATGTAGGACACAGGGGGAAGAGAGAATAAGGCAGCACCTGAGTCGGGTGATTAGAAGTTGAGCCTATTATTATTAGCGTGAGTGCCTATAACGATCATAAAGATGGATGCTACATATTGTGTCTGCATGCTTATTATACACTGTGGATCAAAGCATTATTCCATAGGTAGTAGTAAGCCCTTCCACACAAAATCGACGTTTACGAGCGAAGCGAGCAACCCGGGCCGCTAGTCTTTATTGATAGCAGTAATAGCTTAAAAGGTCACGTGGGAAGGAGGATCATTGTAACATCTATGTACTACTAGCAGCATTGTTTGATGTCCATAAAGAGTAGTAAGGAAGCGTGGATGGATGCAGCGTTTTACATGATCGGAGACAATGAATAATGTAGCTGCTGACACTGTATGCAACAAACCTGTTTTTTATTCTTGAATGAGGAAACAAGCTAATATCAAGAAGGACAATGATGCATCATGCATGTAACAAATGTGACACTTTTGAACGACGCGGTATTGTCGGGGCCCGATCACTTGAGCAAGCGGGCATGAATTGAACGCCCTCGGAGACCTTTCTTTTTTCCTTTATCTCTTCACACACACGCATACGTACACACCAAGACGAATGAGAAGGCGTCTATACAACACATTACTCTTTTATTTTGCTTTCTTTGTCTGCATTGCATATGCCGATCAGTACACGCCCATACATCGTGAAGGCTACTGTGCCATGCGCGGCCAGTGTGGATTGGACGGCTTTCTTCCGTTGAATTGCATCTACAATGACGTTGCCGTACAACCAGAGACCGATAGTTTTCGCCGTTTGCTCATCGACACATGTGGCGTTGAGTATGCTACTGGGCCTGTGTGTTGTGATGATACACAAGTAGAGGCGCTTGCCAACCAGGTCAAAGCCGCTGAACCGATCGTGTCGTCTTGTCCTGCTTGCTGGTCCAACTTTTTACAATTCTGGTGCTCTTTTACGTGTTCGCCGAACCAATCGATGTTTGTGAATGTGACGGATACCAAGCTTTCTGGGGATGATGTACCACTCGTGAGTCAAACGGATTTCTGGGTGGGCAATGACTTTGGCAACGACTTTTTCGACAGCTGCAAGGATATCAAGTTTGCTGCAAGTAACGGATACGCCATGGATTTCATTGGTGGTGGTGCAAAGGATTGGCATAGCATGGTTTCATTTATGGGTCAAAGACGTCCTGGATTAGGTAGCCCCTTTCAAATCGATTTCCCACCCGTGACATTAGGCGATGCTTTGGAACGTTACAATGACCGAGGCAAAGCATGCAATGATTCAGATCCAGCTTATCGGTGTGCTTGCGTTGATTGTGAACCAGCATGTCCTGTACTCCCGCCATCACCGGGCGAGATGCCACAATGCTACGTGGGTGCATTGACATGCTGGGAATTTGCTCTGGTGACCCTGTATTGCATGATTCTTTTGGTGGCCATTGTCCTCATTCTTTTCCGACAACGCCGCATTGGTCGTATTTTTCAAAAGTGGTTTGGACTCAATCTGGAACGTGATGAAGCTCGGGGTTTATATGAACGTGTGGCACTTGCAGAAGACGATGAGCACAACAGCGACGATGAAGAGAATGAACATTTATTGGATCCTGATCACACACCAAGGAGATATTGGTTGAATGCTCGGCTACAACATTGGTTCTATCGACAAGGATTGGTATGTGCACGTTATCCATGGGCTGTCATTGCAGCTGGTCTTTGTTTGGTGGTATTGTGTTCAGCTGGATGGTCACGTTTCGCTGTGGAAAGAGATCCTATCAACCTATGGGTGTCGCCTTCCTCTCAAGCATTGGCAGAAAAGAACCATTTCGATACCCACTTTTCACCCTTTTATCGCACCACACAATTATTTGTCGTCAGCGAGACATCCGATCCCATCGCATCAGCTGAGCACCTTGAGAGCTTATTCGCCTTGGAGAAGGAGATACGTGAGCTAAAGTCGGATCCCCATGGTATACAATTTCAAGATGTTTGCTTTCATCCCAATGGTGACGCTTGTGTGGTTCAATCGGTTACTGGATATTGGCAAGGCGACGCCTCCATGTTTGACCCAAGTAGTTGGGAGGATGATTTACGTGATTGTATCGATCAGCCATCCTTATGCTTGCCAGATTTTCAACAACCGCTCAAACCTGAAATGATTCTTGGTGGATATGAAGATGATGCATTTATGCAAGCAAAGGCATTTGTCGTCACATTCGTGTTGCAAAATTCACTCGATCCTGTGGTCGCTTCAAAGGCAGAAGAATGGGAAAAGACATTGATCCACAAGGTGTTAAGCAATGTCAATGATCGTCCCGAGTGGAAGGATGTCCATATTAGCTTTTCAACAGAGGTAACAAGGAGGCATGGATGTTCCATATGGGGGGTACTAATAGGCTCTATTTCAATTGTAGAGCTCTTTGGAGACTGAACTCAACAAATCTTCCAACACGGATGCCAAGACGGTGATTATCAGCTATATTGTCATGTTTGTGTATGCATCTCTCGCCCTTGGAAAGTTCAGATCTTGGAACGTACGACGATTGGTTGTGGATACCAGGTTCGGTTTGGGTGTCTGTGGCATCCTTATTGTCATTTTCTCCGTATCATCAGCAGTCGGCCTCTTTTCTTTTACTGGCAAAAAGACGACCTTGATCATTGCAGAAGTGATCCCCTTTTTGGTGCTCGCTGTAGGCGTTGACAACATTTTCATCCTTTGTCATGAATACTCTCGACGTGAAGAATCAGGAGAAGATGAGACAATCGATGAGCGTTTAGCAAGAACACTGGGAAAGATGGGACCAAGCATTCTTTTAAGCTCTCTAAGTGAGACCATTGCCTTTGGATTGGGAACATTGGTGACCATGCCGGCTGTGAGCAGCTTTGCCATTGTGGCATCGATTGCTATCTTTATCGACTTTATCTTGCAAGTGACCTGTTTCGTATCATGCATGGCTTTGGATGCACGTCGTGCTGAGGTAAAAAGATATCATTCACTTACAGAGTTACGGAATTGCTCATCATACATTCTATAGGCAAATCGATTGGATTGCATGCCATGTATTCGTATACGTGCACCTGAGACAGTGGAAAAGGAAGGGATCCTTGAGACATTATGCCGAATTTATTATGTTCCTGCCATTTTGGGTCGCAAGACTCGCTACATGATCTGCCTCTTTTTCCTTGGATTATTCATGTTTGCATTGGCTATTGTACCTGCATTGCCACTTGGATTGGATCAACGTATCGCATTGCCTTCCGATTCCTACCTCGTCGCGTACTTTGATGACTTGGATCAGTATTTCAATGTCGGCCCGCCTGTTTACTTTGTTGTGAGTGATGCCAACATGACCGATCGACAAGTACAAAAGAAGATTTGTGGTCGTTTCTCCGCATGTGAGGAGTTCTCTTTGGCCAATGTTTTGGAGCAAGAACGAAAACGATCGAGCGTATCGTACATTGGTGAACCAACGAGCGTATGGCTTGATGAATACCTATATTGGCTCAATCCAAATGTACCTTGCTGTCACATCAAAAAGACCAGCCCTATTGTGTCACGACCTCGCTTTAGCCCATTGGAGCAGCTCTATCGTCTTTCTGGTTACGATTTGTGTGATCCATTCTTTGATCGAGATTGTGTACCCTGCCAGCCTGATTGGTCGATTAGTATGGATACGCTTCCTGAAGGTGATGAATTTGTCGAGTTTTTTGATATTTGGATCAACATGCCACCCGATGAAGATTGTCCCCTTGGTGGCAAGGCTGCATTTGGTGATGCCATTGTGATGGATCGACAACACGTGACGACCGAGACATCACATTTCAGAACATTCCATACACCTCTTCGAACACAACATGATTTTATTGAAGCCCATGCATCAGCACGCCGCATTGCAAACGACTTGAGCGAAGATCTTGGCATCAACGTATACCCCTACTCGGTGTTTTATGTGTTTTTCGAGCAATACTCGTATATCAGCATGATGGCATTTGAGCTTCTCAGCCTAGCTATCTTGTCCATCTTCATCGTTACAAGCACTTTACTTGGCAGCATGCGTTCCGGTCTCATTGTTATGGGCGTCGTGATCATGATCCTAGTGGATGTCATGGGTGTGATGACGCTATGGGGTGTGAGTCTCAATGCAGTCAGCCTTGTCAACCTCGTCATTTGTGTTGGTATCAGTGTCGAATTCTGTTGCCATGTTGCACGTGCGTTTATGGTAGCAAGTGGTAGCCGAGAGGAACGAGCTGGCAAGAGTATGGTGGATGTTGGCAGTTCGGTAAGTTTATAGGGAGGGATGCATATACACGCTTAAGCTCACATCGTCCTCTAGGTGTTTTGTGGTATTACTCTGACCAAGTTTGCTGGCATTATTGTGCTTGCGTTTACCCGGTCCAAGATCTTTGAGATTTATTATTTCCGAATGTGTAAGGATGGATGATTAATTGAATGAGGTAGAGAGAATACTTAAGGTTCTGTGTTATAGATTTGGCCATTGTTGTGCTTGGTGCATTGCATGGCTTGGTGCTGTTACCAGTATTACTCAGTATGCTTGGTGGAGAAAGCATGTCGTTGAGCGCCCTATTTGATGAAGATGGATTTTTATGGTCATCACGTGCACCTGGTGCTGGTAGAGGACTCTTGATTGATGATACGGGGAGCTATGATCAAGTATTGATTACCGATATGCCTGAAGAAAACGGTCAAGGAAACAAGTCATCCCGCCGTCGAGATCATGAGCACGGCACAACACCTGAAGCTGGCAATAACAACCATAGCTCTAGCAGCCAAGCCCTTTAATGGCATACTGTAGTCATTGTTTTGTGTTCTTTGTCTCATATTACATTACATCTATTCTTCACATGTGATTTTATTTGTCAAGTTGAAATGATGGGTTCTATTCTGGTAGTGTGTGTGGGATCATTCAACCTTGCATTGTGTGTAATCAAGTGCGCTGGAATTCAAATGGGAGGGATGATGCCTGATTTTTAACACTGCTCTCTCTTTCACACTCACTCTCTCACTGCAGAAACAATGGGTAAACACTCTCACTTGGGCATTGCCACCGATCCACTTGCTGATCGCTTTTTATTATATAGCCAATCGCACGGTATCCGATGCCATTGCTGTCCATGGCAAAGATCCCCAGCATCTGGTGGAAAAGATTATTCGTGAGCGCATCTACGATTCGCTATACTGGAAGGAACACTGTTTTGGCTTATCATGTAAGTTATCTATGCTTGATGGTATAAAAAAGCGAGGATGATGATTGACACGTGGAGAACAATAGCTGCGACACTTATGGATAAGGCTGTCAAGTTGACATACATTGGTGGGCAATACGCTGGTCAGCATCCAACCGAATTTTTATGCTTGACGCTCAAAATGTTGCAGTTGCAACCCGAGAAGGAGATCGTTCACGAGCTTATCAAACAAGAGGATTTCAAGTATGTATTGGAAAAAAGGGACATTCTATGGGGCGCGTTTACTGATGGTGAGGATTTAGATATCTACGAGCATTGGGTGCGTTCTATCTACGATTGGTGGGTCGATCCAAAGAAGTATACCTGGCTTTGGAGCCATTATTAAATGATCCTCGGAAATTGCGTGTGAGACAAGGCGGTAAGTTTGAATGGGGAAGAGCATAGGATCGAATAGAAGGCTTATGACAAGTGCGTTTATTAGACGGCTATTCATTGACATACATGGATGAATTTGTGGATCAACTACTACACGAGGAACGCGTATGCGATGTCATTTTACCACGTCTTGTCAGTCGATACATTATGGAAGAAAACGACGAATTGGAACCAAGAAAGAGTGGATTGGAAGAGGATCTCGAAAGTGATCAAGGATCAGGATCGGATAATGACGACAATGATGATGATGAAAAGCGCGGTCGTCGACGTTCAAGAAGCCCTAGCTCAAGCCGCAGTCGTAGTCGTAGTCGTAGCAGCAGCAGTAGCCGAAGCCGTAGTCGTAGTCGCGATCGTAGGAGACGTTATCGTAGTAGAAGCAGGAGTTCTAGCCGTGATCGTACAAGACGTTATCGAAGTCGAAGCAGAAGCCGAGATCGAGGAAGACGAAGAAGAAGAAGCTATAGCAGTGATAGTAGAAGCAGGAGCCGTGATAGCAGACGTTGATCGTTGTAGTTTTGTATCATCTTCATCTTCATAAAAAACTATGTTCGTCAATTGTGCGTTTTGAGTCTTGTTGGATGCATACCAAAGTTAAGGACGTGATGGCTACCAGGGTTTTGTTGGGACATGTTAATGCGCAGCAACCATTGTGTGTGTGTGACGCGAGGCGCGTTGGGTGGGAGAGCGAAAAAATAGGGGGCGACGAGAACTGTTGGCTGTGAAACGCGTCCGATTTGTACACCCACCATTCTCTTCCTTGTTGCCTACCTTTTCCCCCAAAGATGGTTTCCGATCAACTCATCACCAGCCATGGTGCATTGAAACGTGTGTGGATTGCATCCTGCTGGGAACGCAAGATTTCAAAGTCGCAATTCCTTCAAACCAACCTTCAAAAGACCATCGGTAAAGCTTCCAATGTGGGTTTCCATGACCAGACTCTATTGACATAGATACGTTACGCATTAGACGCTATCACTACCAATGATCAAGAACCTTTGACGCTACGCATGTCGGGTCAATTGCTTCTCGGTGTTGTCCGTATCCACTCTCGCAAAACACGATATTTGTTGGAAGACTGTAACGGTGCCTTGGAAAAGATTAAGCAGGTACATGACGACCAACATAGCATACCTCGTTTATTCACATAGCAACATGTGTATCTAGGCATTCAAAAAGGGTGATGTCAACATGCCAGATATCCGCCATGCACAAGTCAAAATGAAGAGCATCACGTTACCCGATCGACTTACAGAATTTGACGTCCTCTTGCCCGATGACCCATTATTAGATCTGTAATGTATCCCTTTAACACCAACAACAACATGCCGGCTTTATACTAACAATATACTTTAGTGACACCGAAGGCAGAGATCCTATTCTCGACAGCTTATCACAAATGGCATCATCACAAGACATTACATTGAGCGACATTTCATTTGGATGGGATATGCATAACCCCACAGCAGAGCAACAAGATGTCGAGACTGGACGCTTGGCGGGCGGTGATATTGATCTTCATGATGGTGTTGAACAAGGTCGTCGTGATAATGAGGCAATGCTTGACCAAGGCATGGATACGAGTATTGGCGACATTGAGAACCCACTTGCCAAGGGACATTACGATGATGGCAACATGTTGGACTTTGATGACTTTGATTTCGGCAATGACGACTTTGGTGATATTGCTCCACCCGAGGATGATAACGCTGCTGCTGGTGCTGCTGGTGCCGAGGAAACTTTTCCAGCACTCTCTCAAACATCCGAAATGGATAGCTCATTGATCCAATCTGGATTGATTCGCGATGATGATGACATGTCCATGTTTGATGCACCAGAAATCAATGAATCTATGGAGACACAACAACCACGTCGTCGTCGTCGTCGATTGGTAGTCGATCGTGTGACCGAAATCCCTCATGAACAATTACGGAAATACGCTACGGATGCTTCAACCATTGTGGATCGTGTACGTGTATATACATACATGCATGCATGCAAAGAATACTGAAATCTAATCATCTCTTTCATTATATAGAGTGCCAATGATCGACAACATGTTGCACCAAAAGCCTCACTTAATTGGAAAAAGCCAATGATTTGCACAGCTGGTACAACACTCGACTCTTTGTATTCTCGTTTAAGTCATCCCAAGCCGGTTATTCCCGCCATTACTTCACCCGTCGAGGATGATTTGGATTTCGATATCCCTGCACCTGCTCCAGAAGTACCACACAATGATGAACAAGACTATAATGATGTTGGCGGTATGGACTTTGACTTTGATGATGTAAGTATCCTTTTATCTTTATTGCATAGCATGATGAACTGACAATTGTGTTATAGTTTGGTGATGCCGGTTTCGATGATCAGCAAGTCAATGATATTGGAACAGAAGAAAACAATGGGGCTTTGGGAGCTGCTGATACCAGCATCATGACACAAAGTAGCCAAATGGGACAAAAAGCCAATGAGACACTGGAATTGGTGCAAGATAGGGCACAACAAAAGCAAGAAAATGTTATTGGATTTGGGGATTTGGGTTCAAGTACAAGAGCAGAAGCAGCAAGACGTTTCTATGACATTCTGCTACTCACTACCAAAGACATGCTCAAGGTACAACAAAACAGCCCGTTCGGTGAAATCCAGATTCGAGTATAATTTTAATGCCCATTGTCGTTGATGTGAACTGCATAATGTATCAATCAATCATCTTGTCTCTATCTCGCTTCCATTATCATACATTCCCCCTTCTTACCTTGTTGATCTTCTTCAATAAAATCCACATAGTCCTTGTTCTCAAACGTCGTATACTGGTCATTGGGAAGGGAAATGATCAACGCCTGGAACCCAATCTTGATCTCGTAAATGACCTTGCCGTTCACTGCCTCGACATCCTTCTTGGCTTGTTCAATGACAGCATCCTCCACAGGCTTCTTCAAGGCCATAATGTAATCCGTGTAGCCAGCTAAAGCAATGCATGGGCAAGTTGTCAAAAAGTCACATTCGTAGTTGTCAATAGGTGGTAGATAGTCTCGTTACTTACGTTCGGCAGCCTTGGCAACCAAGGCAACGAGTGCTACAATAAAGAAACTGATAAAGTGGAAACGCATATGTGAAAGAGATAATGTGGTAGTGGGGATTGAAAGAAGTAATGAAACAAAGAGAGGCTGTTGCACGACCCACACTCACCTCAGTGTGTGCTGAATTTAACCTTTTAGGCGGCATGATTGATCCTATAACACTTTTTTCCCGCATTCATTTCCCTGGCAACCGAGATAAACCCGTTGTTCGACCTTTTGATTAAAGGTATTCGGCGTAGTATATCTATATTACCCTTATAGAAAAAATGATTACGTCGCTCTATATGAGCAAAGACATATTTGGTAGCACCGCACCTTGCACAATGTACGCATCTCATATGACAAGTGCATCCCCCCACATCTCAATATAGATACCCAACGTCTCGATAAATTTATCATTCATGAACCATAGCAAAAAGTCGCATTCGTACAACTCGTTACTGCTAGGGATGTGTAAACGGGTAAAGTATCCAGTGGCTCGGTTTCAGGCTAGGAGAGAGATATAGGTCATGTGATACAATCATCTTGGTGGAAATGTCAACCACCACCACCACTATGCATGATCAGGCGATTGTCTTAATACGACATCCACGCCGTTGCCATTGGCAACGTAATATCATAGCAACAACACTTTAAAGTAAATGTAGTAAACTCGATGGAGACATCATTTAATGTTCATTTGGATATATCATTGTAAGGATGTGTGATGAGTGGATAGGTATGAATGGGCGCTCATTTAAACTGTTGGGGAATGATTTGGTGTCGGGTGATTGATTGACTCTCACGCACACACCCACACACTGCTCTTTACAGCAAACAAAAAGAATATGGCTGCACCTGCCGAAGAGAAGCCTGTTGCCACTGAGGAACAACAACAACGACAACAGGAACAACAACAAACCCCTGTGGACACTCCCCAATCGCGTGGTGAAAAGAAGGCTCGCAAGGCCATCCTGAGTCTTGGTGTGAAACCCGTGCCAGACATTACTCGCGTCACCTTTACGCGTGCTCGTGGTGTACGTTGTTGTCATGAGTGTGTGTGTGTGTGCTCACTTGTTGATGGACCCCATTAACAGGTTGACTGTATGTAGATTGTCTTTGCCATTGAGACCCCTGAAGTGTACAAGAGCAGTAACTCGGATACGTATATTGTGTTTGGTGAAGTCCGTGTGGATGATATGCGTCAACGTGCTCAAGCTGCTGCTGCCCAACAATTGGCTGCCGAAGCTGCTGCCAAGGCAGAAGATACTGAAGCCAATGCCCCTTCATCTGTTGCTGCTGCTGCTACTGCCGAGGAGGAGGAAGAGGATAACGAACCCGTGGATGCTACTGGTATCGAGGAAAAGGATATTGATTTAGTTGTCACCCAAGCCAATGTCTCCCGTAACAAGGCTGTCAAGGCTCTCAAGAACAACAATAACGATATCGTGAATGCTATTATGGTAAGTAAAATAGGAGGGCAAGGACGATTGAAGACTAATCCATGGATTGTCACTTAGGAATTGACCATGTAAATCTACATTTGAAAAGTAAAAAGCTTTCGTTTTTGAAAAACAAGCTGTTTATGATGGTGGATTGGATGAACAAATGTGCGATTAATTGGTACTATGCGGTATAAAAGTAAGCTATGTAAGGATGGAGGTGTTGTGTGTGTGGGTAGGTATATTGATGCATGAAGGAAAAAGGGATGATCAATCGTATATCCGGATCTCGAGCTAATGAACATGACATGAGCCATCCATCGATTGAAACCATCATCATCAGCAATTGACTTACAAAAAGGAAAGCACAACGAACAGGATCGGATATCGAGAGGCCCTTGGCATGATATAAAAGTTCATTTTCAGAGTCGATAAAGCGTGCGAGTTGTTTGATACACTATTGAAGGAAGGAAAACGTCAGATGGAGGGATTTATGCAATATCATGTCACACGCGCTCGTTACCTTTTGATAATGGGTAGTAACCAACATTGGCCAAATGTATATTGTTAAGCATTCCATAATGTTGTCAAAGACATTGAGTGACACCTTTTCAGCTCGATACATGATGGTGTTGATGGTATCCATGGTGTGCTGGAACTGATTTGCTGTAATCTAGATTATGCAACCAATACATAAGATCCATCGTATTCCATCTCTACCTACCTACCCTCCCCCTTGAACAATGATACCACCCACGTGTAATGCGCCTCTCCTTTGCTCGTTCTCCTCCTCCTTGTATCACACAACACACATCCATCCTCCTCCTCCTTATATACCTTGCCATGAAGTTCTATGGGAAACTCTGTACTGAAACGAGTGACACCATCACCTCGAGAATAATCACGTTCAATACGTATCGTTCGTGTAGGCCAGGGTCGAGCCATGTCAATCATGGTGGCGTGGATGGACTGACGAGATGTGCGTCGTGAGTAATCCTCTGACATGCGTGCTGTTGGGGGTGGTGGCGACAATGGCTGTTGCTGTTGCTGCTGCTGTAATGGTGGCGGTATCGGGTGCGACCGTGTAGCCATGGCATTCTGTTGGCCAATGTCGTTGATACCACTAGCTGTGTTCTTGTGGGTCGCCAATGAAAAAGACGATTGAGATGCTGAGTGGATCAATAAGAGAGCGTGTGAGCTTCACAGGATAAAAGAAACAAAAGGGGTGCACGAGAGAGAAAGAGAGAGACGAGGGAAAATCGAAATTGGGATGAAAGAAAGGAGGATGGGGGGGGTTGATATTTACATGGCATGTTGTTGTTGTTGTTATTACTTGACACATCATGTTGCTCTTCTTGGCGCCTTGATATAAACGGGTTAAACCCTTCGTTCTGTTGTTGTTGTTGTTGTAATAAGACTGGCAATGTATCAAGTGACATGGCTTTGCGATGCAAACTACTATGCCCTGAGCGTGTAGAGGTGGTAGTCATGCCGCTATCAATGCTGGTTGTAGAGTAGCGACGCACGTAGCCATGTCGATGTCGAGAACTAAATGCGGGTGGATAAAAAAGACATGTATCGGTGTATCGATGTTGCTGTCGTTTGTGCTGCCAAGCAAAAGCCATGGCTGTTGTTGAAGAGAAATTGTCGTATATCGTTTTTGAGCTGGATGTGGATGGATAAGAAGATGATGGCAACGATGATGAAGCAGCCATTATGTCTTGGGGCCGAAAGAAACGATCGATTTATATGTTTTCTTACTCCACTTTATATAGTGTACGCATAGAAATAAGGTGGTACTACCTTATTCACGTTGAACAATCTGTATCAAATACTTTGGGGAAGCGGATATGAGGGAACTACATACCACATGTAACACGACCATCATATAGCCTCTGACGCCATGAATTTGCTTTTTGCCGAGCAGCCGATGTTGATGAACCCCATATATACAAGCAATGTCATGTTATGAAAACAAAAATGCTTTCCAGCCACACAAAGTATGAGCCGTTCGCTTTTGTGTATCTCAACAAATGGTACACGTGGCCGTGAACTTAAAGCGGGCTGCTTGCATTCGGATGATGGCGGGTTTATCTCGCTCTATCGGCAGGCTCGGCTTGTTCATCCAATTCCGATCCTTCTATAGTGGGATCAAACATTGTTTCACCTTCCACTTTTTTTACACGCCATAAGAGATCCTTTGTAAATCAAATGATACCATGTCTCGTATCCATGGGTAAAGTGTACATACGCTCCGATACTATGCTGCCCAAGAGCGACACCCCATTACAGCCCGATCTTCCATTATTAGCTGTAGCCGTATGGCTGCATAATAAATCATTTTTTGTAATCTCAGAAACAAGTTTACTTTGATAGTAGAGTTACGTGCAATGATTAAAGAGAAGGATACTGAAATGCATTTTACATAGGCGATAAAGTGCGAGTTTTATTCCAAAGCATGTCCAAGAGCGGTATGAAGGAGAATGTATAAGGATAGTTGGTCGATCTTGTTTATCAGGGCCACGATGAAAGCGGATCAGAGGATGCCAATCTTGTTGGAAGAACCACAAAGTCTGGATTGCCATCTTTGAAGGTTTGGCTATGAGCTAGGATTTCCATATGGTTACTGGCTGCAATGCATGAATGATCCGCGAATGCGTTGATTAGAAATCAGGTTTACACTATATATCCATACGCTGACACAAACCTTGGTCTTCTGTCTCAAATGCTATGTTGGTATTCCAGCATGTGATTTTGGATGATGATGGTTGTTGTCCAGTTGATCCCTTTGACATCAAATGCATTCATTTGTATGCTGTATGCGATATACATAGCCTCTTCACAGGCGTGATGCCATGTGTGTGAGTGTCTCTGCATAGTGGAACGATTCGTGTCAATCATCATCAAACGTATGGTGAAGGTGAAAGTGTGCTTATTACATACCAGCCTTTGAGCTAGATGCTTTGCTTGATGGTGCTTCCAAAGTAGCATTGGTCTTGAACGTTTTGTCGCATGATGGGACTGGGCATGGAAACTCTTGATTCTAAGCGAAATATTAATATAGGATACCATCTTGCTTTTTTCCCTAGTGTACCTGCTTGCAAACAACCAAGGATTTGCTGGTAACGAAATTCAATTGCACGATCATATGCCTGGTGGGTATAGGCTTGCAAAGCAGGCCGTCTGATGTTCGCTTGCAAGAACAATTGTCCCCACAGCTGCCTAACCACCACAGGGTTGTTTGCCTGATTTTGATCCATTACCACTCTTGCAAATCGTTTCCCCAGTTGTCAAAAAAAAAGCATAGGCATACGGTTGTCGACTAACCCCATCCAAGCCAACCACAACGGGTATGGATCCTATCCCTGACAATCCGCTGATTGACCTCCTGCAAACGACGCTATACAACAGCTCATTAGCTTGCTTATCGTACACCAATATTAACCACCTATGGTCTTACCGGTCCATGCATGCCAGGGATATGACGATCATGATTGCCCTTCGATACGAAGCCCCACCACACATATCGCAATAAAAATATTCCTCCTTATGCAAGAACTATTAGATACATGACGTGGAAACGGAACATTTACTTACCATATGCATGGAGGTCACGTGTTGGTGATGTCTTTGTTGGATAGTAAAGGATTCACTACAGCTTCCTTTTGAATCTTGTTGTCGTTATCATTGTCATCATCGTGAGTGTGGTAATCATTGCAATCGTCATTGTTGTGAATGGGGTGATCATCGTAATCGTCATTGTGGCCTCTATAAATAAGAAAGCAGGCAAGTTAGACCATCTGGTACCGGGAATGATGACGATTTGGTATACCGCTAGGCGATCCTCTCCAAGGAAGAAACCAAATCAGAAGGAATTCACAAACCAAATCACCACCATACGAGCAACATCGGGCGATCCCTTGTTCTTGAGAAAGCACTGCACGAATCACGCAAGGCCAGTTCGATCCATGGCAAGGAAGGACATCACCTACGTAGAGTCCAGGCTCATAGTTGTTCTCATTCATCCTCTCCAAAGAAAGAATGATCCCCAATCCTTCCAATCATTTCCCACCTCATGAAAAGAAATCCTCAAGGGAAAGAACGAGCCTATCACGAGAAGAGCGTGTTGGTTCAACACGTTCACGAGCTGTTGCAAATCCCCTTTTACCTCAACACGATGACCATGCTCTTCCAAAAATCCATCGTCATCCACCCATCAACTCAAACGCAGGCCTATAGAGCCCTGGACGCGTTCCAAGAAGCTTTTCCAGCACACTTGGGTAGTGCAGAGCGACGCAGCGACCACTTGATACAGGCTGGGACTTGAACCCAAAGAGATGATGATGATGCCTTGCATTTTCCATATACACAAAGACCCGTTGTTGTTGGTTACTTGAAACCGAAAACCATGGTGTAGTACAGTTGAGCCGAAACAGAACGCCAAACTAGCCAACGTCTTGAAACCAAACTTGCCCCCCTATATAAGCTAACACGTCAATGGAACCAGTTCGGCTGCAACATTGGGCTCCGAATGTACCTGTTGACACCAAGCATAGAGTGGGAATAGCAACGAACAAGAGAAAGCAGCGATGTCGCCATGGCAACAACCGGACACGCTCACTCCCTGATAATGCATGTTCAGGATGGCGGAGTAGTAAAGAAGGTGACGTTGCTTACGTGCTTTGCTATAGCAACCGCGTCTCCGCAGCCAAGGCAACTGTTGATCTTAACCAAGACCAATTCTGCTTCGCCTGATCAAGACTGTTCAAGACCGCTCAAGGCTGTTCAAGACGATTGTCACCGTTGACCACTCGTGGGAGGTTTAGGTAAGTAAGTTGGAGTGAAAGATCGTTGCAACTACGTTGTTTCACTTGGTTGCATTGGCTTGCAATAGCGTACAGCAGCACCGACTCCTCTTTACTTGCAAGCCCATATGCACACGTACACGACCATTCAGGCAATGCATTCAAGGTTTGTGTTATAAAGAAGCTCTTATTGGCTTGTGGAAAGCAGCTTGGATTCATTTAGTTGGGTACATTTGTAGACAAGAAGTATCCAAGCGGATTGGGTTAATGTTGTGGCCATGGTGAACTTGTTTTTCGTTGTCAAGCTTGGTGCCTACAGGTACATTCAAAGAGCTCAATGTTGCAGCAGAACGTGTTGCATTAACCCTTTAAGCTTGTGTAGCTCTACATTTCTTTTCGCCCATCTTACCGTCATCTCACTCGTTCTTGGTCTGACCTGGAGCTGGTATGAAGAAGCTCGACGCAAACTGGAGTATGTCAGCAGGCCGTGTTGGCATATGAAGTTGGTCAGGATGGATTTCTCAGCGACTTGACGAATTGCCTGCTTCGTGACAACAGCCTCCCTTGATTCTTCTTCTTTACACAACCAAATCTTGGGACGTGGTCGTGAGAATTCATCTTTGTCCTTTGAACTAATCCGAGTATGCTTCCGAGTGTTATCTTAATCTCTGTGATAAGGCATCAGGTAAGTGTTGGGTGGAGCAATTGTATTCCACATGGTGATATTATTGGATTAGCTACAAGATTGTTTCTTGACAATGATTACTGCCAATGCACTTGCTGTCACTATCAGTGGATTAGGTAGGTAAAACAATGCGTGCGGGATGCCTGAAGTATATGGCTGATGATGTAATTGCTAGGATGTTGAAACCAAAGCTACCCAAAGGCTTGCCCATTGCAGAACAAAGACTTGATACATCTTACATTGACGTGCCTATCAAAGAGGTATGCTGTCGGTAACAATTGTTATTGTTTAAAATCTCACACAGCTTGCATTATCCTCAGAAGCACCAGTATCGTTATCATCCTAGCATTGTTTGGAAGAATCCTCCTGGCGAATCACAACATGAACAATTCTTAACCTGGTGGAGAAGCGGATCAAGTCGGCAGTCAAGACATGTTCCAAGTTGCCTTTGATATGAGATATAGTCCATGCTATTATACATTACTAGTCATCCGGCTCCCTAATGCATCGGAATAAATGATATTATTTGATTGAGCAGCGTATCTTGTTGAACTGTTTTATTCCCTGCCTCGACACCTTTCCACAAACGCACGTTTTCTTGGAAAGAAAAAATATGGTGCATTTCATCTATAAGCGTCACAAACTTACATTTTGCAAAATAATTCGTAAACTGCCAGCTAATAGCCCATTCCTCCCACACCTTTGTTGCCCAATCCAATGCATGTGAACGATCGTCCTGCTCCAGCCCAGCATGCCCATCATTCAACTTTCTTGATCCGGGCTGACCTGATAGTAGTAAGGCAATGGCTGTTGTTGGATCATCATTATCATGTAAAGTGTAAAATGGCACACACCCTTTTGCTATACGTGAGGATCATTTCTTTTATTTACGTGAACCTATTGTCTATCATGAGGGTGATGACGATGGGTGAGTTGTGTGTTTTGGGTGCATGTGTGTATGGGGGGGGAGGGTAATTGAATGGCCTCAGTGTAATAGCAGTAGGGGGTTTAAACTTGGGGGACAGCAGCTTCACGACTTGAGACAACGCTTCTCTTCTTTTTCTCCCACCTTTCCTTATTCCATTCACGACATCTCGATCAAGGTAATGTATTATAAGAGTGCTCTTGCTGGCTGTGAGGTGTTAATGTAGTTCTGAACATGCATTGTCAGGGAGCGAGTGTGTCCAAGTGCTGAGGAATGAGCGTGGTTGGTGGTTGGTGGTTGCCATGGTGATATCGTTGCTTCCTCTTGTTCGTTGCTATTTCCGCTCTACGCTTGGTGTCAACAGGTACATTCGGAGCCCAATGTTGCAGCCGAACTGGTTCCATTGACGTGTTAGCTTATATAGGGGGCAAGTTTGGTTTCAAGACGTTGGCTGGTTTGGCGTTCTGTTTCGGCTCAACTGTACTACACCATGGTTTTCGGTTTCCAGTAACCAACAACAACGGGTCTTTGTGTATATGGAAAATGCAAGGCATCATCATCATCTCTTTGGGTTCAAGTCCCAGCCTGTATCAAGTGGTCGCTGCGTCGCTCTGCACTACCCAAGTGTGCTGGAAAAGCTTCTTGGAACGCGTCCAGGGCTCTATAGGCCTGCGTTTGAGTTGATGGGTCGATGACGATGGATTTTTGGAAGAGCATGGTCATCGTGTTGAGGTAAAAGGGGATTTGCAACAGCTCGTGAACGTGTTGAACCAACACGCTCTTCTCGTGATAGGCTCGTTCTTTCCCTTGAGGATTTCTTTTCATGAGGTGGGAAATGATTGGAAGGATTGGGGATCATTCTTTCTTTGGAGAGGATGAATGAGAACAACTATGAGCCTGGACTCTACGTAGGTGATGTCCTTCCTTGCCATGGATCGAACTGGCCTTGCGTGATTCGTGCAGTGCTTTCTCAAGAACAAGGGATCGCCCGATGTTGCTCGTATGGTGGTGATTTGGTTTGTGAATTCCTTCTGATTTGGTTTCTTCCTTGGAGAGGATCGCCTAGCGGTATACCAAATCGTCATCATTCCGGTACCAGATGGTCTAACTTGCCTGCTTTCTTATTTGTAGAGACGACAATGACGATTACGATGATCACCCCATCTACAACAATGGCAATGATGACGACAACGAGATTCAAAAGGAAGCCTGCAAGATCCCATTCTTTTCAACTTGTGTGTTTTTGGATGTTGGTGTGACGGATGAGATTGACGACTGGTGACGAGTACGAGTACGAATACGAATGATGACGGAGGACGACTACAACGATGATAGTGGCAATGTACAGTACATAGCAAGATAGCTGGATAAAATAAAGCATTGTTTATTTATTACACGCTTGTTGGAGGTTGCTAGCTTGTGGATTACATACTATTGCTTCGAAGATGGAATAATAAAGGTGGTCCGGTTAAGAAGTACATGACTTTTGTGATACAATAAGGAGGAGTGGAAAGTGAGATGAGCTTGGGAAGAGAAAAAGTGAAGAGATCCCTCCATTGAGTTTCAGGATGATGGGCGACCCATTCAATATGTATACGTATCTTTTTACATATACAAATTGGTTTATGCAGCTCGACTTTCTCCTACATGCAAATGTGATGCATACCTTGACATGCCTTCATTATTGGATGCTGTTTACTTACGTACCTTCACAAAAGGCAATCATCATCATCATCATTGGTGCCATGGTTGACATGTGCTTCTCTGCTTCTCGTTTTAGACACATGTCTTCATATCTCCTTCTTTCTGTTGCTGCTTCTTTCACTTATATATTGGCTATCCACATTGCACTGCTGTCCCGTCAAGTACAGTAGGCATCATCATCTCTTCTTCTCTCTTATCCTTTCCCTGCTTCATAGCATCTAACACGCTTCACATTCTCTTCCTCCATATCCTCTTTTACAGTGAGCACCACATGAATGAAAAGCACATGGTAATGTTGTGTATTAGAATGAACATGTATAATCTACCCATCGTATTTGGAATTACTGTCACTTGGATACTGATATCATGCCACTCTAAAACCGATAGCACAGCTTATAACGCACATTGGCTAGAAAGTACTACAGCTCATGCAAGTATGGGAATATGAAATCACGTGCTGCTTATGGCTGGAAAACGGCTGCGTGAAAGGGGAGCACAAAATGGTCGGGGTATGCTATGTTGAGCTTTCTCCTTGTTCTCAACCGCCTTGTTCTCCAATTGCCTTGCTCCCAAACGCCTTTTCCCAAACGCCTTGTTTCCAATCGGTTTGTCATGGATCGCTCTTACCTGGAAGCTGCGTCTTGGACCGAATGGAGCTACGATGGTTACAAGGAGTTTAGACGACGAGATGCGCCGCCTGGTTTCGGAATAGGTGGCAAGCGGGGGACACTCTTTGCTCTTTGATCATCCTATAGAAAAATCCAGCTATCCTGTAAATTGTTGTGTTTGTTATACAATCTTTGAAATGTACATACCACACACGCTTGAAGTATCGATCGCCTCGTAAATGTTATCCCAATCGGCCTTGAAAGCAGCTGTGTGATAGGAAGCATGTGAGTATAAATCAAAAAGTACGTGCATTCAAAGATGGATAATCATACCTTAATATGGTGCCTTTTCAACAGCTGACAAAACAAACGCTGGTGGTGGCAGCTAGCCTTGGGATGTACTCTTGTCACCTACAAAGGAGTCCCAAATTTCCCATTAGGTTGAGGTTGCCTTTTGCCAACAAATGATAGGTACACCTACCACAAAGGGTCCATCGATGAACGAACATTCAAAAGTCATTAGGCACCAATAATCAATGAGGTGAGCTACATAGAAGATGAATGCATGAGTAACCTCATTTTGGGGATCACATAATAAATACTATCCTTGAGACTTACCAAAGGTCATTGATGATGATGTGAATACAAGTAGAAAGAAAGGGCGTATGATGGTGTTGGTGACAACAGCCTTGTTTATACAGTATGCGAGTGGGCGTAGGATTGTTGTCATGATGAATCGAACTGATAAAGTGGTCAACCATCCTGGAGTACTGAGTCGAAGTGATAAATCCACCTGCACTTGAGAGGTGATGATTTGTAGATGACATAGGTAGGTCCGAGGACGTCCTCCCAACAACGATCCTCCAAATACACTGCACTAATGATACAAAACCACATATGAAAGGTAAAATGTGAGCTTGTATGCTGGTGAATCATATTGCATGTGTACTTACTGTTCATAATCGCACCTATCCCCATGCTAGTACATAAGGTCTTCGACATACGCTTGTGAGCCGTCATCGTTGGTGCGCAGCAGCCATTTGGATTCGTTGACATCCTTTCAAACTAGCTGCAGAAACGTGCCTTTGCGCTTGGATCCAGCATACATGAATCGGTTTCTCCGCTGGTGGTACTGGCGCTTGACGTATGCTCCTCCTATACAAAAATCCAGCTATCCTGTAAGTTGTTGTGTTTTTATACATCTTTGAAATTCACATACTACACGCGCTTGTAGAATTGCCTCGTATATCTTTTCACAATTGGGTTGATCCTTGGAAACAATCTAAACATGTGAGAGAAGACGTGTAAGCATAACCAAAGTGTATGCATTCAAAGATAGATGATCATTACCTTGATGTTGAATTTTGAAGCTGCTGTCAAAAAACACTTGTTCCAGGTAGCGTTGATTTCTGATCGAGGACTTGAATGGATGATTATGTCAAGAGTCAAAATCGAAACGTGCTAGGCTGGGCGTGGCGGGAATACTTTAGAGAGGATACGATTAGCATGGTCGAAAGAGCTAATGGCAATATACAATGTACCTTCCAAATGGCGTAGATCAGTGTTCGTTGCTGCATTGCTGGTTGCATGCCGCGAATTGTTTGGCATTTTGGGTATGGGAAGACGTGAGGAAGTAAAGACAAGTAAAGGGGAGGAGGTAGCAATAAGCGGGGCTGTTTGACACCATGCCAACAATGCTCCATGTCAATTTCAGCCTCAGCTATGGAATGCATTACGGCCACTCATCCAGACTTTGCAAAGGCGTCAAGGTTGAGTAGGCACCTTTATGAAAAAGAAAGATGAGTATGCGATCCATTAGAAAAGGTGGTTAGGATTTACCTCGTCGTTACAAGAATCAAAACGACACAATGACGACCATCATAATGAAAGTAGAATAACAATGAAAGCTTACGAACAATGACCACAAATCAGATCGAATCCAATGAGTTGCAAAATGGCTATCAGTGATACTTACTAAGGATTCTTTTCTTGTGTCAGCAATCAAAGAGTGAGATGAGGGAAAAAAGAAAGTGATGGTGAATGGGCGACAACATCCTTTGTTTATATGTGCATGATGGTGGGCGTGGGTATTTCCGTGATCACAAAGAAGAGATAAATGACTTGTTGAGGGATGATGCATTGTTGTTTATCAAAGAGCCTAGGCTTGATGATGATTATCAGGCTGCATGAATCGACAGCTATCATAACCAAATTAGGGCAGTAGCAAACATCGCTCGGAACGCCATCGTGGTATATTGGAACTCATCTGAAGGGCTATATCCCCATGCCCATACAAAGAACAAAATTGCGATTTTGATGCTATAGGCAGCCATCATCCATAGATCAGCAGCGATGTAGTAAGAAAAGGCGGAAAAGTTTATAGAGGAGAGGGGTAAAAGAAAGGATGGATGGAGATTTTGATCTATATTGGTGTGTATACAATCTATAGGAAGGATTCTAAATACAAGTTGTTGCTGTTGCTGTTGTCTAGTACGCCTTTAATCATCTTCGAGGCCATCCGACTTGCCACCAAACACGCCCTTTCTGTAATGTTCACGTTGCTTTCTCAGCCAAGATCGATAATCAGCGACGGATTGGATCTTTTCACCATAATAATCAGGGACGGGATTACGAATAGAGTTGAGACGTGCATCAGCTCGGTTAGCCTTGATACGTTCAAAGAAAGCCTTGTCACGAGCATCCATAGCGGGAGCAATCTTTCCATTCATTGCCTTGAAAAGACCGTTGCCAATGATAGGACCCACCATGAAACCACCCACACCCTAATAGAGAATAGAGTTAATATGCATGTTCCCCCATTGATGATGATGACAATGATATACTTACAGCACCCACAGTAGCCAAGGCAGATGCCATCACGGGATCCATACCAAAGAACGTCGTAAATGGATCAATTTCCAACTGGGAAAAGTATGCAATAGAACCAATGGTGGGTGCAATGGCACTAGGAACGCAGGCCACCATTTCGTACATGCGACGCTTTTTGCGAAGGTTGAAGTAATCGTTCCAAGAAGGGATCGCGGTTGTGGTTTCCTCTTGTTGTTGTTGTTGTTGTGTCTTTTCGGTTTCTGTGGATTCAGCGGTTGTGCTAGTGAATCGAGCACCAGCGATCTTGGTGGATGGGTTGGTGGTTGCTAGACGACGCAATGGTAGCGAGGCGAGTGACATGTTTGACAGTGTGGAAAAGGAACAACAAAAAAAGAAAGAGCGAAACAGGGCAAAAGTAGTTTAACCTGTCGGGATTCAACGCAGGGTGCTGGTTAGCTTTTCTTTCTCCAATAGACCTGTTGCACCACATACACACCTACCTACCCACACATACTCTCTCTCACACACACACACACACGCACATATACACACATACCACCCTTCGTAACCGCTGCGCACTCACAACAGAGGAGAAGATACAACACACTTTTATGAATACCACCTCCGTTACATAACTCTCATTCTGACATTGGAGGGTCACTCGTTGTATGTCGGCTGTCATTGGCAGCTCTCTGCTTGAATACTTCACTCTTTTATTTTACCAATCGCACCTTCTCTCTCTTTCTCTCTTTCTTTGCGACAATCTCTACAACCACATTCTTCTATAACGATTAACAACAACACGCTCTATTCCCAGTGAAAGGCAACAACCAACAAAAAGTACATAGCCAACTATCCTTCACCACACCCCACCCCTTAAAGAAAGCGAGCACGATACACATTTACAATGCCTGCTGGTGGTACGACCCTGCGGTCGACCGCAGACTATCACGAGACATCAAGGTCATCATCTGGTCGCCACCACCACCATCATCAACATCAACATCATCGCTTGTCAGGATCATCCTCCTATGTCTTTGCACCTAGCTGGATGCTACGTAATGGGAAGAAACCACCAAACAATGACCAACTCGCTTTTACTTCATTCGCTGGAGGTACTATTATTATCATCCTACTTGATCCTATGATTCCTTCGACTCATTCGAACCTTCTTTTATAGGCAACAATGCACCACAAACGTCATTTTCTTCTCGTAAATCAGATTACTCTCGACCCACAGGTAATACCCTATCCTCATTATATACTATACAGCATCCTAATATCTTCTACTAGTATCGACATTACGTTCATCCAATTCATCGCCTTATCCATCATCTTGGGAGGAGGAAGAGAACAACAACGATAAGCCTGATGCCAGTGAATTCCCTACCCTCACATCAGATGATACAATCAACAAACGCAACGAAGGACGATCAGCATGGAGCAATCCACATTTGATCAAGGAAAAAGTATTATCACCAACACGAATCGACCAAGTTAGTCAATTGGATATGGGTCCATCCCCTGAAGACATTGAATTTGAAAGGCTCAAGGCATTGGTACCAAAGCAACGCACGGCAACAAGAAAGATTGGCAATCGGTTATCCTCTGCGAGTCCATCACCCTCGTCTTCTTCATCCTCATCTCATCACCATCATCATCATCGCAGCAGTCATCCTCATCCTCCTCATCAACAACATTCTCAACCGCATCCTCATCATCGTACATCCAAAAGCAGCTCCACCCATATACGTGCTACCAACACCACCAGCAGCCATAGAGCACCTTTTATGAAAAAGGATCACCCTGCCATTGTCAAAATCTCGACTTCCACTCATGCTACCACCACCACCATCACCACCAAACGTGTCTCCAGTGATAGTGGTACCAGCACTAGTAGCAGCAGCACTAGCAGCACTAGCAGCAGCAGTGGTATGCAACATGATATGGCTCAACAAGATCCATTGCCAACAGCACCACCACGATCATCATCATCCACCACCACCACCACAGCAAGAACACCACCGACACCACCAACCACTTCAACAACAACCACAACACCAGGACACTTGTGGGTCGATGAACGAGAAAAGCAACATTTCTTGTCATGGTTGTATACTTGGACATGTCAACCTGGGATTGAATGGAGAAAGGATGCGCATGCATTACATCATCATGGTGAGTATTCGTATTTTGGTCCTCTCGGTACAAAGAGTGATGCAAGCTTGTTCTACCAAGGAAATATTCTCGTGCATTCTCCATGGTACAATTACTCCTGACGCCTTGAAAGAGGGGGTTTGCTTTATATATACATATCTTTTCCTTCTCTCTCTCTTTTTATTATATCATCTTTTGTTATTTGTCAAATATCTTTTGTGCTTTTTTTCTTTCTTTTCCCTCTCCCCTCGCTCTCTCTATTTCTTTCTTAGTGAACACCCACATAAAAAAATGGATAATACAGACACTAGGAACGTCCCATCATCCTAGGATGAAGGCTGTTCATCTTTATAAACTATATCATTTTTTTGGTCCATGCTAGTACTTTTTGATGTATGCACGATAGGTAAGCTTGAGCTTGTTTACTTTGGAATCGATTTGGTCCAATTGGGCTTCCAATTCTTCTCGTCGTCGTCGAGCGAGTGCACTCACGCCACTCAATGGAATCTTGCTATATTCAACGAGGAGCTGGAAGATGATTTAGTTTTTGTCATGTGGATGGCTATCGTTGTCATGGCAACCTACAATATCTTTTTCTCGAAGTAGTTTACGTAATACAATGTCCAAGTCGGCTGGTGATTGAATGTTATCATGCGAGTGCTGTTGTTGTTCATGCTGGTGTGAATGATGATGATTATGGTGATGATGATGATGATGATGCGGTGCTGTCATGGGTGGAGAGGGAGGTGTTTCTATGCGCTGTTGCTTTTGCTGTTGTTCATGTTGCTCGGCAAGACATTCAATAGGACTATATAGAATCGATGAATAAATGATCTAATAATGCGTTTTACACATCCCCCCACCATTATACCTCGCTTTGAGTGTGGTGCTATACCTTGCAGCAATATCCTTGTATACGGTTACATCTTCACTAAAAATGCCCATTCGCAAAAATTGCTCCATGGTAGCCTTCAACATACGCACTTGATCTTGGCTATGCCGTAATTGCTGTTGCAAAGTGCTGCTACTACTACTATCGTGGCTGCGATGATGATGCGTTGATGATGCCATTTCTTCCTTTTGTCGTAGCAGCTGCTCATCAAATTGTTGGCGTTGTTCTTCCATGGTGCTTTGGAGCTGTTGATTGTCATCAAACAATTGTCTACATGACCCTAGGTGAATAATGACACCTATCAATGGGTTCATTGACTCACTGTACTTGTTCTCGTGCCTCATTCAATTGGTCCGTTGTGGATGATAAATCATCTTGCAATCGCTCATTGTTGATCTACATGCATGACGATGTTTGTTGATATCACTCTTCTCGTGTACAGTTGCAGCTTACATACCCTTTCAGACTCAAACTTTTCTTTCCACATGTCCTTTTCATGGGTGATCTCATCCACCGTTTGACTTAAGAATTCAATGTCCTTGTTACAAGCTATGATGTGGGATGAAGATTTAGCCATGATCATCATCATGCGTCGCTCAGCATAGGTTACCTTCTTTTTGTCGTTGTAGGGCACTGACAACAGCTCTTTCTTTTTCCACTTGCATCATCCAATACTGAATTTTTGCCTCGTATTCATTATTGCTATGATCATCAATATCACTTTGTTGTGATGACTTTGGTACTACAGGCTGTTGTTGTTGTTTAAAAGATGCTGGTAATGGCGGCGAAGCTGGTAATTTCGATGTACGTAAGGCGGATGAACGAGGACTTGTGGGTAATGATGCCACGCGTGGTTGTTGTAAATCATCCATGTTGGATTGTAAATTGTCAAGTGACATGGCAGGACGTACTACCATGGATCGGGGTCTGGCAGGACGTGATGCTGTGGGTGGTGAGCGACGGCTTGTGGTGGTGGTGGTGGTAGCTGTGCTGGTGCCGCTATCTTCAGACATGCGACCCCTGCGTGGTTTTGCTGCGTTGTTATTCATCGGCTGCAGATTTTGAGCAACATTGCCCGATCCAGCAACAACAGATGGCTGAGTCGTCGTTTTGGTTAAGGTTGCTGTTGTTGTTGCTACTTGCTGCTGCTTTTCGGTATTATTGCCTCTTTCATTATTATCTTCTCCATCATCGTCAGGTGGTACACTGACCGATGACAACCGCCGATTTGACAACAGTGAACTAATCCATCATCCTATTGTTGAGTATACCTAATACCATGGTGATGAGGAATAATAGAAACACATACATACCTCCCTGCAGGCTGCTTGTTTTTTGCCTTGGCATCTAATACTTCTGAAAGCGTGTGGGTTATCCATTACTGGTCATGAGGCGGGGGGTTATAAACAAAAAGATGCTTACCAACAGGGCTGGATGAACGTCGTGGAGTAGTATTATCATTAGGTAGGGAACGATGACGATGTTGTTGTTGTTGAATAGTAGAACGTGGTGGTGGTGGATGAGTTGTTGTTGTTGCATTGGATGATTTACGAGCAATCTTTTTCAAATGCCAAAACTTTTGACTGGATGATTTTACAGTAGATGCCATTATGAATTGTGCGTGTGTGAAAAAAGAAGACAAAGGGATGAAGGGAGGAGAACTAAAGTGCGTGCGCGTGATATATGTGATATGTATGTGTGGTGTGTGAAAAAAGGAGAGGGGGAAGATGCGGGGGAAGAAAAAAAAGAAGAAATCAAGCGAGAGAGAAAGAGAGAGCAGAGTAAAAAGAAAGGAACGGGGTAGGATTGGCCCAAAGATGATGCTCATTTTATACATCCGTTTTTTCAAAGAGGGGATGTTAGTAGGAGAAGCAAAGAGTGAATAGAGAGAGAAGGGGCCATCATCGCCATCTAAGCCAGCAGCAGCAGCAGCAGCAGCAGAAACTATTTTTTGTGTGTGAGCCCGAACAAAATGCTACATCTAGGGATCCTTTGCAAGGTACACATCACATTGACATGTACGCATCCACCATTCACCCATGATCGGTTACGCTCTCTTTCTTCTTTTTCGCGTATCACTTTTTTGCATTATACCATGTCCATGTTACACCATGCAGGCTCGATTGCACACATGATAATGTGGTCTGATAGGATGATACAAAGACTCCAATCCTTAAGTTGTAATGATGATTGTAATCACAACTCTTTAATGTGCACTGTACTGGGTCTGTGTATCAATATGCATGCGTGTGATGGTTGGCTTTTTACCCACACCGCATGATAATGCTAATGAGGAAGATCCTCTTTATTTGGTTTTGGGGTCTACACCACGCCGATATTGAAATCTCGATATACATTCATAGATAGTAAAAGAGTCGATCCATCTTGTGGGCGTGTCAAAAAAGAACAAGGGGAGAAAAGCATATTATCACATTTAGGAGAGTGAGAGTAGTAAAAAGCAGCGATGACAGGTAAAGCTTGTTTTGACATCAAGTTGGCAGAGAGAAGATTATGACGATTTGTTTAGCTTTTGTACTACTCACAAGCTGCAAGCGTTGATGACAAGTGGTATTTTGGCAGTTGTTGCTTACGCTACGATCGAGAAACATGAGCACGTTAAAAGAGAGAGCGTGTGCGTGTGTGTGTGTGCACAGCTCCTTGTAGTAGCAGGGTCAGGGGTAAGCTTATCAAGGGGAGAGGATGAATGAGCAGCAGCAGCAGTAGGGGTTGGGGATGAATAGGAGAAAACAAAGCCAATGTTGTAGCTGCGTGTGCTGAAGCGCTCTCTTTAATGACGCGGTGTTTGTGTGCATAAGTCAAATATTGATCCAATGCCCCTAAGCACAATGACGGTACTGGTGATTTCGTGTTCAGCGAGGGATAATTGCGGAAAAAGAGAACAATGACCTTTGTTAGGGCCACTTTATGCACAGACATTTTACAATCAAGTATATTAAGTGCACATGCGAATACACAAAGACACCTGTAATTGCCCAACAACGACATTCTTTGTTGTTTATGGATACTGTACGGATCATCTCCACAATCAATACTGCAAGGGGCGATTTGTGAGAACAGCAAAAAGAAAAAAAAACAACTGAGCCGGCGATCATTCCACAGCCAGTCGCAGGGTGCTGCTGCTGCTGCCTATCAAAAAATATTTGTACATGCATAAATCAACTAAACGCCCTCCAACCGCGCACGCTGCAGCTGCTGCATGGAAAACCCTGTCAATTCCAAACACCACTTACTAGCGGCTGCAGTAGTAAATGTACTACCTTTTTGAAGACTTTAACTTGTTCTCTTGGAGCTTAGCTTAGGATCAGCTTCATACTTGAGCATGAAAGGGGGGATATTGCGTTTAGAAATGAACGCTTTTTTGGGTCCGTCAGGCTTGCTGGTAACAACACAAGGGCATTGAAAGTCAACGCATCGCCTCTTTATACTATCTACAGCTGTCGGGATCTCGCCCTAGAAGAAGGTTGATCATCCTTTCATCACACAAGAGCGATCCGGTATTACCTTAACACCTTCGCTGATACACATCCATTACCCGAATTAGTAGTCTTTGGTTGTAGGTCGAATGTGAACCATATCATTACGCCCCTTTCATCCTTGTCCCGATAATCAGAAAAATGTCACCAGGTATCCAAGTTTACTGAAGGGGATCCAACAATGACTATTTCCTTCGTGTTCATGATGCAACAAGCTGGTAAACTTTAAGCAAAATTGGGGATGGAGGTCATGTCGACCAATTTTCAGACACCTTGATGAAAAAAGAAAACGAAGAAATGGATGAACAATTCGCATGTGTGAGATCCCATGTATGATGACAGCAAAATGCAGTTGGTCGGTGTGAGAAGTGGTGGGTCATTGGATACGAAGGATGGCACAATATTATGCAAGCGTGTGTTACGATATCAAGTGATGATGATCTTGTAAGCGGTGAATGGGTTGTGTGAAACAATGAAAGCGCGCTAGTAGAATTCTATAAATCAAAATAGCGCCTGTACGCTATTATGCTGCTTTCATTATAGAAGCAAGATAAGCGGAGGGTGGGGGGGATGAAAGGAAGAAGATCTCGGCAATGTCAGCATTATTGTCGGCGATTGGATAACCTTTAGCATGCCATATCTCGGCTTGAGCACGACACCAGATGCAAGATCCAAAGTCGTGTATTCGCAGTCTAAACTTGTTGTATACGTGTCAATGATGAGTCGACAACGAATAACATGTGATCGATGTATGTGTGTGTGTGTGTGTGTCCCATCTCACTAAGCCTATACGTGGTACCCCACCCATTCGTTTACAAAAGGTAAAGCGTGCATGGTATTGTGAAGGTAATGAGTGAAAAAGGCTCTGTGTAACTGGCCCATTTGTAACAACCTCTCTAATTCCCACCCATTCTTCGGTGTCGGATTCATGCACCATATAAAGAAACAAGGTTTATGTGTGAAGATGTCCTCTTCTTCTTCTTCTTCTTTTACTACTACCACTCGTCTTTTTTTTCAAAATGGCTTCTCAAGACATCCAGACCATTCGTCTCACCACTGGCAAGGAACTCAAAGGTAAACAAGATGAGAGAGGGCAACACACCACAAAGCATAAAAGTAAAAGCAACCCATTTTATTAACACCGATCGTCGTCGTATGTAGTTCACACCTATCTCTTTATCAACAACGAGTTTGTCCCTGGTCATGGTCCCCTCATTGAAACCATCAACCCTGCCACCGAGGAAGTCATTTGTGCTGTGCATTCAGCTGATGAGCAAGACGTCGATGCTGCTGTGAAATCGGCCGACAAGTGCTTCAACGAGACCTGGCGCAAGGTGGCTCCTGCTGAGCGTGCTCTCTTGATCAACAAGCTTGCCGACTTGATGGAACGTGACAAGGATGAGCTTGCTGCTTTGGATGCTCTTGATAACGGTAAAGCATTCACTGTTGCACGTGATTGTGATATCACCGATTCGATTGCTTGCTATCGCTACTTTGCTGGTTGGGCTGACAAGATCCACGGCAAGACCATTGATACTACCTTTGACAAGTGGTGCTATACACGTCATGAACCTCTTGGTGTCGTTGGTGCTGTTATCCCCTGGGTAAGTAGGAGGAGGAGGAGGTTGTACATGTGTGTGTGTGATACCGTGGGATGATCAAAAGACTGAAGAAGGGCCTTTATAGAACTATCCTATCATGATGGGTGCATGGAAATTCGCTCCTGCTCTTGCTGCTGGCAACTGCAGTAAGTAGGGATTTGTGCGTGTGGGTGTGTAGGATGATGACGAAGGATTGACGTGGCTCTTTTATAGTTGTTATGAAGACATCTGAAATCACTCCTCTTTCTGCATACAAGTTTGCTGACCTCGTCAAGGAAGCTGGCTTCCCTGCTGTAAGTGATGATAAAAGGACAACACATGGCATATGGGATACTGATGATCAAGGTTTATACGTAGGGTGTCGTCAACATCATTACTGGTTATGGTCATACAGCTGGTGCTGCTTTGGCCAATCACAAGCTTGTGGGCAAGATGGCCTTCACTGGATCTACTTTGACTGGCCGTAAGATTATGGAATCCTCGTCGCACAGCAACCTCAAGAAATTGCAACTCGAACTTGGTGGCAAGTCCGCTCAAATCGTGTGTGCTGATGCTGATCTCGAGAACGCTGCTATTCAAGCTCACGGTGGTATCTTCAACAACCATGGCCAGAGCTGCAATGCTGGTTCCCGTATCCTTGTGGATGAAAAGGTACATGACAAGTTCCTTGAATTGTTCTTGAAGCACACCAAGGATATTGTGGTTGGCGATCCCTTTGCAGAGGATACATTCCAAGGTCCCCAAATCAACAAGGCCCAATTTGACAAGATCATGAATTACATCGAGATTGGTCAAAAGGAAGGTGCTACTCTTTATTATGGTGGAAAGCGTCATGGTGATAAGGGTTACTACATCCAACCAACCATCTTTACCGACTGCAAGAACGACATGCGTGTACGTATATGAAATACGATATCCTTACCTCATTTTTATTGTATGCTAATCCATTCTTTCGTCGAAAAAGATAAGTCGTGAGGAAATCTTCGGCCCTGTCGTCGTCATTATCAAATTCAAGACCGTTGAGGAAGCTCTTGAAATTGCCAACGACTCTGATTATGGTCTTGCAGGTGGTGTTTATACCACTAATCTCGATACAGCCATCAAGGTATCCAATGAGCTCAAGGCTGGTACTGTTTGGGTCAACTGCTTCGATGTCTTTGATCAAAGCACTCCCTTCGGTGGTTACAAGCAATCTGGTTTTGGCAAGGAATTGGGCAAGTATGCTCTTCAAGAATACACCCAAGTCAAGGTGGTGAAGATCTTGCGTACTCAATTGTAATTTTACATCATAATCCTTGACAATCTCCTCCCCATCTCCAAATACCACACTTGTGTATCCACATTATTGCTCGTTTGTATTCCAATACTGCAAAAAAGAAAAATGAAATTGTACATTTGACACTGTAATAACGCTTGCTTGATGCTGATTGTTCGTGTACGCCTGAGGTACCATCCCCTCCCCAACAACCATCTACTGTAGCCTCTTTGTCAGCATAAGGTATCCACGCCCCATCAACATGGGATGTTGTCCTCTATCATTTTATATCGCACATCCCCCTATTTGATTGCTCACAATGCCAAATGTCCAAGTTTATGTGAATTAGAGCTGCTCTATGGATAGGCTATCCTACTTTCTTTGCCCTGGGCCTCATTGTGATGTTCGACTCTTGTAAAAACACCGCCTAACCGCCATTGTTTGATGAACAACTTAATCGATCCAGGAGAAATTAGCTTCACTTTGAGTACCAAGGTTGTTGTAGTGGCGTGTGTAATGTAATGCGTTTCTCGTACCTGTGTAGAAGATTTCCATTTTGAGCATATAAAGAATGCCGACCTGTCAGTCATGTGAGATTTCTTCCCTTCATGTCAATGTTGAGCCGAATACGGTCTCTCGCAAGTGAGTTTTACTCTCATTCTTCCAAACTACAATCGCTCATACCTTTAAAAAGCAACGGCTCTTCGACACATGGCGGCTGTAACGACTGAAGACACAGCAGCAGCAGCAGCACCTGGAACGACATTGCATCGAGTCAAAGTGCTCAATCTTCCCTCCCACGAATCGGCAGCAATCAAAAAGTTTTTTCGTAACCAAGGCATCGACCGATACAAGAAAGCGCCCAACTGGAGATATGCCTATTTGACATTCGAGGTGAGTTGCTGCTACCGTCAAAAGGTAGTGTATAAGGTTCTTATCTTATGTATGTATGTGGATAAGGCTGAAGGTCCTGCCAAAGAAGCCATGCAGAAGCTGGAGGGCGTTGAATTTAAAAAGAGAGCCTTGACGACCGAATACTCGACCATCAACAAAGAAGTGTATCGTGCACGTTTCCAAGCAAAGACGGCCAAGGAGAATGCACCATCATCAACATCAACGACAGCGGACAATGACACTCGATCACCTGCAGAACGCCTCGCTGATCAAGTCACACCCCTTCACAAGTAACGTCCCCTCACCATAGCTAGCGAAATGATGGATCCATCATTGATCCGATACTTCTTTTTTAGGATACCTTATGATGAACAACTGGCTAAGAAACATCAATCGGGTATACGCCATCTCGCCAAGCTTAAACGTCAACTAAGCCGACTTCCCGATCTGAATGATACCAGCCGAGCGCAACTTGCATGGGCATTCCAGTAAGTGCTAGTTATCTTATGTGGATGGATCACAAGGGTTAATCGAATGTTATAAAAGGGAGGGATTGCCTATAGAGATATTGGATCCCATTGCATCGCCTATCACTCGTGGTTATCGGACAAAGTGCGAATTCACCATTGGCAAGAATCCTGACAGCGAGACCACAGTGGGTTTTCTTTTGGGACTTTATCGCCATGGCATCACATCCGTTCACAGCCCTGAAGATTGCTTACATGTACCTGATATATCCAAACGCATTGCCAAAGCGATGGAGGTAAGAGGTTACGGGTGTTTGTGAGGATCAAAAGTTGACTTACCCTGTTGGTGCTAGAACTATGTCAAATCATCCGAGTACAATGTATATGATCGTGCAGAGAAAAAGGGCGTATGGAGATCATTGATGGTGAAAACTCAAAGAACAGGCGACAGTATGTGTGTGATTCTATATGTCTTTGTGTCGCATACAACTCATCCCAATGTAATCCTGGTAGTTTTGATTCTTGTGCAAATGAAGACATCCGACATGACCGAGGAACAAGTAGCTCAAGAGAAGAAAAGGTTGACAGAGTATTGGAGCAGCTACAAGGATCGAAAGGGAGATGAGCAAATCAATGTGACCACGTTGCTGCTGCAAACATGGAATGGTGAATCGAATGGTATCACTGATAAGGGCACCACTGAGATCCTTTTGGGAGATGGCTATGTGTACGAAGAATTACTTGGTTGTCGATTCCGTCTTTCAAGTAGCGCCTTTTTCCAAGTCAACACGCCAGCGACCGAATTGCTTTACACAAAATGTGCCGAGTGGTGTAATATCAGCAAGAGCAAAAAGACAACGCTATTGGATTTATGTTGCGGTACAGGGACCATTGGCATCACCATGGCAAGGACAGTGGATCGCGTGATTGGAATTGAGATGATATCGGAGGCTATTGTGGATGCCCAAGTCAATGCAGAAATGAATCGTAAGGATAAAGAATCATCATTATACGTCATTATAGCTGACATGGATACATCCCTATTAGACGTGACCAATGTACAGTATCACGCAAGCAAGGTTGAGGAGAGAATTGATGTCGTGGCTAATGAAAAGAACGAAGAAGTGGTTGCCGTCCTCGATCCACCAAGGTAGGAACCACAAGCATACACGCATATAGATCCAGACACTAATGAGAAGAAAAGGAGTGGCGTACATAGCACAGTGATACGAGCAGTACGAGAATCATCAGAGATCCGCAAAGTTATATTCATTAGCTGCGACGCAAATCAAGCAATGCAAAACTTTATTAGGTAAGGGATGATACACTATCAAAGGAAGCAAAAGAAGGATCCTCAATGCTCATAAATCACCCACTTTTTCTTGCAGCTTATGTCGTCCAACATCAAACCGGTTTAAGGGGTTACCATTTCGACCAACACGTGCAGTATCCATCGATCTCTTTCCACATACCGATCATTGTGAATTGATGGTGGAATTTGAACGTATCAAGGAGGAATCATAGCATATAAGGACTAGTAGAGTGTTGTTTATACATTGTTTACAAAGATTAAAAAAGGAAGATTGTACATTAATACAAAAGGATATGTAGTTAATCGGCCGTGGTGGTGGATTGGGATGAAGCTGTTACTGATACGATGCTACAACGAGGATCATCGTAACATGATTCCACTGCTCGTAATTTGATTTCAACAAGTTCAGCAACACGATCCAAGGGTGGCACATGGGTACTTGTTGTTGGATGGCATTGAGGTGGTCTAGTAATGGGGGCATTTGGCAAAAAGGGGCAGTGATCCAAATCGGCTGCAAACCAGTAATCTTGACTTGTCAATTGTGTCAACGTGGCGATCATGCGTGTAACAGCACGGAATTTCCCAAAATTGACAAGTGGTTCTTCCATTCCGTCATGGCCATGTTGATCGCGTGAAAGGATGGTAGAATTACCATCCATATGGAAAACCAGGTCCTTGAGCACGAGCGGGAAAAATGGTACAGCTGGGGCTTGAACATCAGCAAGAGCTTGTCGATAGTGGCCCATGTTGTTGGAGACATCCACATATTGCTGCAATGTTTGGAATGCTGTGAGATCACGACTTGAAAGCATAGCCCACGTGTTATGTAATCTTTGAATCGTTTGGCTTTGTAAAGCAAGGATAATGTTCATGGCAGTATGAAAATTGTTCCATTCGATACATAGCTACATATCAAAAGCAGTGAATACCAATAACAATGTCCATGCGAGCTATGTTTGTATTTACCTTTGCTACTTGGATCAGTTTTCGAAGAATGGTACGTTGCTGCTTTGGCATTTTTGGAGAACACACTTCATGCAGTATCCAATGATGTAGCTAAAGTACATTCATCATACATGGGTTAGTTTGTATGCCACACTATACTTATTCATGTATGTAATACTTGCCATATTTGCTCTGATAGTGAGGATGCGAGTGTAGCTGTCTGTAGCTGAGAGTGGTTCACCTCGTCTCATGGTACGCCAATGGCCTCTCATGTATTCGTATGCATTGATGGATTTGAAAATGTGAAAATCAGCCAACGTCAAGTATTGTGCCACTTGTTTGGCTTCAAGGCATGATAGCACCGAAAGCGTTGATGATAAAGCAACAATCCCACCACCACCACCGCCTAGTGTTGTTGAAGACATGTTACGTGATGGCATCAAGAGAGGTGTCGACATGGCGGAGCTGTCAAGTGATCTTCGGTGATACAACAGAGGAGACCTGCCTTGATCCCGTGCGATCTGCATGGACAATGCGTCACGAATACCGCCCAACTCTTTTTGCAATTCAGGTCGCTTTTCTTCACTGCTTGTCAAGAACGCATACAGCTTCCTCAACAACAAACGGTCATTCTTGAAATCGTCGTATTGGAACTTCACCCATCGCTCCATCACATTCAGTAACCTGGTACCCACAAATGGTAAGATGCCATTGTCGTGTCAAGTTGATTGCTATTCCCATTGTTGCTTACTTGATTTGAATACATGACTGAACAGTGCTATTGAAACGCTTGGCCAATTGATCCAGCAAGTCCACCGATGATATAAAAGACGCATGGCTTTGAAGGTATGTATCAATGTAATCAAAGTCTAATAGAAGTATCATCATCAACATCAGTGATTCATAGTGCCCATTAGGATCCACACACACACACACCCCACTTTACCTTGTACACCATCATCAGCCAGCTTTTCAGTCAACTTGTTACATGTCCCTGCTACAACCACGCACTTGCATCGTGATCTTGTTTCAAGTATCATTGTCACATGGCCATTCTCTTCGATGTAAGTGTAATCATCCTTGTTGGATAATAACGAGATATCCTCCTCAACCATCGATCGTTGTGTCTGATCAAGAGAATCAATTCTTAGTACACGGTACGAAGCAGAGGGAAAGCTACTTTTTACCATGGGCCTTTCTGTGGATGATTGCTGCAACATGGATGGAATGGGTGCTCGATGATGGTTGTTACTACTACTGCTTGACTTGATGGCTCGCATACTATGCAACATCCATTGCTTTGACAAGACCGATGACAAGTTACCGATCCCAATGGTGCCCACTGAATGATAATTAGGCACATGTTGCGGTTGTGGCGAGTTGTTATCGGCAAGTAGCATGGCTTTCGACAATAAGGTGGATCGCAATGGATGGTGATGTCCTGTGGTGGTAGTCGTAGCCTTGTCAGAGATACTTTCATTGTTGTTGTTGTTATTGGAATCATAAATGGATGCATGGCGATATTCTTCTTCATGTTGTTGTACCATATCAGCATTATCGACTCGATGTTGTTGCTTGGAATCTGAAACACCTTGGGATGATAAACAGCGAAGACTTGAGTCTGATGAATAAGAGGAGCGGGCAGAGAAATAGGAGGAGGATGTGGTGGATAATGCATCTTTTGATCGAGCTGAAGAGGCTTCAGTTGTATCTTCTATACCTTGAGGAGGTGAAGTAGTAGTGGTATCCACATGAAGGGGTGATATGGGTCCATAGGTGCTTGATAAAAAGACCTCATCCTGCTCATTTTTGGAATGGATCTCTTCCCAGAATTTGCTCGTGTTGAGACCGAGGGATGTGGTTGGCGTGAAAAGAAGAGGTATGCCACTTCCTGATAATCGTCGGCTGTTGATAAGGCGGCATTGATTCGTATCATCACCATCATCATCGCCATCAAGAAAACATGCTGATCTGGCACTCGCTGTGGTCGTGGTATCACTGCTACTGATTTGTGACCACCTTTTGCTGTTATAATGGCGGTGGTGGTGGTGGTGGCTGCTATTGCGAGAGGATGTTATTGGTTGCTGTTGTTGTGCTTCTCGTATCTTTTGGTCTTGTTTTGTAATAATGGTAACGGGACGAATAATAGCTGATCCAAAAAGCATTCGAATGGCACGCATGGCACTTGTTTTTGTGGATGATGATCGTTGCTGTTTGGTTGCCATGCTAGAAGAAGGCGTTGCACTTTTACTGGTAGACCATGTGGAGATTGAATCGTTTTCATCAAAGGATGCGCTTCCAACACTGTGAATCAATCGAGGGACACTATCACAGTCACTTGATGTGGTCGTGGGCTCTGAAAAAGAAAGCGATGATATGCTAGATCGTGGTGGAATGGGTGGTGGTGATGGTGATCGATGATGTTGTTTCAAATCACGTGAAAAAGAGGCGTTGGCATGGCTGCTTCGAAACGAGGAAGAAATGCTACGCATGAATCGAAATCCCACTATCGGGGTTTATCAGATTTACTTTGTGGTTGATAAAATAGACCATCATCAACTGACCTGTGCCTGTGGACCGTTTTTGTTGTTGCTGGGATACGTGCTTTGTTGTGCTACAAAGATTAAATGAGTGCTTCGGTTGCTCTTGGGCTTGCATGATTGTGTCACACATACCATGTATAGGACTCATGTGACATGGAATGTCGATTTGGATTATAATGGACAGCTAAAAGAGGCATGCTTTAGTACATGCATTCTCTCCTTTTAAATAATCGGGGTCCTTTTACCTTTGGTATCCATGGCTCGGTCATTATTACTTTTTCTAAAGTTAGGTGAGGATGCTGAATTGTAAAGTGTTTTCACCCTTGGAGTAAGGGGTGAAACTGGCGGTGGTGGTGGTGGTGATGACATTCCAAGCAATGCGTCCACGAGTTGCTCGACACGTGCAATTAACGATGCATGGATCGCCTATACAAAAGGATCATGTGAGTGGATGCCGTTATCATAAACGTGGTCATTATTTATACCACTTACGCTAACATCGGTATCGTGGTATTCATCCATGCAATCAAGTTGCATGATAAGTTGCTGGAGAAGAAGGAGAACGTCATAGGATATACGTTGTACACGCTCAATATCGGCATCAAGAGTATACAAGGCGGGAGTAGTAGTGGATGTTTGTTGCTGAGAAGAAAAAGGAGGAAAAGGAGAAGAATGTGCAGCAGCAGCACTGGTGGTGGTGGTGGCTGCCTTTCGAGTGACTGTACGTGAAAGTGCTGCCCTGCTTTTGACCGTGGAGGTGATACGTCGGCGGAGCTTGCTTGTAGAAGGAGATGAAGGGGTATCCTGATGTTGCTGCTTGTCTGCTGATATGAGAGCATTCGTTGCAAGTGATAATACGGATGATGCATTACCAAGAGCCGAAAGTAATGTATCATCCTTGTGGTGTTCGCTGCTGTTGTTGTATGAGGATGATGGTGTATTGTTGATCGCATGCGGCACAAGTGTCAAAATCGTCGATAAAGCGCTTGCAAATTCTTTCCAAACCTGTACATACTTTAAGCATTTTTCTTTTCTTGTCAATCAAATCGTTTACCTTGCTAGTTATCAGTGTTTTGGTGTGTTCGTATGGCATGGCATGCATTTTGTGTAGTGTATCAAGCAAACGATCGCATTGTTCCGATCGCATTACTACACTCATCGTTGTTGTTAAAGAAAAAAGCAGTAATCAATGATGCAGTTGAGTGATAATAAAGTGTGAAAGAAGAAGCTGAAGGGAAAAAAGTGCATGTGAAGGGGAGCTTATGTCAAGGTTTGCCAACATTCTATCATCAGGTGCATTGCACAGCACATTGTACAGGCTAATATCATGCGATTCAAGAAACTAGGGCATATGAACAACTTGCAAGCACATACATGTATACACCGCCTCTCCCAATCATAAAAGGGTAAAAACTCCTAATTCATCCCTTTTGAGGTTGACTCTCCTCCCCATTGACTTTTTTTATCCATGACAAGCTCACCACATCCAATCCCTCCTTTTTTATGACTTTGCTGTTTTCTCCATTCTGACACTTTTCAAAATCTACTTTGGGCGGGTTATAAGGAGATAGGTTGGAAGGCATAAGCCATCTAGGAAATAGCGCTGCTATGATTGGATGTGGCCAACTAATTATTATACACAGCAGCAGAGATACAATAAAGGTGATGGGAGCACCAGCAAAAGGAAACATGTATTCGAGCACGCGATTCCATGTACCATAAATGAAGCTTTAGCGATTTCATAAACTTGACCCAACCCATAAATCAAATGCATAATGCTTCGCTGTTTCTACTACACCATCAACCATTGCTACAACACCTACTTGTCGGCTGCTTGTGCCATCTACGCCTATTGACAACAAAAGCCAATTGATCACCATTGCCATCTCAAAATAGAAGACCATCATCGTTTTCCTTCTTTATTCCCTGCATGGAAATCATCATCACTCCTACTACTATGCAAAGCTAGGATCAACAACGATTGAATCTTATGACCCATACCACAGCAAGATGATTGCTATAGCATGAAACTACCCACGGTATACCAAATGTATATGAAGCGCCTATCCAAATTGGCACTGTTTGACAGAAAAGCAAAAGGGGCGTGTATGGCTAATTATGTAAGGTGTCCCTTCGGGTCATGTGACCCTCGTTTTGGGGTAGTAGTAAACGTCCAACACAATAACTTGTCCAACAAGGCCATCGTTGGTCTCTCTATCTCTTCAATTGAGAGCATGCCATTGTCTTAACTAAGCAAAGATATACCATGCGGAGATAGGCTTTATTGACAGTGGTCCATTTTTCAATAGTGAGATCATATGAGCAGCGTCTGTGCCAACATACATCCGCCCTGAACTTTACCCGATTTGGATGATGGATGAGTATATACAACCTGTTACTTTGTTTCATTATACATGTATCCAACATAGAATGGCTTTTTTTACGCTTTGCCAAATAACGGAGAAAGTAGGTGTCATTTGTTTTTGATGGTCTTGCGGGGCAAAAAAAGTGATCTACGCCACGCTGAGCTCTTTCAAATCGGCCAATCACCTGCGAGGCTGATGCATATAGCACCATTCTATTTGTGGTTCTCGATAGTGTGAACGGATGAGCGGAAAAATGGCCAGTGTGACAATGGCCGATACGTTTAAAGAGGCATCAAATTGGCTATCAGCTGAATGAATGATTCGAAAACAAGGAGTAAATGAGGAGAACATGATGACATCGGGAGCACATTTTTCGCTTTGGATGTAGAAAGAGTGAAATAGAGAGGGAAAAAGACTGAGTCTATATAGCAGCAATTTACAAATTCAAAAACCTGGGGGTGCTCGTGCTACGTCAATGAATCCCGGTAAATATCAATACAGAATGATCTTCCATAAGGTTATTGTAATAGTTCAATTATGAATTTATTGATCGTGGAACGGGTCTGGATATAAAGTGCACGGACATAGTAATTGGATAAAGGCATCATCTTGTAAGCAATGCAATGGTTGATTGTTCTCTATCATCGACATCCTCCCCCCAAAATTCCTCAAGTGCCATGACACACACGCACACAACTTCATTTTGTATCAAGCGAACTAAACTCATAAAGGTGTTGGCGGAGACTAAGCCAGCGACGTAATATGATCAAAGAGAGATTGAGAATGAGAGAAACAGAAACAAGGCACGCGAGAACAAGTTGCAACAGGCACAACAAACCTTGCACACACATTAGCGATTTGCCGACTGGCTGATAACTTTGTTTCGATCTTTTCTTTCTCGACTCGACTCCTTTCTTTCCCGAGCACAACATCGAAAATCCCCCGTTCTTTCTTTCTCCCCTCTTCCTATGCCACCACTCGACCGCCTTCACCAACGGGTCCTTGTGCCTGTGGTCACGATCGTTGTTGCTAGCACATTGATTCTCTTCACGTTGACAAGTGTGTCACAGCCAACATGGTTACCAGCATCATCTCATACCGTCCCTGCCGATTACCTCCAAGATCAGCAACAGGCATTCAACGCTACCGGGCACAGCAACACTTCTTGGGATTGCACGTGTTATACATACGATTCAAGCGAACCATTACCCGAGATCCCCGAAATCGTCGACTCGTCGAATGCAACACAAGAAGAGCAAGGCATGCCAACGATACAAGTGCCTGAATCATTACCAGAGCCACCAGCTGCTCTTATGGAGAAGATCAATGCGAACCTGGTGGATGGACGAGTGCTTGTTATTGCTACTGCCAACTATGGTATGCGAGATTACATGTACAACTGGATTGAATCCTTGAAACGCACCAATGAGACTCGCTATCTTATCTTTTGCTTGGACGACAAGCTGTATACTCACTTGGTCAACGCCGGTTATGAAGATCACGCAGCCACCATTCCTGATGAATGGTTCCATCAAGAAGTCGCATCCAATTTCGAAGACTATTTCTCACCCCAGTACAAGGCAATCACCCATGCCAAAACCCTCGTCGTTCAACGTTTATTGTACCTTGACATCACAGTCTTTTTCTCTGATATCGACATTGTGTGGCTACGACCTCGTATGCGGGAGTACATAAAGACATTGCTTGACATTCGAAAGGAGACACATGTGGTATTCCAACAAGAAGGTCTTGATGAACGACAAATCAACTCGGGCTTTTTCATGATGCGACCTTACGAAGATATGAAACGCATGCTTGCAGAGACCATTCGCTTGCAGGATTCGAATCAAGGATTGACACAACAAGGTGCTATGAACCGTGCCCTGGATCCCATGATCCTTGATCTACGAACGACAAGTGTGGTGTTGCTTGACGTCATGTACTTTCCTAATGGCTATGCTTATTTCGATCACGATCTATCCAATTCTCGGGGCGTTGATCCTTATATCCTCCATGCTAATTACCGGGTATGTTGTATATATATATATATATTTGGATGGGGCTATATAAGGCAGAAGTGGCTCATTGTTTTTTTTTGTTGATTAGGTGGCTGGTGAAAAGAAAAAGGAACTTGAGGTTCGAGGATACTGGTATGTGGATGAAGATTGGCTCAAGCAAGTGGATGCCATGGTCGAACAATCTTGGGAAGAACAAACCGATGCTATCGTAAATGGATCATGAGACTGGGTTGATTCCTCCGCGCCCTGACGATACACAAACCATATCCCTCATCTTACACAGATAACACTTTCACATCGCATACATCCCCCTCCCTCTCACCAACCAACCTTTATCATGTACACATCACTCGCATCCGTCTCTTTTTTTACATTGTATCTTTTTTTCTCTTATCTCTTATTACACACTCTCATATATCTTGGGCTGGACCTTGATTCCCTCCTCCTCCTCTACCTTCTCCTCCTTCTTGCTCTTTTATATTGTACAATAGTATACTTCGTAGGATTGTCAAAAACAACTAATGCTATAAAGTCTCCAGGAAAATACCACCTTATCTGGCAATTATCTCCATTATAAGCTTGTAATCATCATGCGTATTCGGTAGTACAAATCATTGCGTTTTGTCATATGGGATTCCAACCAATCGACATCACTAGGGATACCTGGTATCTTACAGGATGTAAATCACAAAAAGAGGCTATGTACAGACAACGATCCAATCACAAAGAAATGGGAGGTGAGTTATACAATGAAATGCGGCCTTTGTCCATATGCAACAACCATATCATTTCTCTTGCTCTCTTTTCCTTTTATCATAGTATTAACAAGTGGATGCACTTCTACATCCTGCATTTACCATAATCTTTCTATAACACAATACATCAAGCAACCGCACACGACGAGGCCAACTCGGGAAGAAGGAAGGTCTCTATCAAAACATGCCGCTGGATGATGATGGTTGTACATGGTTGACAGGTTGCACAAAGGAGGATGATAGTAGCTGCCACGATGACAATCAAATGCAGCAATCGTTCAGGATGATAGCCTCATGCATAATGGTCAAGCAGACAATGGATACATGAGAACAAAGGCTCTTTTTCCACACATTGTATATGTCCAATGCCCTTCCATCTCATCCACCAAACAATATCCATATCCATATTCCATAGAGATTCGTTTGTATTAACACAAGTTGCTACACGTAAATAAAGCTGCTTCTGTACAATGGCTATCTACTGTTCACGTAAAACGCTGCAAGGCAAGTTGCTGCAAGTAACTTGAGAGAATGAAGTGGAAGATCTTGCTCATGGCAACTGCTACAATGAACGCTGTTATGATTGGTCTGGTCGAGGATTGTACAAGAGAAGGTGAAGTTTCAAAGAAACGCGGGTGTTGTAGTGGAGCGCACACGCCATGGACTTGCCATTGAGTCAAAGACAATGGGATCAAGAGAGTTGCAGGATTGACATGATGGGTTGAAGCAGGACAATCGTACGTAGGTGGTAATTGTATACTTGAATGCACCAACAGTTGAGAATGGGAGGAAAAGACAAGAAGTGGGAGTGGAAGAACTGCAAATTAAAATTGGTTGAACTGATGTTGAATGTCATTTCTTTGTTTGAGTGTTGTTCAATCAAATCCTCTCGGATCAAGAAAGTTGAAGGATGGAGATGATGGGCTGGAGCAGGACAATCGTTCACATGCATTGAATTGGGCAACGATGGTGGATGGGAGGAATGGGCTGCTAGCTGGCAGTTTACAAATACTTTGCAATTTGATCATTCTCATATTGGATGATACTTCTGTGTTTGAGCGTTTTTCAGCCAAATGCTCTCGGATCAAGAAAGTTGAAGGATGGAGGTGTTGCGCTGGAGCAGCACAATCGTTCGTATGCATTGGATTTGACAACAAAGGTGAATGGGAGGAATGGGCGATCAAGTGGCAGTTTACAAATAACTTACCAATTTGATTCTTCTGATATTGGATGATGTTTCTGTGTTTGAGCATTTTTCAGTCAAATCTCATCGGATCAAGAAAGTTGAATGATGGGCATTCTGGGCTGGAGCAGGACAATCGTTCGTATGCATTAGTTTGGGCAACAATGGAGAATGGGGAGGACTAGGTTATTAGCTGGCATTTTAAACTATTCCTAAATAGTGTACAAGAATCATGCATCGACTGTGCTGAATGACTCAAGTTACACAAACACGCCCTCTGCATCTTTTGCTCTATTATAGTCATACTACTTTACATTAAACAACGACCACTCTTCATATAACATCACGCTTACAAACATAAAGACGCCTGTATCTCCAAACTTTACAATGAAACGTGGGGTTTTGAATAGAGCAATGTGCCCGGCTTGGCCAACTGCACGTTGGGTGAAAGTTTCACGATCAAGCTTGCCAATCCCAGATTTCGCAATGTCGCTACCAGCCAAACTGGATCTGGAGGTCAACCTCTTCAACGACGACCAAAAAAATATTTTTTGGGCTGTTTGCGACATTGAACGCGAAACTTTCACACAAGGTGCTGTTGGCCAAGCCGAGCCCATTGCTCTAATAAAAACCCCACGTTTCATTGTAAAGTTTGGAGATACAGGCACCTTTATGTTTGTAAGCGTGATGGTATATGAAGAGTGGTCTTTGTTTATTGTGAAGTAGCTAGACCCTGACAGAGCAAAAGATGCAGAGGGTAGTGTTGTGTAACACAGCTATGTTTGCATGAATGGAAGGGTCAATGTATGATACTTTATGCATCATCTAGGAACAGGCATGTATTGCTAGCTAACGGCCACTTTTATCCAATCATCATTGTTGTGAGATCCACTGCATGGGAACGATGCCCCTGCTCTAGACATTCATTTCCATGATTAAAGTAGGTTGATCCGAGCTGATTTGGTTGAGTTACGCTCACACAAGATTACATCGGTTGAGCTACATCGAGCGTGCTCTATGTCCAGAGTGATGTAATCTCTCTTTGACCGCACCTCAGTCAAATCAGCTCGGATCAACCTACTTTAATCATGGAAATGAATGTCTAGAGCAGGGGCATCGTTCCCATGCAGTGGATCTCACAACAATGATGATTGGATAAAAGTGGCCGTTAGCTAGCAATACATGCCTGTTCCTAGATGATGCATAAAGTATCATACATTGACCCTTCCATTCATGCAAACATAGCTGTGTTACACAACACTACCCTCTGCATCTTTTGCTCTGTCAGGGTCTAGCTACTTCACAATAAACAAAGACCACTCTTCATATACCATCACGCTTACAAACATAAAGGTGCCTGTATCTCCAAACTTTACAATGAAACGTGGGGTTTTGAATAGAGCAATGTGCCCGGCTTGGCCAACAGCATCTTGGGTGCAAGTTTCACGATCAAGCTTGCCAATCCCAGATTTCGCAATGTCGCTACCAGCCAAACTGGATCTGGAGGTCAACCTCTTCAACGACGACCAAAAAAATATTTTTTGGGCTAGTTGCGACATTGAACGTGAAACTTTCACACAAGGTGCAGTTGGCCAAGCCGAGTCCATTGATCCATTAAAAACCCTGTGTTTGATTGTGAAATCTTGAGATATGGCTGTCTTTATGTGTTTACCTATGCTGTAAGCGTGATGGAGCTGCTTTTTCCTAGTGGATGGTGTCGGCTGCATTAACGGAAAGATGAAGAGCTGAGTGAAACGGCACGTGGTGGTTACACAGACACGTCCTTGACAGGTTGCTACACAAATGGATGATGATGATGATTGCCTTTTGTGAAGGTACGTAAGTAAACAGCATCCAATAATGAAGGTGTGTCAATGTCTGCATCACATTTGCATGTAGAAGAAAGTCGAGCTGCATAAACCAATTTGTATATGTAAAAAGATACATATACATATTGAACGAGTCACTCATCCTGAAACTCAATGGAGGGATCCCTTCACTTTTTCTCTTCTCAAGCTCATCCCACTTCCCACTCCTCCTTATTGTATCACAAAAGCCATGTACTTTTTGCATGACCGATAACCGGACCACTTTTATTATTCGATCTTCGAAGCAATAGTATGTAATCCACAAGCTAGCAACCTCCAACAAGCGTGTACATAATAAATAAACAATGCTTTATTTCATCTAGCTATCTTGCTACTGTACATTGCCACCACCATCGTCGTAGTCATCCTCTGTCATCATTCCTACTCGTACTCGTCACCAGTCCTCAATCTCATTCGTCACACCAACATCCAAAAATACACAAGTAGAAAAGAATGGGATCTTGCAGGCTTCCTTTTGAATCTCGTTGTCGTTATCATTGTCATCGTTGTGAATGTTGTGATCATTGTAATCGTCGTCTCTACAAATAAGAATGCAGACATGTTAGACACCATCTGATACCGGGATCGATGACGATTTGGTATACCGTTAGGCGATCCTCTCTAAGAAAGCAAATCAGAAGGAATTCACAAATCAAATCACCACCATACGAGCAACGTCGGGTGATCTCTTGTTCTTGAGAAATCACTGCACGAATCACGCAAGGCCATTTCGATCCATGGCAAGGAAGGACATCACTTACGTAGAGTCCAGGCTCATAGTTGTCCTCAGTCATCCTCTCCAAAGAAAGAATGATCCCCAATCCAATCCTTCCAATCACTCCACACCTCATGAAAAGAAATCCTCAAGGGAAAGAACGATCCTATCACGAGAAGAGCGTGTTGGTTAAACACATTCACAAGCTGTTGTAAATCCCCTTTTACCTCAACACGGTGACCATGCTCTTCCAAAAATCCATCGTCATCGACCCATCCTCAACTCAACGCAGGCCTATAGAGCCCTGGACGCGTTCCAATAAGCTTTTCTAGCACACTTGGGTAGTGCAGAGCGACGCAGCGGCCACTTGATACAGGCTGGGACTTGAACCCAAAGAGATGATGATGATGCCCCAAGTTGCATTGCCTGATCAAAGAAACCTATTCAATTCATTATTAGCACACACACAATAAACACCCTTTTCATTGTTTGTTTCATTGTACTTGCCTTTTCAATATACACAAAGAGACCCTTTGTTGTTGGTTACTGGAAACCGAAAACCATGGTGTAGAATAGTTGAGCCGAAACAAAACGCCAAACGAGCCCACGTCTTGAGACCAAACTTGCCGTCTATACAAGCTGACGCGTCAATGGAGCCAATTCGGCTGCAACATTGGACTCTGAATGTACCTGTTGACACCAAGCATAGAGCGGGAATAGCAACGAGCAAAAGGAAGCCATGGCAACCACCAACCACGCTCATTCCTCGGCACTTTGGACACACTCACTCCCTGACAATGCATGTTCAGAACTATGTTAATGCCTCACAAACAACAAGAGCACTCTTGTATAATACATTACCTTGATTGGAATGTCGTGAATGGGATAAGAGCAGAGGAGGGAGAAAGAGAAGAGATCCCAAGTCGTGGAGCTGCTGTCCCCCAAGTTTAAATCCCCTACTGCTATTACACTGAGGCCGCTCATCAATTACCCTATACACACCATCCACCCATCGTCATCATCACCCTCACGATAGACAATAGGTACACGTAAATAAAAGAAATTATGATCCTCACGTATAGCAAAAGGGGTGTGTGCCATTTTACACTTTACATGATAATGATGATCCAACAACACCCATTGTTGCCATGCTACCATGTCACCTCGAATCAAGAAAGTTCAATGATGGGAATGATGGGCTGGAGCAGGACAATCGTTCACATGCATTGTTTTGATCAACAAAGGCGAATGGGAGGAATGGGCTGCTAGCTGGCAGTTTACAAATACTTTGCAATTTGATCATTCTCATATGTATTGGATGATACTTCTGTGTTTGAGGGGTTTTCAGTCAACGCCTCTCGGATGAAGAAAGTTGAAGGATGGAGGTGTTGCGCTGGAGCAGCACAATCGTTCACATGCATTGGATTGGCAACGAAGGTGAATGGGAGGTATGGGTTATTAGCTGGCATGTATGAACCATTCCTAAATAGTGAACAAGTATCATGCATCGACTGTGCTGACTGACTCAGTTACACACACGACATGCAACGTTTGCATTGCATCTACCTTTAGAACAATAGGCCGGCGATAGCCGGATCCTTATGTTATAATACTTTAGCAGCAGGTGTATCGATGATCGCTTTTCAACCAATGCGATTGCTGCTTTGGTGAATGTGGATGCTTTTACCTGTATAGGTGAACTGCAAGTATGATGACGACCTTATTTTGGTATCAGCAAAGATTTCATTTAGCTTGTCATTTGTGTACCAACCAATCTTCACACGATCATGGCGAATAAGATCAAAGATGGTATATACGTGGTGAACGGTCTCAGGTACATATACCCATTATCGGTGCTACCAGAACAATGATCAAAGTCATTGTTTATGATATGTGTTAGCAGAAGCACAGCCTATATGTAGCCGAGCCCAACAAAAAGTGGGCGAGACCTGCACCACCACAGGCCGATTTCAGCACGTGTTGCAAATCCTCAATGAGATGTGACATTGTACACTTTTTGGTTGTTCATGTGCACATAATGCATTCTTGTTGATGCATAAATGATGATGATAATCGCAACAGACTCAAAGCGAATCATGATAATACCACTTTAAGGATCGTACGTGTATACTACGTGGCCATATAAATAACCCTTTGGACGTACAATGTGGCGTCCGTGGACAGGTGGCTGGTGCTGCCATATCACCAAAGACCCATTCTTGGTACGACATGCGTGGTATACTACATCATTTTGATCTGTGAGGGTGCCTTGGGAGCTGGTTGATTGTTTCTTTTGCATGTCGTCATGGATTTCGCCTCTTTATCATAAGGGGTTCAAAGTTTGGTCTACTATCATCCGCTGCCCTGGTTGCTTTCTACTCATAGCGAATCATCGACTTATCTTTGAGATTGTCACGGTGCTCAATAATGCATGATGCAACTATAAAAGGAACAGCATGTGCAAGGGGGCCAGCGGCTAAAGCGTGTGTGGCTATTTTTTGTTATCGTTCGGCAAAAGACACGAGGACAACTATAGAGTCGGATGAATGGATGATTATGGCGTGGTCACCATGGCCAGTGCCATGAATGGGGGGACGTGTGATGTTGTTGGGGGGTAGGGAGCAGATATTTTGTTTTCCAAAAGTATAATCATAATGCAGGTGTTTACGTGTAATGTGTTGACCAGAATGCTGGTAATCAGCCCACAACTTTTTTTAGTGCTTCATATCTTGCTTATCAGAACCTTTTTTTATACGGAGTCAAAAGCAATAAAGAGCGATCGATTGGATCGTGTGCTGCCACATGCGATCAATATGCAGTCGCATATTTGATCTTCTTTACTCGTTGTTTTCATGATCGTTTTTGGGTAGCACACACACACACACATGCATACATGGTTTATCACCCGTACTTTATCTATTGATATACACACACGCCTCATGCTCAATTCAATGTAAAATAGCGATGGATGGGGCCCATAGTAAACAGGTTTGGGGGTGGAAGAGCATGTGAGAGTGATAAGAGCAAAAAAGTGAAACATTGCTATTTGCTGCACAGCCCATATGCATCTCTAAATATCAGGGATGCAACAGGGGAGGGGGGTTATGGGCAAATCATGTTGCTGACGTGTTGACAGGTATGCAACGTGTGACCTAATCCATGCATTACTTTTGTACCATGTACAGAATCTTTATGACAAGATTGCTCATAGTGATAGTGATAATAGCAGAATATACTACAACCATGACGTGCTGTTGTGTGTGGTATTGTACGTGTACGTGTTGTGTGTGCCTTGAGTGCTAAATGCATTAGCTCCCAAAGTGGCAAGTGCAATATCGGCTTGTGCAACAAGGAACAACTCCGTTCCACGGAACGGATTTTGGCATTGACACGCCCATCTGCACACAAACATCACGTAGTGTGTGTGTGGTGCGTGTATATATATACATACTCACGCCCACTTATTGCACATGCATATAACTTTATAAAAAGGTTCTGGCCCGCTCCCTTTTTTTTACTCTTCTCCTTTTCTCCTCATCTCACTTTACACATTCTGATTCAAGATGACCATCACCAACATTCCTGAAGCCGAGTTGCAAGCCTTGAAGACCCGTTACGAGCAAGCTGGTCAAGGTCACGTCTTCCATTTCTTTGATCAATTATCAGTGGATGAACAACATGCCTTGTATGAACAACTCTCTGGTTTGGATGTGGATCGCGTAAACCAAATCTATACCAAGGCTATTGCTGGTGCTGAGGCCGAGAGCCAAAGCCAAGAAGCTTCTGTTGAACCTTTGCCTGAAGATGTTTTCGATTCCACCGTCAAGGCTTCTCCAGAAACCATCAGTGAATGGCAAACCATTGGTTTGACACAAATCGCTCAAGGCAAGGTGGCTGTCATCTTGATGGCTGGTGGTCAAGGTACTCGTCTTGGATCCAGTGCACCCAAGGGTTGCTACAACATCAACCTTCCTTCCACCAAGACTCTTTTCCAATTGCAAGCTGAACGCATCTTGCGTCTTCAAGACATTGCTCGTCAATATCGCAAGCCTACCGATTCCAGTGAAGGCATCATCCCTTGGTACATCATGACTTCAGGTCCCACCCATGAAGCCACCTATCAATTCTTTAAGGAACATTCATTCTTTGGTCTTAAGGAGGAAAACGTCATCTTTTTCCAACAAGGTATGTATATATACAAGCGATGCTTCTTTGATATTGGATCCACTCACTTTTTGCTATTTAGGTACTCTTCCTTGCTTGACTATGGATGGTAAAATTATTCTTGAGTCTAAGAACAAGGTGAGTTATCATTCTGGAATGGGCTTGTGCACGTGCGGAATTCTATGATATATATGCGGGGAAAAAGGAATTCAAAAGAGGGAGGGGAAAGGTGGTACGTGTCGGCGTATAGAAAGCTAAAATTAGCCTGTTTTTTATTTTAGGTCGCCATTGCACCCGATGGTAACGGTGGTATTTATGCTGCTGTACAAAACACTGGTGTGATCCAGTCACTCAAGGAACGTGGTGTATTGTACACCCACTGCTACTGTGTCGATAACTGCCTCGCACGTGTTGCTGATCCCGTTTTCATCGGCTACTGTGTTAGCAAGAACACTGATTGTGGTGTCAAGACCGCTGCAAAGTCGGCCCCTGAGGAACCTGTCGGTGTTGTTTGCAAGCGTGATGGTCGTTATGGTGTCGTCGAATACTCTGAAATCTCCAAGGAAGTCTCCGAGAAGCGTAATGAGGATGGCTCTTTGACCTTTGGTGCTGCCAACATTGCCAACCACTTTTTCTCTACCGCTTTCCTTGAACGCGTGCCTACCTTTGCATCCGAACTTCAATACCACATTGCCAAGAAGAAGATCAAATACGTTGACTTGGAGACTGGTGAACAAATTGCCCCCAAGAGCAACAGTGGCATGAAGCTTGAATGCTTTGTGTTTGATGTATTCCCTTATGCTGAGCAATTCTCTGTTCTCGGTGTTGACCGTAAGGAAGAATTCTCCCCTCTTAAGAATGCTCCTGGCACTGGTGCTGATTGCCCTGAGACCTCTCGCCGTGATATCATTGCTCAACATGTTCGCTTCGTTGAGGCTGCTGGTGGTAAGGTTGTTGGTGAGAACGCCGATGACTTTGAGAAGCTTCAATTTGAAATCTCCCCTTGGGTCTCGTATGCTGGTGAAGGTCTTAAGGAAATTGTTGATGGCAAGACTATTCAAGCACCTGCTATCATTGAAACCCGAGAGGATCTTATCCGTGCTATCAACCACTAAATACCATCCCACTGATCCATCATCACACCATTCCACGCAACTATTCTTCACACACACATCACCCTACAACAAAAGCACCCACCCACATACGCACGCACAAAACGATGGATCAGGGGTTTAAAACAGGTTTATGGAGGATGAGATTTAGATTGTACACACGCCATTATCATCATCATCACCCGTTTTGCTTTTCCACTCATACTCACACGCACATCACCCTTTTCCCATACTTTGTACGTACAATGATACCAATTGAACAAGGATCTTGTTTCTCTCTCGCACACATACTTGGATATTTATAGGATTGGATTATGAATGGGGGAGTGGTGGACATGTATCAAAGTGAAGGAGATCGGATGTTTTCATAAGATAGTGTGATGGTTCAAAGTAACTCACAGCCTCTTGTTGTGGTATTGCAGCATCGTGATATAGGCATGTCTTAGTGACATTGAGCACGTATTCTTCTAGTTGATAAAAGTCAGCAGCCCCTGGAGAGAACAAGTCGCGGTTTTCGCGTGTATCTACGCGATTAAATTTTCTGCATTTGGCACGAGCACGCGACCCAGGGCAAGACATCTCTCTCTTTCTCTCGGCTCAACATACGATGGATGCCACCACCACGGATACACCACTCCCCAATAACAATGACACGCACAATGATACCCTCTTAGCCTTGAGCTCGGATGACAATGATACCCCAATGGCCACAGACAAGAAAAAGACAACCATCGACTTGTCCGATTCAGACAATGACAGCGACGATCAAGGCGGTTTGACGGGTGTAGACAACCTCAACATTTCAGCTAGATTGAAGCGTCTAATGCGAGACACTACTTTGACGAGTGCATTGGACGACGACGATGATAGCGATGACGACGATGACCCACTCAAGGACAATGTCTTGTTTCGTACGCCTGCTGCAGTCAAGACACCTGCTGTACAATCACTTCTTCGCACTGAGCCATCACCTCGTCTCGATAAAAGCAATTACGATGATGATAGCAGCAGCAATGATGAGGGTAATGATATGATACATCAACGATTGCCAGCTGCAGTTTCGTCACCTACAGCAAATCGACATCCACCTCGTCAAAGACGACCGCTCGATTTCTTTGCCGGCAACAGCGAGAGTAGTAGCAGCAGCAGCAGTAGTGAAAATGAGCAACAACAAAAACAACCACGACGACGACGTCAACAACAACCCAAAAAGACACGTCAAAAGAAAAAGACTTCATCGACAACACCAGCAGCAACAGCAGCCGTATCAGATGATGATAGTGAGGATGATAATGAGGATGAGGATGGGAAAAAGAGAAAGCGACCACCAAAACGTGCAATGTCAAAACGTGCTGAACGATTGATGCATCAAGAGAATCAGCGTTTAACACGTACAACGGTTGCCAAGCTACAGCCACGTACCGACAAACTTTCCTTCAATCACGTCATGGAGAAATTCAAACAGCAACGCCTATTGTCATCATCATCATCACCACCTCAAGACAAATCACCCAATACCATGATCCGTGAAAAAGTCAAAGCACTGAATGATGACAGCGACAGTGATTTGGAGATTGTGCACCCACAAGCTGTCAAGGAAGTGGATTTTGCATCACCTGATCGACCTCGATTACCTTTTGAACAATTCCAGTCATCACCCTCGCCTTTAAGGAATCGACCCATGACACATCGCGATCTCAACAAACGATTACAGGATATGATGGCAAAAGAAATGCTTGAACGTCGACGCCATATGGAAGAAAAAGCACGTGCTACGGGTACCTTTAAGACCACCGAGGAAATTGTACGGCATCAATTGGCACTTGAGAAACAGGCTCAGCAAATTGGTATGCAAGTCAATGAGCATTTTATCAGAGAAAGTGGACGCAAGAGTCGACCTTCCAATGATGACGACAAAGTACCTGATGAAGAAGATGAAGATGTCTTTGAGGAATTGTTTTTATCGGGTGAAGAAGAAGGAGAAGAAGAAGAGGTTGGCGAGGATGACAATGAAGAAGACGTGCACATGGAAGAGAATGGGGATGACAAGGAGAATGAAGCCACCAATCCACCAGAGGCGATGCCGAAGGATGATGGTGATGATCAACCTATTCGCAAAAGAAAACGCAACAACGTCTTGTTCAGCGATGATGATGAAGAAGCTAGCGACACAGGATCAGAAAAGCAAGTCGATCAGCCAATGGAAGACAACATGGTGGATACAGCAGCAACAGCAGCACCACCTATCAAACACCAACGCAAGGAAAAGAGTGAATACTTGGATGCTGAAGCTCAGGAATCAGAAGATGAATACTTTGGCGCTGGTGGTCCGGATGCGGATGAGGATGAAGATGATGCTCGTCTTGATCAGTATGAAAAAGATGGGATGCTTGTGGATAAAACGGATGAACATGTGGATGAAGCGACATTACGTGCAGCACTCAATTCACAATTGGCCGAATCCGATAAACACATGGTGGAGCGGTTGCTTAAGGATATTATGAGTGGTGATTTGAGACGTCGTCGTGCAGCACGTGAAGCAGGCCTCATGTTGGATGATTACGATATCTATGACGATCCAGAAGACAATGATTTGATTGCATTACGACGTGCAGCCAACGAACGACGTAAACGATTATTGGACCAAAGTGGCGATCCAATTCAAGCCTTGGGTATGTGATGAGGTTCACTTTCATTGAAGGGAAATTGTATGACTAATTTACAACTGTCTATGATATAGCCCGTGATCCAAAAACAGCAGCATTTGCAAAAGCTCTCCAATCAATGCCTGAAGATCCTCAAGGTTTGGATTTGAGTGACCATGAACAAGAAGATGATATGATGCAAGGCAGTGATGGGGATGATGATGAGGATGAGGATGATGATCTTGATCCACGAAGTAACTTGAGTCTTGTGATTCCAGAGGATGAGGTAAAACGGATATTAGTGGTAGGATGGCGTGGTTATTGATCAAGATGTTGTTGTCGTTGATAGGAAGAGCAAGAGGATGAAGCACCTGATAGTCGCCACATGATGACGCTGGATGACAGTGATGAGGAACAAGGATTAGCAGTCGTTGAGCGACAAGAACGACCGGTTATTACCAGAGATCAAAGGATGCGAGATCAACAACGACAACGATTAAAACGACTTTTGGCTGAATCAGGAGGAAATTTGGGCGCACCTGCTGAGAACAGTGCACGTGTTGGTTTAACAGCAAAATCACAGCCAACGGAACGCAAGGTGGCACGATACATGGAGTTACCCAAAGCTGCACTTGATGAAAGTCCACTACAGAAGCGTGAACCTCGTCTATTGGGAATGTTAAAGCCACCAAATAAGCGATAATCCATTTTTTACACGTTTACACGCATGTTTTGTAAATAAAATATTCTCCTTTCGACATAATACGACATAAAGATTGTATAGGTAGTAATGAGTACAAGTGCCAATATCAGCGTAGTCAAAAGTGAAATTATGCAACCTCACACCTTTATGAAATTTTCGTGTAACGTGAAGCACGCTTTCCTTTTTTACGCGTCTGTGCAGATCTTTTGCATCCCACGACTGATGCAAGGAACACCATAACAAACAAGGAGCTGTCAACTTGCATTTGCTTGTAACGCCATCCTTGACAGCATTGTTTATGGTATCCGTGAGTATTTCATGCATCATGTCGTAACATGCTTTTTTTCCCTGTCCCATAAGCGTTGCCATGGATACAACACACAATAACGTGATTACAACAATAACGCAATGCCATTTTGATCTACCCCCTAGTATTGGATGATTATGCAGTGCAAGATGTATCCATGCCGACATTACCCTGCAGTTAAGAAGGTATAGAAAGTCTTAAGTAAGGGGGAACTAGGTCTGTTTTTTGCCCAAAAGGGAGCAAGATGATGGGTATGTATATATATAAATGTGTGTGTGTGGGAATGAGATGGTGTGTGGGAGCAAACGAATGTACTTGGGGGAGGAGGAGCACATACACCCACATATACACCCACCCACGAGAAAACGGGTGATGGGTAAAGGAGAAAGCGCGTGTATCAAGGCTTATAAGAGGGAGTAGGAGGAAACAGCGTCCCCATTGGCTGTACAAAATTAAAGTGTTGCTCTATTACAGAATATGCGTACAGGATGCCCAAGTACGTGGGTTCAGCGGAGTCAAATGCAAAAAGAACCAAGTGGAATGCTACACAAAATATCTAATAGCCATTATCACGCTACTTTCTTGCCTCTTTCTATATTGTATGACACGCAAGCAGTATAGCATCCCGACAGGGTGTTGCATCCGAAAGCTGCCGGATTTTCGCCCCGCCAGATTAGGCGTTGCAAGGAGAGGATTTGTGTGTGTAAAGAGAGTGAGAGAGAGTGAGAGTGGTAGGGTGAATTGCATCAGTAGAAGTAGGAGATCATATTCTAAAAAAGAAGGTTAAGGCGGGGGAAGAGGTCACAGGGTGTTGTTGATCCATTTTGTGTTCGTGTGTATCTGCAATGGATAAGAATAAGCGGGGCTTTCTCTAAAAGCATATAAAACCTGTGCACGTCTTTTATGTACAACCTTCCTTTTTCCCATCCACTAACTTTCAACCACCCTTTCCAATCCTTTAACTTGTGTTGTGGTCGCCTTCTGTAGCCATCCTCTCTTTCTCTTTCATAATCGCTCTCGCTCTCACTTTCACTATACTACTCCACCTGTTCCTGTATATACCACACCATCCATCTAGTGTATATTGTTGAGCCTTAATCCCTCCAACAACATCATCAGTTACACGCACACACAACATTCAATCCATTTTACAGGTCTATTGCTCGTTCCCATTTCTTTATCCAAGCCCTACAGATATATACATATACACACACACCCTATTCCTCTTTTATCTTTACAAGCTCCACAAACAGCATCGCTAGATATATACACACACAAAAAATGGCTACAATGACAGCTCATCAACAATACTCCCGCCCCAGTAATCGCTCGAGACGTCAACAAGAGAAGATTGGAGAGGACGTTGCATTGGCAAACTACATGGCATCCAACAAGATGCGACACCACCACAAGCAAAAGCAGGTAACAAAGTCCATCCATCCCTTTATCCCTCCAATGTAGGCGGATGTCGTGGGTTGATAAATCAAGCTGGGAATGTTACACAGCAACAACCCTCCTTGGATTCCCCTTTCCGCTGCACCTCTCTCTCCCTGCTTTTTAGGTCGTTTTACTGACATTATTTGCATCTAACCAGCTTGATCAAGCAAACATGATGCCACCTTCTGGTTGGGGATATCCCAACATGGGTTATCCATCCCCTGCCGAATGGGCATACTATCAGCAACAATACGCTGCCGCTGCTGCTCATGCTCATGCTCATGCTGCATCCCAGCAAAAGAATGGTGGCTCTTATGTACCTTATCAGTACTATTATCCTAATTGCCATCCTAATCTTTGGGTTGATACATCCGCTGCTGCACCTCGTTCTATTCACAAATCAACATCAACACCTACTCGTAGTAGTAGTCCTCGATCATCACCAGCACAACGATCACCCCATTCACGATCATCCATTTCTTCTCAGCATTCGTTGTCTTCTTTTCATGATCCACGACCTTCTCGCACATCCTCTTCATCTTCATCCACTGTATCAGGTGCCTCTTCGACCGAATTTTCTATAGGACGACGATCATCGGTTACATCGATTGCATCCTCTGTATCCGGTATGTCGGTGAGTTCCAAGCGATCCTTTTCTCGACGTATCAAGGAAGTTTTCAAAGGAAAGAGTGAATCCGAAGTACCTGAAACGACGACATCAACACGTGTACGACGACGTTCATCCATTGCTGCCTTGTCAGGTCTTTTTCAAAAGCACAACAATGTACCCACCGTGCCTGAAGAAGAAGCCACCGATGAAGAACATCAACATCAACAAGAAGAAGCATTACCAGCACCACCAGCACCACCCTTTGTGAAATCATCGTGTCCAACGCCACCACGAACACCCACTATCTCATCCAATGTATCGACCGTCTCATCTTTATCTTCGTCATCTTCTTCTTCTTCCTCATCCGGCAAAAAGAAAAAGATTCAATTCTACCCCACCATTCAAGTGCATGAAACGTTCAGCTCCAGTGAATACGATCGTCGATGCGATACGGAAGCAACGTGCCAAAAATTGACCCCTACATTGGCCGTCAAGATAAAACAGGAATTGAATGAGTACAAATTGACCGACATGGAAGTACACGTGGAAAGTCGTCGATATACCCACTTTCTCTTGTAATAATCTCCTTTGTTTCTCTCCCCTCACAACCCTTCCTCTTGTGTGCTCCTTGTCTCTCTATTCCGAGTTTTCCCTCAAGCTCTTTTTGCTCCCTTTTCTTTTCTCCTCTTTTCTTCCTTCTCTCTCTCTCTCTCTTTTTTTTTTTTCTTCTCACTCACACAAACCGCACCATTGAAACAACAATCCTTGCATCATATTAAAAAACACTTGTTCATCATGCTTGCTTCATGTTCAAATTACAGCGTTCCTTTTTAATAGCATTGTTGTTGCATAAATCTCATCGTATGTTATTTACGAAGCTTGTAGATCGATTAACTTTAAAGCATGGATGCATGAAAAAACGAGGGGATCCATTCGTGTAGGAACGCATAATCGAAGCATCTTGAAAGAAACGAGTTACATTATATCGTCATTACAAGGAGAAGGAGGAGGAAGGAGTAATAAAAGTAACTTGAAAAAGGAGATCAATAGAGAGAGAGAAAGCGAGGGCTATCACCACTATTATCATTAAATGACAGAAGGAGAGGATTCAAAAGTAGAGGGAAGGAGTATGTTCATTTACATTAGATGTATCCCTTTCACTACACAGACGATGACAATGAACCCAAAAGGAACCATTCCGAAGTATAAAAAAAGGTCTTCTAGAAGCACAAAACATTGCTCAGGGGAAGAGGGGTGTGAATAATCCAGGCACCTATCTCTTGTTGTCAGGCACATTACCATGTATCCATATGTATCGATCTATCCTGCTGAAGTTACCACCCAAGATCCTACATCATCATCATAAGCATGCATTGATCCACAAAGTTTAGCTTGTACAACCTATAATGTGCCTCGTCCACTCTTTGTGTGAAACAACAGCAACAATCGCCGCAATAAGAGTTGTGTGTGTGTGGTGTGAAACCCGAGAATTAACGCTGATCCTTTTCTTTCGGTCTTCTCTCTCTCTCTCTCTTCTCTCTCTTTATATGATACCTTGTCATGGCCAGGTACGACAGGATAAACACAACTATCGAGCCACGGTCTTTATCAGCGGCAGGCGCCAACGCCGAGATCACTATTGACGATCGTCTTTCCACCGATGAACATCCCTTGTTGGATCCAGCCTCGGCCTCCGTCATTTTTCAACACACTCCCGATTCCTCCTCATTGGAAGGCAGCAATGAACATGCTACCGGAACACCATTCAGCTCCTCCATCAACCTTCTCAATACTATTCTCGGTACCGGATTACTAGCCATGGTAAGAAGCATATAAAAGGTTGTTGTTGTTGGCCTCTCTCTCTCTCTCTCTCTCTCTCGAGGTTGGTTTACTCATACATGTACATTCTCTCTTTGATGATGACGATAGCCAGCCGCTGTAGCCTCGGTGGGATTATTGACAGGCATTGTGGTGATTTTATTATCAGCATTAGCATCTGGATTGGGTCTCTACTTTTTATCACGGTGTGCCGCACGTACAGAAGGAAGATCAGCTTCGTTTTTCGCCATCTCCAAGCTAACATGGCCCAGTCTTGCTGTTTTCTTCGACCTGGCTATAGCTATCAAATGCTTTGGTGTCGCTGTCAGCTACTTAATTATCATTGGTGATCTAATGCCTCATGTAAGTCACTTTGAAGGGAGCATGAAAAATGAAGAAGAGGGAAGGGGTGGTGATTGACATCATGGTACATTGTTTAGGTATGTGCCTACATCACGCATGATCCGATACTGCTGGATCGTCGGTTTTGGATCACCGTCTTGATGGCCAGCGCGATTCTACCGCTCAGCTTTTTGAGGAAATTGGATTCGCTAAAATATACCAGTATCGTTGCTCTCGTTGCAGTCGTCTACCTATGCGCCATCATTGTATATCACTTTTTTGTCCCTGAAGATGCCATCAATACCACAGCACCACCCCAAGTCGAACTCGTCACCTTTTCATCCGTCTTTTTCAGAAGATTGCCAGTCTTCATTTTCGCTTTCACATGTCACCAAAATGTAAGTACATGTACATGAAATACATTAGCTTGCGAGGTATACTTTTATTCACGAGTCGAAATGATAGATGTTCTCCGTATACAATGAACTCAAAGATAACAGCCAACCACAAGTCAACCAGGTGATCCAGATCTCCATTGGAAGTGCTTGGGCAGCTTATGAAGCCATTGGGATTCTTGGTTATTTGACATTTGGCAAGAATGTATTGAGTAATATCATCACCGAATGTAAGTTCTTTTGTGGATGCATGGAATAAGGTTGGGTAAAAGTATTCATTGGGTTTGGCGATTTTTTAGATCCGCAAAGTGGGTTCGTTGCAGGAGGACGACTTGCCATTGTTATCCTCGTTGTATTCAGTTATCCACTTCAAGCACATCCATGTCGAGCATCCTTGGATAAGATTTTGGCTTGGTCATCTCCAGAGACACGTAATCGTAAAGTACCGCCTCCTCCATCTGCTTTCAAGTATTTTATCGTAACAACATGCATTCTTGTGGCAAGCTATCTTATCGCAATCACGGTGACGGAATTAGATGTGGTAAGTTGCATCAAGAAAGGAGAAGGATTATATGCCTAAAACATGGATGGTATAGGTTCTTGCATTTGTTGGATCGACTGGATCGACCACTATTTCATTTATTTTACCCGGCATCTTTTATTACAAGCTTCATCAAGATGATCCTTGGGATCGGCATAAGATTACGGCGGTTTGCCTGGCAACCTATGGATTGATGGTCATGTGTATCTGCTTGACATTCAACATTGTGGGTCTTTTCAGGTAGCCCAAACTTTGTACATTATACTTTTTACTCCTCCTCCTCCTCCCCATCATACACCCGTTCTTGCATTGTACATCCAAAAAAGAGAGACATTCCTATTAGCCTAATAGCATCTTGAATCATGAAAACATAAATGGCACTTGACACAACCTCCAATATCATACGTTATACCTAATATGTCAATTCTCCAGTGGAGTAGATGTACACAAAAGATTATCATCATCCTATTTTCCCACATACTTTCTCCAGCAATTGAATGGCTGTGGTTGATATGCAATGACATGTTACAAAGTATCTGCGATGGTGATTTATTGGGTTATAGCATGCTCATGTGGGAAACGAAATCATTGCAAGCAAAGGTATTGGGCCCATTCTTCTACGCACAAAAAGGTAATCTCATGCGTATGCAAAAGAGATTCAAGCGGCGATAGGCATCGGCATACGCCCTTTCTCTCCCACTCACTTTTGGTTGCTGCACACCACCACACTTGAACACAAACACACACGCAACTTGCACTTGTATAAACCTTCTTTTTCTTCACTTTATACGCGCTCCATTGACGACCATGAATGCTCAATTAAGATCCTTGCACAAGGTACGCTTTGACATGGGGGGCCACACGACAGGGTGTTGGTTTCTACAGGCTAAAGGGTTGGGTGTGGTCTTAGCTCCTTGTTCAGTCGTCAAAGTGGTACGATCGTCGTTTGCCAACGAGTATATCCAGAGCCAGTAGCAGCAACAGCAACAACCAGAGAACCTTGCATTTCATACCATTGTCTCGTCATGGGTCTCCACGCACCCCCATCTACAATGTAATGGCCGCCTTTCTTTGCTTACGACGTTCACCTCCTTGCAGCAGCGACCGACCCACTTACCATAATTTCTTATTATAGTGGCGACATAACACCACTTTACGTTCTATGCACGGTCCACCACCTCCACCACCACGACCTCGTGATCCACGTCGACTAGCGAGATTGGAACAAAATGCGAATGCTGCAGCTGATAATCCTGCAATTCAAGCAGAGTTATACAAGGTAATTTCATCAACATCATCATCCATGGTGGTGGAGCATAGTATCCATTGATAGTATGGTATATATACCAGGAATTGCGGTTGGCAAGGAGACCCGATCAGGTGATTTCACGCTTTGAACGAGGGCGATTTGCGCATGATGAAGAATGCTACAAGCAATATATTGCCGCACTTGTTGAAACGGGCCAACAACACAAAGTGATCCCTGATATTATGCAGCGTCTTGGTCGTCAAGGAGGAGGTAACAACAATCTTGATTTTAATGAGGTTTGTGATGTGTATGTTGACATTTTGCTATACATATGTAGAGAAAGCCGAGTTGGCAGATGTGCTTGCTGGTGGTGGTTCACGTGGAGCTGCTGGTGAACTTGCTTCTGGACGTACTCAAAAAGATCCTGTCTATGTGGTGGTAGAAGAAGGTATGTAAAGAGGAGGATGAGGATGAGGATGATGACAAGGATATTGACCCTGGGATATATAGCACGTGGATATATCATGTGGCGGATTTTACGCTGGTTGGGTGTTACGGTGACCTACGCATTCTGCTTCTTGACAGTATTATCACTTGCCATGGAGAACTCGGGTTTCTTGAAAACAACAACTGCACCACAGACTGAATATGAACCATCATCACAACAGGTGGTCAAGTTTAGCGATGTTCAAGGATGCGATGAGGCAAAGCAGGAGCTGGAGGAACTTGTTCAATTCCTAAAGAACCCACACAAGTTTACAGAATTGGGAGGAAAGCTACCAAAGGGTGTACTATTGACGGGTCCTCCAGGCACAGGAAAGACACTATTGGCAAGAGCTGTGGCAGGTGAAGCAGGTGTCCCTTTCTTTTTCATGAGCGGAAGTGAATTTGACGAGATGTATGTTGGTGTGGGTGCAAGGCGTGTACGCGATTTGTTTGGTAAGTGATTGGATGGATGTATAGAGAGAAGGAGAGCCTATCACTCATATATACATCCTAGCTGCTGCAAGACGCAAGGCACCCAGCATTGTTTTTATTGATGAAATTGACGCTATTGGATCCAAGCGGAATCCAAAGGATTCGACGTATATCAAGCAAACACTGAATCAGCTCTTGGTGGATTTGGATGGATTTTCACAAACAGAGGGAGTGATCTTTATTGCAGCAACCAACTTTCCTGAGCTTTTGGATAAGGCATTGGTGCGTCCTGGAAGATTTGATCGTATGGTCAATGTACCTTTACCTGATGTACGCGGACGCATGCAAATTCTCAAGCATCATATGAAATCCGTTATTGTCGCATCCGATGTGGACGTTTCGACGATCGCACGTGGTACACCTGGTTTCAGTGGAGCAGAGCTTGCCAACCTTGTCAACATTGCTGCTATCCAAGCAAGTCGTGACAGTGTACGAGAGATCCAAATGCAGCATCTTGAGTTTGCCAAGGATAAGATCATTATGGGTGCAGAGCGAAGAAGCGCTGTCATTACCGATGAGAGCAAAAAGTTGACAGCCTATCATGAAGGTGGCCATGCCTTGGTCGCTTACTATACGCCTGGAGCGATGCCATTGCATAAAGCAACCATTATGCCACGAGGTCGAGCATTGGGTATGACAGTACAACTCCCGGAAATGGATAAGGTAAAAAAAGAGAGAGAGAATGGATACATAGAATTTGGATATGCTAAACCCTCTTTTTCTTTCTCCAGGATTCATTTTCAAGACGTGAATATCTTGCACAACTTGATATTTGTTTGGGAGGTCGAATTGCAGAAGAGCTTATCTTTGGTGATGAAAACGTAACGAGTGGAGCACACAGCGATATCGTCAAGGCGACCGAGGTTGCTAAGCGTATGGTGCGACATTATGGCATGAGTGAAAGGATTGGGCCTGTGGATTACGACGATGAAGCCATGCAGTTTTTGAGCAGTGATACCAAGCAGCTCATTGAAGCAGAGATCAAGTTGTTTGTGATGGTAAAGTAAAACAATGAAACATCATCAAGGCATCCAATTGACATCTTTTTTTTTCTTTCATCATTGTAGGAAGCGGAGGGACGTGCACGTGAAGTCTTGACAAAACACATGGATGAATTGCATCGATTAGCTAGTGCGCTCATTGAGTATGAAACGTTAACCCAAGAAGAGATCATTGACGTGATCCAGAACAAACCCATTCGTAAATAGAAGCAGCATCATAGTGAATTTCTTTCCCTCCAATTTTTCAATGATACCAAACCTTTTTTATGACAATTCAAGTGTATAGTAACAGGACAAGAAAACATTGGTAATACACAATCAACTTGATATGGTCATTGTTTATTTTGGTAGGGGGCAGGTAGATACTTGTACATATGTAGGAGGGAGATCAAAGAAACATTCATTGTTGTCAAGGGACTGAAGGGGGAAAGGAAATTCCAAGCAGTTGCCTCTTTCATCATTCTTCGTTACCAGCAGCACCCATGATACGACAACCTCCCTCCAGTATTACAATCACTGCCAAAGATGTCGACACACTTGACGATGTAAAGAAGCATTTGGAAGAACGCATGAATGCACAGGCGAATGCACAAGCAAAAGCATCCAAAGAAAGCGAGCGCGAGTTTTTCCTTCAACGGTTACCATCGGATCAACCCATCTCATTGAACAAAAAGGGCGGCAGCAGCAGCAGCAGTAACAGCCATGCACAATCCACAACAACAACGACGAGATCAAGCGACTTTATATCCAAGCGACGTCGTTTAGCGAGTGAAGCAGAGTCGGCGAGTCAACGGCGAATAGCAAGGTTAGAGCGTACAACGGGTGGCCACGCGACTGCAGGTTCCTCGGCAACAGCACCACCACCACCACCAAGGCGTTCACGATAAAAGTCGGCCTTCTACCCATAAAAAGAGATTTATCACATCTTTGGCAACATACCAGCACCACCACAACAACAACAAACGGGTCATGGATCGGCAACAGCAAGGCTTTGTCATGCGTCGATCATTCTCTTTACATACTCTTTGGCTCAGCCCAACACAAAGGGACCTAGTTATTAAGACATCTCCTGCATTAAAAAAGAGATAAAGATATCCTATTGTCATTGTTTAACAGCGCGCATACTCGATCTCTTGTATTTTGATTGCGACCAAGCAAAGATGACCCATTGAACTGCCCTCTTAATTCATGCAAGAAAGGGTCGGTTGGTTTTACGCTGCTATCTCCTCCTCTTCTTCAACTCCTCCTTTTTTACTCTTTACTGCTTCTTTTTTTTTCCATTGCATGTACTCTTCATGATCTTGCGGATATTGCTTTGGATTCATCTTGTATTATGGCCATGTATGGCTTACACAGCAGTGGGTCGTTTTGGTCATTCTGCAGTGTTGGTCAATGACAGGTGAGGTCTTTAGGATCGATCTCTTTCTCGGGATAGTCATTTCATAACTCTATCATTATCTATAGTATCTACTTTTATGGGGGCGATACATCCATCACTTCATCAGCGAGCACACCTTTATGGATATCCGATATGGCCATTCTACCCATCGATGTATCCTATTCACTTACGGATCCGCCATGGAAACCAGCATCGGGGCCACAAAGCTCTGTGGGTGGACCTGTCGTCTATTCACATATCGCCTTTGTGGGTGGTCATAATGGGGGCAATATGATCATTGTTGGCGGGGTCATGCCTATGAGTGAAAAGAGTACTTCGGATGATGAGACAACTGCCTATAGCTACGATTGCGACGTGGGCCGATGGAACTCTTTTACATTACCCAGCTACAATTATCTCAATAGGCAAGGTGCAGCAAGTTCCGTATCAAGCAATGGCATTGCTTATGCAAGTATAATGTGCACACACAAAACAATTTGCTGATGCTTACTTTTATTGATAATAGATATGGGGTGGAAAGCGTGCGGTATCCAGTACAAGCACGGCTGCTACTGCTGGTGGAGTAGGATCCAAACAACAACTTCCAGCCAACATGTATCTCGTCAACTCTCTTTACCCTTCCAATTCAACAATGTCATCCACAACCACACCCATGCCACCTCTACGTTATGGACATACGCAAACGTTGATCAACGACAAGACCATTGTCATTCTCGGTGGATTTGATAGTCTCTCTGGAGAGGCCGTGTCCCTGGCTGATATATGGTTGTACGATATCGATACCAATGAATGGTCTCATTTGGAAGCCAAGTTGGACAAGGAAAACAAGCCCGCAAGTCGTAGCAGCCATAGCCAAGTATTGATGCCTGATGGCATCTCCATTCTCATGCAAGTACCCATATCCTATGACAAAAAGACACCTTTATTGACTCATCATCATTTTGATATAGCTATGGTGGATATGATGGATACCATGTATACAACGATGTTGCAGTCCTTGATACACGTACTTGGACATGGACTATCAAAAACACAAATGCAGCAGTACAAGGGCGTGCTGATGTAAGTATACCTTTTATCTCGTTTCCAACAAAAGAGAGAGAGGGTGTGTGTGTGACATAGGAGAAGATGGCAAGCATGATTTACTGATGGTTCATAGCATACAGGTAATAACATCGACCTCATAAAGGTTATGTTTCATTTGTTTACATTGGATCGCTCAATCGATACTCGATAGCAACCATGGTGGGCACGAATATGATTGTTGCATTTGGATTCACAGGTAATAATAACAAGGTGACATTGATTGGGGGGCGATTCATGCTGCTTACCAAAAAGAGCTTGTAGGTGTTTCCACTGCATTGACTGTTATGTCTGATATTGAGGTGCTTGATACGGTCACGTGGAGCTGGACTTCAGTTTATTCACCTTCATCAGAATACGGTTCAGGCGGTTCACCCAATCGTGGCATTGGCAAGACAACTGCAGTCATGCCGAGTACTCCATCGATGGCTATTGTTGCAGGTGCCGTTACAGGTGTCTTGGTCGTCCTCGTTTTTATCATTGTGGCTCTATACATGTTCAATTATCATCAGCAGAGAAGAAAAAAGAAACATCAACAAAATCTACCCCAGCATCATTTTCCACATGATTCTCTACCACCACCACCTCCACCAGCAGATGACATTAAAGAAACCACGACAACAGCAGCCATTGCCGCCACTCCAAGTAATAGTAATAGTGGTGGTGGTGGTAATACCATGGTAGATTTACCGAGAGCGCCAACACAATTACGCATTGATCCGTATTATCATGTTCGGCATCACCATCATCATCATCAACAGCAGCAGCAACAACAACAACATACCATCTTACCATCACCATGGACACCAACATTAAGACAAAGCTTTCCACCTGCCTCATCTGAATGGGCCATTCGTCGAGCTGCCACCACACCCCATCGCTATCTACATGATCACAACATCAGCAAACCTGATGAGCCATCATCCATGAGTAGTAGCAGTGGCCAACATCATCATCAACATCATCAACATCCGCCACCTCGATCACAGATACGACGTGCTGCCACTACACCTCATGCAGCATCCAGTAAGCCTGATACAAGCGAGGAGAATGATTCTTTATTTGATCAACAAGAATTTGTGCTTCGATCCGCTGATGAGCATACCACGGTCATTGATGACGACGATGGGGTGGATGCATTGGGTAAATATCCCTCTCCACAAAGTGAAACAGATCCGCCTTCCTTGATACATGCAAAGCAACATAATGACTCCCACACAGATGTACATTGATAAACGTATATATATAAACACACACTCTTGCAGCGTCATGAAAGGAAATCGGCAATGGCCTTGGCCATGAATTCATGGACTTTGAATGTGGGATGAAGATCGTTAAACCAAAAGTACCTAATGTCATAATGGATTAAGGTTCCAATCGTAAGGAGTTGTTGTTGTTGTGAGAATAAAGCTTACTCTTCTATTGACCCTCCACAACCTTCAGGGTGGTTCCTGCATATTACATATATTAATGTGTATCCCTTTTACTATCGTCTCTCCACCACCACCACCACCACCACCACCGCCACCTTGATTTACTACTTACCAATCAGGGCAATACCCTGTTGTATTGGTGAGCCCATACCTTTGAGGATGATCAAGAATATGGGTAAATTTTGACCATGCATCAAACAACATCCATGTACTGCCAGCTGCTGCTGTGTCCTTCAAATCTTGATGCAAGGCCGCCAATTTGGAATTTAAACCTGTCATGTATGTATGTATGTGACACGATCAGACCACCATGTGACCTTTCCCATGATGGGATCCCACATGCATTATTGTTGTGGTTGTCCACATACCTTGAACACGTTTACGAATGGTTTTTTCAAATAGGCCATTCTGCCGTTGTTGGCTCCACATGGGTGATCGGTCAATGGGAGGCACATTGATCAACATGAAATGTTTGGCTCCCAACGATTCCAGATACCTCTACACACAATAGGGTGGTGGTGGTGGTGTGGTATATCAATCCTCCTTGTTGTTGTTGTTGTTTACATCGCACACCTCCTTTCTTTTTCTTTTGTCTTACCAGCAAAACTCGATATTGCGCCATGAGACGATCATCCAATGTGGACGTGTCGTTCCATTCAGCTGATTGATTTATATCATTGATACCGATCCAAAATGTGTACAAGGTGGTGGATGGGTCGTGTGTATACGATGTATTGACAAAATGTCTTGGGTAAAGCTCCGTTATTTGAGTGGCCATATCAATCACAGGCCTGCAAGAAAATACACCTCATAAGAAAAAACGAGCTTGGCATTATCATCCCATGCTTACGATCTTGGCTACAAATTAATTGAATCAATGCTCATGCGTTTCAATAACACACACACACACGCACGCATTACATACCTGGTCAACGAGGTTATTGGATATGGGAGCGCTGTTGTAAGCAAGGTTCCAGTATTGCATTGGATGGATCTCAACAAGATACTCCACCCAATTGGGACCACCCGCAGATGTGCAGTTGGCACACGCATAGGACATGGTGATTGTGTCGAGATTTTGTGTCGTGTATGAATCGCCAAAAGAAAACAACGTTTGTAACCTGTTCAAGAATGAAACGGGTGCACCATGGCAGGCCAATATCAAGGAACATGTAATGGTGAGGAAAACAAGCATAACGGATGAAAAGAAAAACGAAGGAAACAAATCAATGCAGTAGATCAGCATCCTTAAAATACCGGCACATGCATCCAACAATGCATCCAACCACTTTATCCTCATTCACACATCACACACATACACATACACATACACGTCTTGGAATACACTTTATGCTTTTCATTGTTATCATTTTGGATCTCTAGGTAGATATAGTACAGCCCCAAAGAAAGCATTTGCATTGTTGTTGTTGTGTAATTACAATTTGGCTTGAGAAGCAGCAGGTTCCTTGAAAAAGGTTTGGCTTACGACACGACGTTGAATCTTTCCTGTGGCGGTCTTGGGCATGACATCGGTTACGTAGATACGTTTGGGCACTTTGAATTTGGCCACCTTGGTTTGGCAAAATGACTGCAACTCACGTTCGATGCCTTGGGCATGTGATTTATCCTTGAGGACCACGGCTGCATGAACCTCTTGGCCATACATGGGATCAGGGACAGCAAAGCTGACAGCTTCAGCAACCTTTGGATTGCTCAACAACACAGCATCCAATTCCAAAGGAGAGATCTTTTCACCACCACGGTTAATCAATTCCTTGATACGACCCGTCAAAACCAAATAGCCATCCTTGTCCTTTTTGCCTTGGTCACCGGTGCGGAAATAACCATCTTTGGTAAATGATTCAGCGGTCGCCTTGGGGTTGTTAAGGTAACCACGTGTCACATTGGCGCCGCGGATACACACTTCACCCTCTTCCACAGGCTTGCCTTGCTCATCCAAAATAACCACTTCCACTCCTTGGCCAACACCCACAGAGCCGGGCTTGTGTTTACCATACTTTGGTAATGGGTTCGACGTCATTTGATGAGCAGCTTCGGTCATGGCATAAGCTTCCAATACAGGTGCCTTAAAGTGTTCCTCAATGGCATGGAAAGTAGCAGGTGCCAAACTGGAAGAGCATGAACGAATGAATCGGATAGAGGGAACCTTGGCAGGTGGATTACGCAATAAGATTTGATGGATCGTAGGCACTACAAGTGTGTGAGTGTGTGTGAGAATCAAATAACGGTAAATCCCTTTTCCCCTTGCTATCCCCTGCCATTGTAGAAAAAAAAAAACCTTACCTGCAGTGTACCAGTTACACTTTTGTTCTATAAAATCATTCCAGAAATGGGAAGCACTGAACTTTTGAGGAATGACGGCAGCACCACCCGATAAGAGCGTTGCAAGCAAACCACAAACAAGGCCGTGCACGTGGAAAAGAGGCATGACCAAAAGGGTCCGATCAGCCGGTGTTAGCTCATAAGTTCCGATAATGTTATGCATCGATGTGGCCAAATTGAGATGGGAAAGTGGAACACCTGTCAAAAATCATTGATAAGTATCAACTTTTTTCGATTCTACTATTATCATTTAATCGATCTCTTACCCTTTGGACGACCCGTTGTGCCACTGGTGTGTAACAATAAAGCAACATCATCTGGCTGAGGATTGAAGGCTGGAGATGAAGATGCAGTGGCCGTTGCCTTTTTGCCTCCAGGTGCAACAACCTCGATTTCTCGGCCATTCCAGCTCAACTCCAAAACGGCTGTTCCTTGTTTATGCGCAGCACGAACAGCTGGGTTCTTGGGATCATTAATAGATCCAGGTGGTAAGATCATGACTTTGGCTTTGGAATCCTCGAGATAAAAGTTGAATTCATCCTCCGTGTAATTGGGATTCAAGGGTGCTGATACGAGACGCAAGAAACCGGTAGCAAGGAATGAAACAACAAATTCGAGCGAGTTGAGGTATGAAATGGCAACAGCATCACCAGGTGCAAGACCAGGCACAAGTTGATGCAGCTTTGCTGAAAATTGACGAATGGCATCCAAAAGTTGAGGATACGTCAAAGTACTGGGAATGGGGGCAGATGATGGAATAATAATAGCAGGTTGTTGCTGGTTCGCCTTGCCATCGAATATGCTGTAGAGTGTTCGAGTCATATGGGAGGGATATAAAGAATGAATGATAAAAGGAAAAGGGAAAAAAGGAAAAAGACGCGCCGAAATATAGCAGAGAGAATGAAGCTTATTATCTATTCCTGATCATGACGCAATTCTTGTCACACCGCTTGTTATTCACACCATTTCCCCAGTTTCGGAGCTTTCATCGTAAACGATTTGTCCCTTGCAATAGCATCATGGTGGGTGAATCATAATAACCAACAACGTGATCTTGGAGGAGGAGCAAATGTGTATGATTTAGTTAGTATATGTTATGCATATCAAGGAGATTAGATCATATAAACATCACATGTACTACTTAACAACAACAGCTGTTCACTTTTGGAGTCTGACAGTTTTGTATCCGACACAGCTGGGAGTGATCTTGATTGCTTCTCCACATCATATCTTCATTTGGGAAGGCGTTACAACAAGACGCATGATGACAAGCTCTCTCGCATCATTAGTAAAGGAAAAGAGTACATGGCATTCAAGACGATCATGTTTCACACGTGGTCGAGCCCGTTTTTTGCCGGGGCTTCAAGTCAAAATGCAGCAATGGTGCACTTGCCATTCATCTGCTTGCATGTGGAATGCTTCCGATCCTTACCGCAAACATATTTCATGTAGAATCTAATGTCTATTTACATGCATTGATCGGATCGATGTATAGCCGATGCATAGGAACAAACAAATTGTCTCAGCCTTTTTGATATCGCCACCCAATCCATTGCTATCACTCTTTTTTTGCAGGTGATTCGTTATGCGCATGAAGCGAGGTATTGCAGATAACGAGATCAAAGCCCATTACTCATATCCAAAAATATCCATATCCAACAACCACAAGTGCATGTCCCAAAACCATCCAATGACAGCTACTGCAATTCCTCCTCCATCCCATCGATCATCCTTTGCACACATCTTTGCATCACCATCATTCCATTCTGCTGCGTGATATCGTTTGTATAAGAAGAGAGTGACTCGCATCGGGGAATGTGTATTGAAAGTCGCTTTTGAACGTCTATGCTTAGAAGTACGAGATGTCGCCAAAGCGTTCCTTGTAACCCTTGACAGTGTATTCGCCCTTTTGAAGCTTTTCTTCAATCTCCTTGGTAAGCTCAGGCTTGGCGACAATGATATCATCGACCTAAAGAAAGAGAGACATCATCATCCATTTAGCTATCCTACATCTCCTCACAAAGCTTTATCCACTTACAGTGAGTTGTTCAATGGGACGAGAGCCTTCAATGTGACCAAGGGTAGCTTGAAGAGCCTTGAGTTCGACATCAATCTTTTGAACGGTGCTGGAAGCCTTCTCAACCTATATGATTATGATAAAAAAAGGTGAGTCTCCTTGTTGTTATGGCAACACATAAGACACAACACAACTTACAGCCTTGGCTTCAAACTGATCAATGGCCTTGAGTTGAGCATCGAGATTGTAAGCAACGGGCTTGAAACCTTGAACAGCCTTCTCAGCTTGGTCGACGATGGCCTGGTTCTTGAGGACCTTGCGGTAATGAGCGAAATCGACGGTGGTGGATTGCTCCTTGAGTTCGTTCAAAAGACGCTTAGCTTCGTCATTGCGCTTACGGAAGGCTTGAAGAGCAGCGACAGTCTCTGAAGGAAGCGTGTTGCTAAGCTTGGTCCAGTCAATTTGCTTGGCGGCGGCACGAAGAGAAGAAGCCATGTCGTGTGTTGAGTATGTGTGTATAAGAAAGAAGGCGACAGCGACTAGGGTGCCAGCCCTGCAAATCACCAAATTTGTCCCCTGCCAACACTCTGTTTGGCTCACTCAGGAAATTGGCTGCAAGTCCGATAGGTACATTACTGTGTAGAATGCTCCTTCTTGTTCATGAATAATGGCATCAAGCCAACAATAAAGCAACTCTTGTTGAATGAATGAAAGCGTCATTGTATTGAGGCTATAGTCATCACCTCTTTTCTTTCAATACATAGCATTCTTTCTTTCTTCATGGCTGCGTATTTATAGAAGATGGGTCATTATAGTGGATGATACCACTCACCTGAAAGCATGGCAATAGCTATTCTTGGATGGTTATTAGGTAGATAGATTGCATTAAAAGTTATGCTTGACGCATACTTTGCAAAAGAGCAATGATTGTCGTCAATATGAGTTGTAAAACGCCACCACCTAAACCCCCTATATTGAAACTAATGACGTGTGGGCTCTTGGTGGAGATACATGTCCTCATACCATGTAAAGATCACCATCCCTTTGTTCATCCTTTACAAGTGTACCAATGCCTTGTCAAGGAGAAGAAGAAGCATGCATTGTAAAGGAACCTGCTTTGTGGTCCATCCATTTTCCGGAATGTGTCCTTTGTTTATTATATCAAGTCAAGTAATCAACGTGTCTCCTTTTATACATGTGTGCAAACATCCTATTAGCCTGTTGGTGGTGTTGGTGGTGCTGGTGGTGATGGCAACAGCAGGCAGTGGTCGACAAAGAAAAAAGTGGAGCGCCGACCGGAACTGTTTCACAAACCGATTCCTCTTCTTCTCTTCTACTTTTGTACAATGGATACTCCACATTACGATCCGGCTTTTTATGAAGCTTGGAGAAACGGCCAATTGTCAGACGAACAAGTAAATCTTCTCACAGACGACCAGTTGACAAAGTAAACAGCTATCCATGAGGGGCGTTAAAGAAAAGAGACTAATGCTCTCTCTCTAAACAGGTACCGACAACACCAAGAATACCTCATTGAACACAAAGGCAAGTTGTAATGCTACCCCATGTTGGGCCCCATGTTGCCTTGTCCACTTACACTTTCTTTTATAGGCCATGAGTCACGGCACGAGTTGATGGCTTTTATCCTTTTATTCGCCTTGTTTGCCTCTCAATTTGTCATTCTTTGGTGGAAAAAGAAGCATTATAAGTCGTATCAAGCTGTCAGTCTTACGGGTCTGTATATCTTTCCGGCGCTATTTGCATTGTACGATGGTTGGCATCGGTTCCTTTTCGTATGGATCATCTATTCATGTTTGAATGGCTTCAGTAAGTTAAATGCGGTCCGTGCATCGGGGGTGGGGCGACACAACATTGACCTTATCATGCACTCTCTCTAGTTATCTACAAGGCATCAAGAAAGCCATTGGAAGCCATGACCCCACGTATGGTGTACAAGTGGTATACGGTGGTCTATAATACGTCCTTTGTTGTTGGTGTCATTGGCTATATCATTATCATGCTGGTGTTCTTTGGTCTTGGCGTATTGTTCTCTGCAGAGGCTGATTTGATGCAAGCGGGTATCTTGTGCTTGAGTTATGGATTGTATTTTGGGTAAGTTCAAAGGGACATACATTGCTATTGGGAGAATGATTCACTGATCAGTACATCCTTGATGATAGTGTGCTCGGTCGCGATTTTGTGGAAATTTGTACGGATCGGATGGCATCAACGATTGGCTATTACTCTGAAAAGGGTCTTCCACAAAAGCAATTAAGCGACAACATTTGCGCTGTGTGCGCTCAGCCCACAAGTGTCACTGGATCTCTCGTTGACCCGCAGCAACCCATGTTCACAGACGACGAAATTCATCAATTGGCTTGCAAGCACGTGTTCCATGAAAAATGTATTCGAGGATGGTGTCTTATTGGCAAAAAGGATATTTGCCCTTATTGGTACGTACACATTTACAGATGTAAGATAGTCCAAATCTAACATAGTGGTATACAGCAAGGAGAAGGTCGACTTGAAGCAGTTCAAAAAGAACCCGTGAGTATCACTTTTCAGCAACGTTGGCACTATCTTGATTCCTGACTCCTCTATGATATAGATGGGATACCCAGCAACAGTTGTACTTGAACATCCTAGATGGTGTGCGATATATGGTGGTTTGGCAACCAGTAAGTTCTTGAATGGATATAGCAAGGTTGGGATAAACACTCATGACATTGTTCGTTGCATAGCTTATCTTTGGCGCTGTACAAGCCTTTTATTATATACTCGGCCTCAATTAATCTAGAGACAACGCTTTTATAATGTACTTTACTACTACTTATAATAGAAAAAGTTGGGATGTTTGCGATGTGGATAACTTGACAACAGCGGTGGTGTGTGTGTGCATGACATCATGTGATAACCCAACAACGAACCTAGATTCCGGTGGTGCAGTTAAAGCAGCTGCATCTGAAAATGCCGTTCTTCCTCAACAGGTCTTTTTCAACATAAAACGAATACTATGCCCGTGCTTTTGAAGCGAGCACAGCCCATCAAGGACTATGATTTGCCATCCACCATTGTCATTGTAAGCCTCTTTCCTTTCACACTCACGCGCACAAAACAAGTCCCCCATGTGAATGGTCTATATGCTCATTGCTCAAGTTAGTATGTGCTTGTATGTTTGTTGGGAGTAGGCATGTGCTTTTGTCTACGGCGAGCAAATCGACTCTTGCCAAACCAGCTCAGTTTTCAACTACAACCCACAAATCAAGCAAGAGGATATGATCGAACGGATGAAGAGCAAGGTGATCCAGAGTCAAGGCGAGGATTATTAAGTGAACAAGAAGACGAGGATGAATATGATGAGGAGGAAGCTGGATGGGCATCGCGTCGACAACAACACGCTTCACAACGCTATCAAGATGATGACGAAGAAGAAGATAACGAATCCTTTGGTGACATGCAAGACGCTACTACTACAACTACTAGTCCACCGCCCAACACCAATCATGATACCGATCCTGCTTCACGCACACCTTTATTCAACATTGCTGATGATGATGATGATGACGATGATGATAATAATGATAATAGTCGTATTAGTAGTAATCATAATGATAATAAACAGCAGCAGCGTTGATTTATTACAATTGAGCACGTTGAGTGAGGAGGGATGGACCACTGACTAGAATACAAGGACCACCCGCAATGATATCTAATCCAGCATCTCGGGCAAAATCCAATACGGCCTTATCTTCAGCACCAGGTTGAAGCCATAATTTGGAGATACCCAATTCCTTGGCTCGTTTCAAGACTTGCAGGGTAACTTTGGGTGGTGTAATGATTGATAACGCTGTCTCGGTGGGGTTCTCAAGCTCGTCAATGCTGGCTATCGAAGCTAGATTTTCAACTTGTTTCTCTTTCTATTCAATGAAAAACAATTACTATCCCCACATCATACCCTTTTGTATGCGTGTGTCTTACATGGTTCACAGGTGTCACTGGCAATCCAAAGTCTTGATACCTGCCGTGAGAAGGTCGTTTCTTTCAGTCGCGCAAAGGGTCATTGTGTGTGTGCCTCTTGGCTGAATGTACTTTACCAACGCAAAACTCGATTGCCGTACTTGCTACGGTCCGTGCTTGCTCCAACAACAGCGAAATGGGGCGATTTAATAAATCGGTGAGCAGTGTTGACGTTCATTGTGTCGAGGACAAGACGAAAAAGTCGTCGGGGATGCGGAAAGTGTAATCTGCTTTATAGCTAAAAGTACACTTTTTACAGATACTACTGGCGCAGGCGTGGCACCAAGTAAAAAAATGATACTGCCAAATGGGTAAATTTTGTCAACTCAGCACCCTTTCATGCGACAATGAGACAACCAAGTTGCTGCAATCACTAGCCATTGACCACTACATGTCTTTGATTGGAAACGAAGCCCATCTCATTGACTTTATAAAAGGAGTACTGGACAAGCAAGAGATATTCTACAATAAGATACTCGCTCTCGCTGATGATGATGATAAGCCAAGGTTACGTCAAGCCATCCAAGATGCACAAGTCGGGCTTTGCTATTTGCACCGTGTCTCTTGCGCCATCCTTTATTCGAAGCACAATTGCGCAATGCCATGGGATTGGCTGCTGATATCAAAGGCGATCCGATCATCCTCGCTGCTTACCGAACACGCATACCAATATTAAAAGTAGGTTGACAACATCATGGTAAGGCACCTTTTAAATAACGGTGATGTGCATTAGGCGTGCAAGTAATTGGTTTTCTTGATAGATAATTACATCACCTGCAAGTGATTGATTTCATTGATAGATTTTTATCACCCGCCCTAATGTGGACGATGTATGCATAGACAACATTAGACCTAGGCTCTTCAGACTTAATCCTGGTATATGCGTCCTCATCACTTTATCAGCTCACATGCATCAATTTATCAATCCATCATCCCCAACATAAATACCCACGCCAACAATGCACAATAAAAGGATGTTGTCGCCACCTATCCTACTCCCACACGTCTCAGTCTTCTCTCCTCCTTCTTCTTTGATTGCTTACAAGGCCATGATTTCCAAGATTTTGTACGTATGCCCATCCCTCACAAGCTTTGTGAACAAGCGCTGATCTTTGTGGTCGTTCATAGTGCTTTACTTTTATCCTACTCTCATTGCCGTTGTATTGCGATATTGTATTCTTGTAATGAGGTAAATCCTGATCATGTTATTTGAAGAGTCACTACTCATACATGCTACCTTGTTACTTTCGATAGATATAGCTATATCCAATGATGCATCTTTTGGTTACGGTGCCATGGTCTACGTACGTCGGGTGCTGAAGTTGGCATGGTGCAAATAGCAAAGTCCCACAAGTCGAACAACGAGCTCTAAAGCGGAAGCTGGACGAATTGGATGATGATGGCGATGATGTTAACGATGACGACGCTGTGGATGATAACAACGACAACGCTGTGGATAACAACGACAACGCTATGGATAACAGCGACAACGACGATAATGGTGTACACGGTGATGCCTCGTCTTCCTCGACTACTTTGGATAGAAAAACAATGTACAGGAAAGGGATGGAGTTTGTCGCCAGCTATAAGAAGGCAAGAACGGATAAAGGCAAGAAACGCATGGACTGGCAAGGATGCCTGGCTGCAGGACGCAAGAAAGGTCTGCTGTTGAAATATAAAAATGCGAATACATTGAAAAACCAATTCGCAAAGTATGAAAAAAATATTGATGGTGAATAAATTTACCCACTGTCATGCTGATGAGATCAATGAAAAGAATATATGAACAGCTAGTGTGATAGCGAAGAAAATGCGCGACAATATTTTGCATAAGCAAGCTGGAAGCATGGAAATGGATGATGGTAGTTATTCTACATCCACGTTTGATGACTGTTTACAGCGTAAGCCGTTGTAACGCTACAGCATGAGCGGACACGTTTATATATCCATTCATCGTATATAACATTCTTCGCGAATAAACCTATCTGAAGGCAAGATCATATGTGACTTTTTTAAGATGGTTGCGCCGGTATCTTTTTTCACTCTGTGCCACTCACTCCAATTGCATAACGCCACTTGCCATCCCAAAAAAAAGTGTATCATATGCACTAGATATAGAAGAGGCCATTTTGTGTAACTTTACAATGTAGCATCACATGCAAGTAAAAGCAACTTCATTGTTATGAACAAAGAGTACGATTAAAGGGGACAATTACTACTCGAGTAACTTTGTTATCTTTCCAACACCTTTTGTCCTTCCTTCACGGAAAATCTATATCACATGCAATGTCATTAACCACCATCAGCTAAAGAATGCCTTGATTCTTCATGGATACTTACCAAACGACTGCCAACTGTCAAGTACTCAGGAAATTTGACAAATTCAAATCGCTAAAAGAGAGGATGATGATATGAGCCATTATGGGACTTGATCCACCCCATCCCAACCTTTAACTTACCACTAAGGCTCTATCGCCTGTTCGCAGCAATTGTCTCTCCATGCTAATGATACTAGCCGTTTGACGTACAGCCCCACAATGAACCATAGCTTGATATCTCTCCTTGATGGTGGTTGAATGATAGAGCACCAAGATTTCAGCTTCAAAACGTTTGGAGCACTTTGGCAAGGGCTGATCCTTATCGTAACGTAACAACACCATTCCTTTACGTATGGCATTCCTTCGTATATTCTTGAGCGCAAAAGTGACGCTTTGTCCAGCACGTGCTGCAGGCACCGTTACCCGTTTACGATGAATGCCTTTGATCGTTGTGACACTGAAATGACCGGTAGAATCGGGACCAATAAGGACCTTGTCGCCCACATGAATAACACCCGTCATCATAATACCACTGACCACCGTGCCGACAAAGGGAACCGAGTACGTTTCATTGATCTCGTAGTGGAAAGGCTTATCGTTCGCATAACGTGTTTGCGTTGAGAGGACGTTCAAAAAGTTCTTGAGTAGATCCAAGCCTTGTCCTGTCACATTGCTGATTTGAAAGATGGGGCAAAGACGCTCGCTCACAAAGTTTTGCTATAGCATCCCATTAGTCCATGCCTTGCTTGAACACCGTATAGCTCTTCTCAGCAATGACTTACCGCTGTCATAATCACATCCGTGTTACTCTCCACAAACAATGGTATTTTGCGGCATGATTTGGATTTGAGAATCGATGTCAATTCTTTGATGGTGGTCTCAAGGACTTTGGGAGGACACCGATCAATCTTGGTCACCACAACAAGAACAGGGATTCCCAATGAAAGCGCTATACCCAGGTGCTCCTTGGTCATTCCAATCATGCCAGCATTGGCACCCACCTAGTAGTAATAGTAATAGATCGTTTTATATCAATGCCGCCAACAGCATGATGCCTTTTACTTCTTCTTACCATCAACATGACAAATTCAGGAGCACTTCCAGTCATACCAAACACCGTAGTCTATTATTCCCAATAATCCAACAAGTCAATGACGACATGATCCCATGGTGCATAGAGCTGTAGAGTCATTTACCTTGAGATACTTTTCATGCCCTGCTAAATCCACAAAGCTCAACACCTTGCTTGCTCGCTTGCAAATCTCTTCCCATGTCAATTTGCGCCCTGAAGAAGAGGGATGTGTGATAGGTTGCGACTTGGAATCGAAGCCCAGGATTTCACCACCAACACTCGATGTACGACCAGATTCAATTTCATGCTTGTGTCTTTTTAAGATGTTAGTCCTTTGTATCTTGATCCATTTCCTTGGGAGGAGGTGGAGGGGGAAAAACCAACCTGAACAAGTTCACACGTGCTTTGCCTCTTCCATCATCGAGAATTCCTTTTGTCAATACACCCAACAAGGTCGATTTGCCAGCATCCTATTATGACCATAATCAACCATCAAATCTTCTCAACCATTCAACCACAAGAATCACTTACCACATTGCCCACCACAGCTATTCGAATCTCGAGTAAATCTTCCACAGAATCCATCCGTTTCCGGATCATCAAATGGGCAACAATCTCTTGTGGTTTTCCATTCGTCGTATCACGACCACGTTCTTCCACCACTGCATAATCCGCTGATAGATCCGATGTAATCGTTTGCAATGTTGTCAATGCTTTTTGATAATCGGCCTCCCCAAGCATCATGGATGTTCCATCATCTACCAAAAACCTTAGTATGCTATAAGACCACATGAGCTGTTTTTTGTATACCTTCAACGCCAATCTCAAATAGCGTTTCACCACTCCCTTCATCCAATCGTGTAGCTATTAGCTCCTTCAAAGCTTGCTTATCTTGGGGTGTCGCGTCAAGTAACTTGTCCTGAGATCACGTTTATATAAGTTTTCAATAAATAAACATACTTGTCGAATGACTTTATATACCTTGAGAGACCTTGGAGCAAGCGTGTCATCAATGTCGTCGTCTATCCGGTGGGTGGGATTAAAGAGTAGATCTTGCTGTTGTTGCTGTTGGTGGTCATGGGAGTTGCCATTGTCTCCAGATGTTAAGCTGATATTCAAAAGAGTCGACGCTAATTGTGCTGCCTCATCGTGGCTTGCTTTGGAAGAAGAGTCGTTCAGGGCCATGGTTTTGGAGAGGGAAACGGAAAGATAATGCATATGCGTAATTCCATCGTCGGGATTAAATAGCACAGCTCAAAATGATCTCGCAGCATGAAGGGATGAAAAAAAAGAGAACGCGCGCAGCGTTGCATGACTCACCGTTTCTCATTTACATTGCAACGCCACATCCACATACATATCATGTCGTGTGAATAAAAGACAACTTGATGCAGCATAAAAAGGATCACGTGAGATGGGGCCTTTGTCTTTATTGCATATAAATGATAATGACTGCATAAAAATACTCTCTATGCATAATGAATCAATGTTTTTGTCCAAAGGCAAGGGTGATGCCTTTTTTGAACATGTTTACCTCTGTCATTTACATAGATGTAGCAGGTCATTTTGCCATCCATTTGCTTTTTCTTTTGCCATCCACCACCTCCCTTTTCTAACAACATCATAAAGAGATGGAGAATGCTTTCATATAAGTTTATTGGGGTATCAAGTTATGAGACTATTTAATGCCATTGCTTAGCCCATGATGATGATGGTTTCCAGATGTGACCAAACGAGGAGGTGATTGACAATCCACATCCATAGTTTTACGTCTTTTCGGACAGGCTCTGGTTACGTCCATGGCTGACGACTAGTTATACGTCTTCTAAGCTACGACACCACTTTGATGCATTGTGCAAGCGGCAAAGTTTATGTCAAATGCATGAACGAGAAAGAGAGGTTGCGCAACCCTGGGGCACAAGTGTCCGAAATTACAAATTTGGTTGCCATGCGGCGGTGGTTGCTATGTCACCATGCTCTACTGCCATGACACCTCCAACATACCCTATTGTCGCATTTCATGAAAGCCTTGTAAATAGATACATTCGACTCCACTTTGCTGTAATAAAGGAACCGTAGTGGACTTTAAAAATTCTGTGCACCATTCGTTCAAGTGTCTGTCGCCATAGAAATAGCCTGTATGACATAGCAAGGTAGAAAATCGCCTTGAACTCAGAATTGCATAATGAAGTCATCATGTCTTTGTGAGGGCGAACATGATCCTTATATGTAAGGTGGCGTTATTGATTGTCCTAAGTGTGCACAGGACCGGCAGCAAAGATGCATGACGCAGCTGATGGATTTTAGTAATAAACGCTGGTGAATGAATGTTGGAGCAATATCATGATGACCCTCTCTGCAACAACAATGACATCCAACAATATCCACAGCTTTTCATCGACGACACGCAACATTGGTGTCATTGTTTAAGCGATAATAATGACCACATTACAATGATGGCAATAGTAGGAGGAGTTCAATGATAAGAACCCCTGTATTGTACAACGACGAGTCATTTATTGATACAAAAGGCAATTCATTATATATTGGTCAAAGGGGAATCGAGCTAAGAGAGTACCACAAATGTCATGCTTATCCCACTTGTCGGATCTCCAAGTAGGAGCAACGGCCCGAGTGGCTCCGCGGCTCTTTAACTGTGGGAAAAAAACTTGAATCCCGTTTCCTTTCTTCCTTGAACCTTTCAAACATGGAACTGCCACAACTCGCCATTCACACCGGCTCTGAACCTGCCAAGCTCCTTAGCGATATCGGCTCTCAATATGATGGCACCGTGATCTTTTTCGCCGACAAAAAGAGTCTTGAAAGCGTTGTTCCTTGTGTCAAAGCCCACCTTGCTGCCGATGCTGCATTTGGCGATGCCTTGCAATTGGTTGTTCCTGAATCCAAGATCCCCAGCGAACGTGTTCTCTTGGCTCCTTTGGGTTCCATTAACAATGACTTTGACGATGTGCGTCGTTTCAAGGGTAAGTGATTCCTCCCCCGCCCCAAAACAAAGAGTAGTGTGGGAGAGAGACTTATACATAGGTATTATTAGATGCTGCTTTTGCTGCTGGTCAACGTGCTTTGAAGGCTGGTATGTCTTCTCCCTTGGTGTACTTTGCCGATGCTCCTGCCAATGCTGCCAACCTTGCTTGGACCTTTGAGGATGCCGATGATTATAAGCAATTCTTGGAAGTTACCATGTTGGGCATGATGGAGGCCAGCTATGAACCCATTGACGTTCGTGAACATGCTACTCGTGTCAACAAGCCCATCGCTGTCTTTAGCAAGTTGGGTTTCATCGCAGCTACTTCTTTGAATGAGGCTCAGGTTGACAATGTCATTCGTCAGGTGTCTGCTATTGAAATGGGTCGTCGTATCTCTAAAGGTAATGGGATAAATACAAGATGAGGTGGGGGGAAAGGATAAAATGTTAATGGATGTCTATGATAGATATCGGTTCCCCTGATCCCGAGCGTATGTCGCCAATCAATGTTGTCAAGTACTTGAACGAAGTCTTTGGTGACGATTCTCGCATCAAGATGACCGTGGTCGATGATGTCGATACTATCAAAAAGGAATATCCTTTGGCACATGCTGTTACTCGCGCTAGTTTGGCAGGTAAGCTATCGTGATGAAGGGTTTTTGTGAGTAAGTTGTGGTTTTGACATGCATTTTATTTTATAGTTGCTCGCCATCATCCTCGTATCGTCCATCTCGAATACAAGTCTGCCGATCAAAGCAAGGTCAAGGAAAAGTGAGTAGTGGTGATGATTACAATACATGTGACATGCTGACAAGTGGATCCTATAGCCTCTACTTTGTTGGTAAGGGTGTCACCTACGATACTGGTGGAGCTGATATCAAGTGCAGTGGTCATATGCGGGGTAAGCAAAAAGAGATTTGACAACGTAGGATGGATGGTGTGATTGACATGTATGATCGATTAGGTATGTCCCGTGACAAGTGCGGTGCTGCTGCTGTGGCTGGTTTCATGAAGACTGTAAGCATGTTGGCTCCTGAAAATGTCAATGTTCGTGCTGGTCTCTCTCTTGTACGCAACTCGGTTGGCGCCGACTCTTATGTCAGTGATGAGGTCATTTATTCGCGTAACGGCACCCGAGGTATGCCTTGAATTTGGTTTATTCACAAAGGAAAAGTACTTATAAGGTTCGGTTGTATAGTCTTGGTTGGTAACACGGATGCTGAGGGCCGTATGGTGATGACCGATCTTTTGTGTCAATTCAAGGAACAAGTCGTTCAAGATAAACAAGCAAACACTCCTTCTTCAAAGGCACCCAGCTTCCTCTTTACGGTTGCCACCCTTACTGGCCATGCTCTTCGTGCCTATGATGGCTATGGTATTGCCCTTGACAATGGCTTTGCACGACGAAACAAGATTAGCAAGCGTATCTTTGATGCTGGTCATACATTGGCTGATCCTTTCGAGGTATCGACTTTGCGTCGTGAGGATGTCGAAGTGGTACAACCTGGCCGATCTGCCGAGGATGTTGTTCAAGCCAATGACAAGCCTAGCACAATGACGAACCGTGGCCATCAGTACCCTGCTGGTTTCATGCTTATTGCATCGGGTCTTGACAAGCATGGTTTGGATAGTAAGGAGCCTATTGGTTATACGCACGTTGACGTTGCTGGATCAGCAGAAGAGATGTCGGCTGTTGGATGGAGTATACCACGTGTGACCGGATCCCCGGTTGCCGCTTTTACTGGTGCCTTTTTGTTGTAGGATGTCTATCGTAGAATACTGTGCATTTTCCCCTTTCATTTTCCTTTATGCATTCATCAACAACAATATCATCATTTGTGAATTGTCTTAAAGTCTTCATTGTATTTCGAATGAGAATTTATACAAGATTTTTTAAGTTACAAAGGCTCGTATTCATAACGCACACCCATTCCTTCCTTCGGGGTAAGACCCATTTTACGCAATCTGTCAGCTTGAACACGTTCTCGGTTGACTTTGGTGAGCTCGTCCAATTGGTCCTTGGATAATGACAAGGCGGGTTGTCTCGATGCTGCAGCTCGAGCTGCTTGTCGATGTTGCAATCTATGCATCCAATCACGTGTTATTGATAAACGATCCACCTTGCTCTCTCACTTTTACCTTAATTGTTCCTCGTCCTTTTTCAAGTTGACGGTGCCTTCAGCAATAGGTGGAGGTGCTTCGCCCATACGAATGGCTTGTTGACGAGCTTCCCAGCGTGAAAGATTGTAATACCTATTCCATCATTCAATCAATGACCCATTTCCATGGTCGATCCATCCTATCCTTACTTTTCATGTGGCATGGTTGCCGTATTGTAATCTATTGGATCAATTAGCCCATCATCATTAAATGCCATTTGGGAGAGATACTTACCATCCATGAAATCGATAAACATTTCCTTGCGCTTTGAATTAGGAATGGTCAAGATGTCAGCCTTCTTCACTTCGACAAGCCATGCTTCAAATTCCTATAAGAATCATGAGAGGTTGAGATGGATTTGTCTATTATCCTTGCTTACCGCTTCCTTGGTGAAGATACTATGGAAGGAAACACGATGAGCATAGTGGACTTTACTATGGCTACACATTGACTTACTCTGATTCATGAATGATACCATACTTGCCCCATTTATCACCCACAGAATGCTTGCTTTTCTTTTTCTTTTTGGACTTTTTCTAAAAGAATCAAACAATGAGCGTCTCTCTCTCACACACACACTTTCAACCGATGCATCATCCCCCAGCGACCCTCTCACCTTGCTCTTTTTACTCTTTTTGGATTTCTTGTGTCGTCTACGTCGATCGTCTTCATCGGACGAGGAAGAATATGCGCTGCTATCAGATGACACTGAACGCCGACGCTTCCTGTTACCCTCAATGCATGAGAACATGACCATTCAACCAATACCGACAATGTACCTTTCACTACGGTGACGATGTCGACGTCTGTATTCTCGATCGGAATCGGCTTCAGAATCGTCATGGTGGTGGTGACGACTACGACGACTTGGACGAGGTGAAACGGATCTACGTGAGCGATGGCGATCGGATGAGCGGTGGCGTGAGGTTCTCGACCTGTCTCGAGAAGGAGAGCGACTATCAGGCGAAGAGTCGTCGTGTCGACCCATAATACAACAAAAGATGGATATGCGCAAAGGCAAGATACGGTTGGAGTACTGTAGCACCTGTCACGAGATACACAATTCCCCGCCAATGCATTGTTTTGCAGAGTACATCTCTCTCTCTCCCCTCTCTTTTATTGACAAACATGACCAACATTCAAACAAACGTGCGTATGTGAACCAATTTACTGGTTGATTGGCATCATGAAATGGGGGCACTTTCTTTCTCTGTCCAAACCATCGGCTCAGGGGTTGCTGTTGTGGAAATGGGGGAATGAAGAGGATATAAGGAGAATATAAACAACACAGCAGCAGCAGAACATTGCATATCATCACGCATGTGTGCCAAGGCTGCTGATTCATTTAAATGTTTTTGAAAGAGACACCACCCACCCACCACCGCACACACCCCTTGATTACATCGTATATAAACCACGCCCAAGGAGCTGCTCTCATGCATTCACTTTTTACACTTTACACACAACCACGACATGATGACGACCCTCCCATCCAATCTACCCATTCTTCCATTATTCGACTCTGTACTATTACCATCCATTGTAACAGATCTCATGTTAAGTCAAGAGGATGCTCATCGTATCTCATCCAATTTGGCTGCTACTGGTAAAGGCTCTTACATCGTCTGTGTGCCTTTGGATCCCACAAAGTCAACAACATCCAACACGACCACCACAAGCACTGGTTCTTCCTTGCAAATGATGCCTGCCACAACACTCGATCTCTCTCAACTCTTTCATTTTGGATGCACCGCTGAGATCCTTGCTGTTGACAACACGCTCCCCCATACACTATCCGTACGCGTCAAAGGCATATGTCGATCCCACATTCAAGATATCACTACCATCGATGGACATGCATTTGAAGCAACGCTAAAGCATCACCCTTCATTACAAGAGGAAGAGAATGATCATCCACAAGCCAAGAATTTACGCAAGCTGTGTCAAGAGTATCTATCTCGGATGCGTGACATTGGTGTCCCTGATGCAGTGTTGGGAGAATTACAGCGCGCCACTACATATGGATCAGTGTCAAGAATGGTAGATTGGCTTTTGTGTATCGCTGGATCAACCATGCAAGAGAAGCTACGTGCATTGGAACAAACAGATCTGGTATCCCGCTTGCAAGTGGGTGTGGCAGCAGTCAGCTGCCAGCTGCAGGTAAAAAGTGGGAACCTTCCATGCATGAAAACCATATTATCTTACACACTCTCTCCCTTGTGTAATCACCTAAATTTAGGCCTTGAGAGAACAAGAATACCATATTCAAGAAGAACTTGATAAGAAAAGACGCGAGTTTTATTTACGACACCAGGTATAGTATCATCAGGGTGACCCAAAAAAGGAATGTAAAGCTCAACATCATTACCCTTCCTTAGTTTAATACATTAACAGCACGACCCATCCGTTACAATAACAACAACAAAAAGGCGTCTGGGGATCCAGCAACAGATATGGATGGTGATGTCTTCTCGGTAGCTATGCCATCGGATGATGATGATGAGGAATTGGCTGAACTTGTGGAGCAACTCAATAATGCCAATTTGCCACGCGAAGCAAGGACCAGTGTTAGCAGGGATATTAAACGCCTCCGTAAACTCACTCCTTCATCACCTGAATCGGGCGTTTTGAGATCATACCTTGAGGTGGTTGCCACATTGCCGTGGAATGATATGCACATGGAAGAGGAGCAAATTGTCAATATCGCAGTGGCACGAGATCGGCTTGATGAGGATCATTACGGGTAAGGATCGTCAATAGGGGTGCCGTATGATGAAGATACTCATACACAAACATTTATGCAATAGCCTAGAACATGTCAAGCGTCGCATCTTGGAATATCTTTCTGTCATCAAGGTCAAACGCGATCTCAGCCCACCTATTCTTTGCTTTGTTGGACCGGTAAGATAGGAATGAGTGGTAAAAGGATCGTTACTTAATGGATTAGAATAGCCTGGTGTGGGCAAGACAACATTAGCAAAGTCGATTGCTACAGCCTTGCAACGCAAGTTTCATCGTATTTCATTGGGCAGCATTCGTGATGAAGCGGATATTCGTGGACATCGTCGAACCTATGTGGCGGCCATGCCTGGATTACTCATTAATGGGATGCGGAAGTGTGGTGTCAAGAACCCCGTCGTCTTGTTAGGTAAATACAGGGGGAGCAATTCATGCGTGGTGCATGCATGACTATGGTTACACCGACACAACTTTTTTAGATGAGATTGACAAAATGGTTCAAAACTCGGCTCAGGGTGATCCAGGCAAGTATCTTGTTGGCTACACTATCGAGTCATCCCATTTTCTGATAATGACTTTAAACAGCTGCTGCCATGCTCGAAGTGCTTGACCCCGCACAAAGTTCAACATTTATGGATCATTTCATGAACATCCCTTTCGATTTATCCAAAGTACTCTTTATTGCCACAGCAAACTCGATGGATTCTATCCCAGGCCCTTTGCTTGATCGTATGGAGGTTGTGCAGCTTCAAGGTTACACGTCCAATGAAAAGATCCACATTGCTCGATCCTACTTGTGGCAAAAGCAAATCAAGGCACATGGTCTTGAGAATGTTGATCTCTCTATTGACGACACCGTATTGCAATACATTTGTGAAGGATTTACACAAGAAAGTGGCGTACGAAATCTTGATCGATGCCTTGCCAGTATATGTCGTTTCAAATGCCATGAGTACGCCAACATGCTCGAATCAAAAGGCGACACGGAAGGATTCAAAAGTATCATTGGAAAGAAAGATGTGCAGGATATTCTTGGAGTAAGTAGCAATGCTATCAATCAATGGGAGAGGATGGGATTTGGCTAACAATACGTCTCCTCATTAAGCCGGCTTATTTTGAACGTGAGACGGTGCATGGTGAGCATGCTGTTTCTGGTGTTGTCTCAGGCCTTGCCTATGCACAAAGTGGAGTTGGGGATGTACTTCGCATTGAGACCACCATGATGCCAGGCAAAGGACGATTGACTTTGACAGGTAAACATGTCACCAACGTATGATGAGTACATGGGTTCATGTATTTTTATGGTCTAGGATCATTGGGTGATGTGATCAAGGAATCTGCTTACATTGCTGCATCTTGGGTCAAGGCCAATGCATATACTTTAAAAGTGACGGGCTCACCAAAGCAGGAACTTTTGGCTGATACCGACTTGCACATTCACATGCCAAATGGGGCCGTACCCAAGGATGGTCCATCGGCTGGAATCACCATGGCAGTTTCCATTGTTTCATTACTATTAAACAAGACTGTATCCAAGACGACGGCCATGACGGGTGAAATTAGCTTACGTGGGCAAGTGCAACCAGTGGGAGGTATCAAGGAAAAGGTGATTTCAGCTCATCGAGCGGGCATACGCAAGATCATTCTTCCAGTCCGAAACCGACGAGATGTGGAGAAGGATATACCAAAAGAAATCAAGCATGATTTGACATTTGTATATGCTCGTACTATTTGGGATGCTCTTGAAGCTACTGAATTACTTGACCCAATGGATATTCGACCTTTTGAATGTCGTTTGTAATTATCACGTACAGCTTACTTTTTTCTTTCAATGTAATTCGTTCCCTCGTTTGAATCCAATTAATTGCTGTTGTTTCAGATGTTCGGTTGTTCCTGACTCTAAACTGGATCAATAAATTAAAGCCTATTCTTTGCTTTGTTTTCCACGTACATATATCTCTTTCTCACATGTTTGATCATCTCCCTGCAGAACTATTGTGGGGTATTGCATTATTTCTTCCACCTAGCACACTAGGCGCCTTGGCCCAAACATGCCACCACTGTTACAATGCCATACTACCCATGATATACCAAGACCTTTCTCTCGTCGAACCCAATGCTCTCTTTAACATTCTATCCAAGCTGGTTGCCAACCCACTATGGCTTGATCGTGCTCGAAGACATGTTCGTAAAATCAACATTAGCCAAGGCTCGGAACGTACGCTTGCCAAGTTTGCTATGCTCGACCACATCTTTTCAGGATGGGATTTACTAGGAGACGATGCTTCTTCTTTTAAAAAGAACCCTCGTCGGCACATTGATGTGGTTGTGGCTGTCATGTTTACTCAATTCCCAAACATATGCAGCATCACACTGGAGTTTGATGCTGTGACCGATGGTGCCATTTGTAGTCCAAACAAGGCCATGGTCACTGGAGGAGGGGCCTGCTTCACTGGTGCTGTCAAACTCTTTCATTATCGACCTGGCAACTCCTCTTTGCTTTACGCCCTTCTTTATCCCTTTCCTGGATGCACTCGCCTTGCCCTTCATACGAGACCTTATCTTTCACTATGTGCCGCCATTCAAGATTCCTTGCTGCTACAAGAAGACATTGATACCTTGACAAGTCTTGGCCTGAAACATGTACGCCACCTTGACCTTGCCTATGTGGATGGCATGCTTCCAATTGACAGTATTCAGGCACTGGTTGAAGGATTACTTAATATTGAGACCTTGATACTTGAATGGGTGCTTCCTCCTTCCATGGAGTACTTTGACGACCTTTGCCAATGTTTGGCTGAAACAGCATCCCTATACCCAGATCCAGTCGAAAAATTGACAAACACTTATCGCACAGTATTTCGCTATTACAGCGACACCACTTGTACACTCTTGAGGCGCATGTCAGTTCTTAAATTATAGATCCATACTCTTTCTTAAATTATAGATCCATACTCTTTCATTAAATGATCTTTTATATATCCTTGATGAAATGTTGTCATGGAAATCGTGAGCAGTGGGTGGATTCCAAAAGAGCCATTGAGCGGGCGTGAGATTAAGCGGGCGGCGTGAGTTGCAAGTTGTACCACTACTACCACCACCAACAATACCTTTATCCTTCTTCTTTCAATGCCATCGACACCATTCATCTATTGGGTTCTATTATCAGCATGGTGTATACTCCAATGTCAAGCAGCCAATCCCATATTCTTTTGTAAATGCTTTTGCGGTTCCAACAGCACCATTTTTGAAGTCCCTGTACTCGATTCCAAACCCTGCAGCAACTGCACCAAGCAATTCTGCCTCGACAATGTACAAGACGGCTTGTGCGATGGTATCGCCGATGAGACGTGTCCAAGTAACGACTTTAGAACGTCATGCTTTGGTATGTGTTGGGTTACATGGTATCAAAAGAATGCACACAACTAACGAGATACTCTCTATTAGCGCGTGATTCATACAAGGATGAAGCTATAGTATGTACCTTTCTTGTTCTCACAGGTGGGCTGGTCGTCTCTGCTGCATTGAAACCATATTACAAGCGCTGGCGCTCGGTATGTGGAAACAGGGTTGATAAATGGGGTAATGTGGGATGCTAATGGATGATGATTTCAACAGGAACGTGCCGGTTACATGAGAACCGCTAGTCGTGATCATTAAGCCATCCTCTTTGTGTACATACATCTGTCAACCCATGATAAACATTCTTCTCATTGTTCTCTGTACCTTTTGGGGGATACGGTGATTTCGTATTATGGATGAGGTCATTGTTGAATATTTGTATCCAAGTGTGAGGGATATCTATCTACTTGTCAGGCGTTGCATCGTGTACTTTGTTGAGAAAGTGGTAGGAGCGCCAGAGGGATATTGAACGCATTCGATGAAGATGACATTGTTATTAACATCCCATTATCCTCGTTAAGCTATCGTAAATGAATGACCGAATCTTGGAAAAAAGAAGAAAACGTCGCATCGGACGACACCCCCATGATGGTGGATAATGATGAATTTTACAATTGGTATTAATAAAGGCCCTTAGTTTATTGTTGGACGTCTGCAAAAAGTAGCAATGTGATGTGGATGATGGGAACAAGGATTGTATTGTATTCTTTGGATGCTGCATGTATTGCAATAACGATGTGGCGTGTTGATGTATTATTAGAAAGTATCCAAGTGAGCGCAAGCCATGGCATTGTACCTCTTTGAGCCACCACCAACAACTTGAATACGGTTGTCACGTAGCATAGCAACGAGGAGCAAAGCATAACAGTCAAGGCTTCTGTATTTGAGCGGCGTTTCGATTTCCCGCTCCCAGCGTAATTGGGATGCCTATGCATGTTACCCCATCCCTCCTTCATCCCCAAATTACTTTTTCCACACTTCCCATCTGCTTTTCGCGTTTTCATCATTGAAATGACCACATACTCCGCTGCACGTAGATACTAGTAAAAGTACTCTAAAGTTGTTCTTTTTGCACTTGTTTCTTTACCTTATCAGGGAATTTTTTGGTCTGTCATTCACCAAGCCCTCAAACAATCAAGAAGCTTTCTTAGCTCAGTCGGCAGAGCGTCAGTCTCATAATCTGAAGGTCAGCGGTTCGAGCCCGCTAGAGAGCATTCCTTTTTCTCATCATTGTGATGAGAAAAGAAATTTTTTATTTGGATTTTCTTCTTTTCGTCAGCTTTTTAGTATTTGAATGGAGTTGTTTTGCATCAAGGGAATGGGGTATCTAGCGTAGGAAAGGTTTGGGAAGGAAAGTGGGCTACATTTTTGCGCATGATTGGATCCTGTCCATCCTTCTTTGGTGCATCATGCAAGACCATCCCATCATCAAACATCTATTCTCAAAGCAATGGGTGGTCCTGTTGCATCCTACATTATCCATAGTGGCCACCCTTTGTTGTTAGAGTGCAGACTTTTCCACTTTGATGTATCCATTATGGTCCTTGCATCATCATCACCCTCTTTACATCTGCTACTAGCTCGATATCTAATATGTTATTTACCCTCTGTTCTTTCAACCTTACTCCTCAAATCTCACTCATTAGAGTCATCATTATATGAAGCTATAATCCACTCAACTTGAACATTCAATGACACGTACAGGAACATCCATTGGTACTATCTTCTCTTTATTACGACAAAACTGGCTACTGCGATCCAGTATTGTCCAAGGACAAATCCACAGCAATTGGTCGCTTGTCTTGAAAGGTCATAGAGCATCGCTTTTTTCTCGTAAGGCTAACTCACTCTATTCTGCATTAGAAAAGGAGGCATATGCTTCTTACAAGACTGATAACTGAGCCGCATTTATTACTACTTGACATAATAAGCTCCATTAATCATCAACAAGCAAGCAAGAAGGGAGTAAGCAAAAGTCCAAGTAGATAGTAAACGGTGCTTTCTTCTAGCTACTTTGCCATGGTTGTCTTCATCCATCGTGGTCGCCGTGGTAATGAGCATCTTTCAAGGCACAAATGAAAAAGAATAGGACCTTGCATGTGTCCTTTCAAGTATCAGCGAGGTGTAAGGAGGGATCCGTCACCAAGTAATCATCATATTGCCAAGAGAAAGGTAAACCACGCTTGCTTGTGTCATTGTTGTTATAGATGTCGTTGTGAACCTCACTGTAGTTGTCGTCATCGTCTCTATAAATAAAAGAAAACACGTCTTCAGGAATCGCATCATAATCAAACCACCCCCAATGTCATCACTTTCATAGCACTCATCAGAGGCCCACGGTTGCTCTCATTTATCCTCTCCAAATGATATCCCTACCGTCTTTGCAATCCTCGAAGGGTAAACACCAGCCTAGCATGAAGAGCACTGTTGTCAAACGACCAAAAAGGTACAGGTTGGGAGTCGAACCCAAAAGATGATGATGCCCAAGGCTGCATTCCCTGACCATACGCAGACACAATAAACGACCTTTTCATTGTTTTCTCTTCACCTGCCTCTTGCATATACATAAGGACCCCGTCGTTGTTGTTGGCTACTGGAAACCGTGGTGTGGTGTTGTCGAGCCGAAACAAAAAGCCGATTGAGCCAACGTCTTTGCGAATGAATCTCGCCGTCTATACAAGCTAGCACGTCAATGGAACACTCTTCTGCTACATTGGGGCTTTGAATGTACCTGTTGCAGCTACGATATCGCCATGGCTACCACGCTCATTCCTCAGCACTTGGACACACTCACTCTCCCTGACAATGCATGTTCAGAACTACATTAACACCTCACAGTCAACAAGAGCACTCTTTGATAATACATTACCTTGATCGAGACGTCGTGAATGGAATAAGGAGAGGAGGGAGAAAAAGAAGAGAAGCGCTGTCTCAAGTCGTGGAGCTGCTGTCCCCCAAGTTTAAATCCCCTACTGCTATTACACTGAGGCCACTCAATTACCCTATACACACCATCCATCCCCATCATCATCATCATCATCACCCTCACGATAGACAATAGGTACACGTAAATAAAAGAAATGAAGATCCTCACGTATAGCAAAAGGGTGTGTGCCATTTTACACTTTACATGATAATGATGATCCAACAACAGCCATTACCTTACCACCAGGTTAGCTCGAATCATGAAAGTTGAAGGATGGGCGTGGGCAACAATGGAGAATGGGGAGGACTAGGTTATTAGCTGGCATTTTGAACTATTCCTAAATAGTGTACAAGAATCATGCATCGCCTGTGCTGAATGACTCAAGTTACACAAACACGCCCTCTGCATCTTTTGCTCTATTATAGTCATACTACTTTACATTAAAACAAAGACCACTTTTCATATAGCATCACCCTTACAGCATATGTAAAACATAAAGGTGCCTGTATCTCCAAACTTTACAATCAAACGTGGGCTCTTTAATAGATCAACGTGCTCGTCGGGGTCAAAGGAATCTTGTGTCAAAGTATGAAGTTCATCGTGGGCAATCCCAGATTTCGCAATGTCGCTACCAGCCAAACTGGATCTGGGGGTCGACCTCTTCGACGACGACGACCAAAAAGATCTTTTTTGGGCTAGTTGCGACATTGAACGTGAAACTTTCACACAAGGTGCTGTTGGCCAAGCAGAGCCCATTGCTGTAATAAAAACCCCACGCTTCATTGTAAAGTTTGGAGATACAGGCACCTTTATGTTTGTAAGCGTGATGCTATATGAGAAGTGGTCTTTGTTTAATGTAAAGTAGGTGGACCCTGGCAGAGCAAAAGATGCAGAGGGTCGTGTTGTGTAACACAGCTACGTTTGCATGAATGAAAGGGTCAATGTATAATTACTTTATGGATCATCTAGGAACAGGCATGTATTGCTAGCTAACGGCCACTTTTATCCATTCATCATTGTTGCGAGATCCACTGCATGGGAACGATGCCCCTGCTCTAGACATTCATTTCCATGATTAAAGTAGGTTGATCCGAGCTGATTTGACTGAGCTGCGGTCAAAGAGAGATTACATCACTCTCGACATCAAGCACGCTCGATGTAGCTCAACCGATGTAATCTTGTGTGA